CCCTCCCCCTCTCTCCCCTTCCCCTCCCCTCCAACCCCTCATCCTAAAAACCATCCCCTCTCCCACCCCCTCACCCTCCTTCTCTCCCAATCCACATCCACCCCTCTCCCCCCTTCAAAACCACCCCCTCATCACCAAAACCCCCTCTCCCTCCTCCGCCTCTGCCAAGCCCCCGAACTCCCCATCCCCCTCATCCCCAAACCACCACCCATAAACCCATGGACCTGCCCCAACGCAAACGCCCCATTTGCCAGGGAAGCCGAGTGGAGGGGACAGTAAATATAGGAATTGTTGTAGGAGTAGGCGTAAGCGTGACTGTATGCATACGAGGAGGTGGTGGGGCAGGAGCAGAACATCAGAATCTGGGTTGCTTTCTGGATTGTTGGATGGGGACACAGACAGGATTGGATGTGGGTGCGTGGGTGGGTGGGGTTTATGGGAAGGCGCTTATGGGGATGTTTGCATTGCTCATCTCTGTGCGGTGAGTCGACGGATCTGATCTGACATAGAATGAGTGTGTCGCGATTATGCTTGCCAAACGATCGAATTGAATCGAGTCGCTCTCCACGATGCATGCATAGGTAGGCAAATAAGCGCATTTCTATTGCTTTCATTAACTCTACTAGGGCACGAGCATCTTCATAGCTGTTCCCTTGCCATGATTTCGAATCACGATCCAACCCGAATCGTGACTTTTCAAATCTCTCCTCCCTGGAAAACGCCTAATCCCATGTCTTAATAAAAGAATTGCTTCTGTTCCACGCATTTATTGCACCTTCTTGCTCATCCTCGCCTGCTTGACCAGCCTCTCAGGAGGTCCATAACTCCGATCATCCTCACCCTCGACCTCCTTCACCATCCTCTCCATCTCCTTTGTCTGCCTCTCCCACTCGTCCTTGCTCATCTTCGTCTCTTTCTGGAACAGCTCCATGTTCGGCTGGCGGTAACTTCCACCCAGACGGTCCCACAGGGTCGTGAACTGTCCGTAGTTGTAGTTGAAGTAGAGGTGGTGCATGGTGTGGCACGCGGCGCCGTTGATAACGGGGCTGTTGGCCACGTACTCGCCGTCGTGGATCATGACCGTCCAGACCTGGATGAAGGTGAAGAGGGCGATGTAGGCGAACTTCTGGAGCGGGAAGATGAAGGGGAAGAGGTGGTAGGGTACGCTCTGCGAGTAGCCGTCGAGGGGGTGGAAAGCGTGCGAAGCGTAGGGTGTCGGCATGATCCACTTGTGGTGTGGCTTGTGTAGGCGCTTGTACACGAGGGGGTGGTGCAGTCCTCGATGGATCCAGTAGATGCAGAAGTCGGTAAACATGATGAAGAGGGGGAACTGCAGGAAGTTGTACCAGCCTCCAAGCGCTTTCAAGAATGGGTGGGTGAAGCCTGGGTCGGTTGCGCTGTCGTAGATGAATGACCAGCCTCGAACTTCCGCAACGAAGAAAGGCACAGTAAAGATGGCCATGATCGGGATCGACTCCATCGTCTGTCGAATCTCCATTCGCATCTGGTTCTTGAGGTATTTGGGGTGGTGGAAGGTCGCATGGTCGAAGACGAAGACGTAGCTCAGTGTCGCGCATAGGAAGTATATCACCATTCCAAAGAGCCTGTTATTCCCGTCAGTCACCAATCCATCCACCCAAACAATCTTTCCAACTCACCAAGTCAAAATATACAAGCTTACAAACTGCCGATACACATTATCCCGATCCCACCGACTCATATACGCAAACTCGCTCGGCTCGACATGGAACGAAGCACTCGCAGGTTGGAACTGCCATCCCGACCTCGCAAACTCCCCTCCAATGGACTGTGTATATGTAGCATTGGGATCCGCGTAGCCCTTGAAACCGGCGGCGATGGTCGAGATGGGATCGAAGGTCGATACCGAGGGCGAGAGAGGTAAGAGGTTCGCGTACATGCGGTCGAAGACGAAGCCGTCGAAGACTTCGAGGACGACGTCCATTTTGGGCGGTGTATGTTATGGGGTTCCTGAAGCTTTCGCCCCAAGCTCGCTCGACTTTGGAGAAACCCTGGTTCGACAACGATTCCAGACGCGTCCAACTCTGGAGGATATGGGGTCTTGTAGTTGTTGTCGTCGTCGAGGTGGATGTCAGAAACGAGTGTGGGATCGTGTTAAACGAGCGACTGGTGGGTGGCGGGCACGGCGGAGTTTAAAGGCGGATTTGATTCAACGTCGCTCTGTTGGAAAATCAGCTCACTTTTCTGATGCACGTCCCAGCGCGACACGGCGGCGGCCAATGCCCGCGCCAGGGTCCAGGCACGCCTTCCCTGTGCATCCGCGCCTGCTGCTTTGTTTCGAGACGCTGATTGGCACGCGCGCCGATCGGAACGGATCTTGAAATGCTTAGCAACCCGACCTCTCCACACTTCTCACGTGTTTGCATGTACGACAGACAAAGATCAGTCGAGATAAAGCGGAGAGGTTCGTCAGGGGCATCGTATGATGGCGTAGGCGAGGGTAATCAGATGCAGAATGAAGAAACGTACGACTGATAGCAGGTTGAAGCTGCCTTGATGCATTGCTTTTCACTTCTACCTGTGTGATAGCCATGTCAAACTCCCGAAACATGATTCCCGTGGTATCATCTCTTCATCATCGCCCTTTTGCCTGTGCGCCCAGTTCGTGCCGAGAGCATTGAACTTTCCGCTCCAAACGCCTTGCTGAAAACATGAAGTTCTTGAATGTCATATTCTTTTTCACTATCCTCTACTCCTCCACGCATCCTTTCATCCTCCCGGTGGACTGTTGGAGTAACTCTGATAGTCGCTCCGCCAACCACCGCTGTACCCATTCTGCTGCTGCTGATGTTGCTGCTGAGGCTGTGACAGAATAGGAGGTAACCGATACGACTGCTGCGGAGACTGAGATGCTGAATTGCTCGTGGCGCCATGCTGTCTTATTGAGAACGGTTGGAAGCCCTGCGCACTGGACGCATTCCCAGTGGCCGGCCGCGAGTGGTTGTTCCAGTTGGCGTGCTGTTGCTGCGCGTGTTGTTGGTTGCTGGCGGTGCTGTGGCTTGGGAAGCCTGGGCTGATGCTTCCCGCAGGGCGGTAAGGCGATCCCGGGCCACTCGCAACACCACTGGAGAGCCGGTTGTTATTGTAGTCGGCCGAGGTTGTCCGGACGTTGGTGAGCGATCTTGGTGCGTTACTTGATGGCCTGTAGCTATCAGTACCGCGACTCTGACCGGCCGACTGAGGTTGAGTATATCTATGCTCGGGGAGGGAGTTCGGCGTGCTATATTGTGAGGAGTTACCGTTCTGCGTGCCCGGACCAGTCTGCTGTCTCTTTCCCGACCTCGGTGGCTCATCATCGTCGTCCAACGTCAAGTCGATGACTGCGCTCGCAGGTCGCTTGTTGCTCTGTGTTGCGGATGCCGCTGATGGAGCTAATGATACACCACGTGATGATAGGGGTGGAGTGTTCATGGGGAAACCTTGGTCAGGCATTGGTGACAGCAGAGAAGGTGTTGGTCGCGGGGCAGCAAGTTTGCCGTTGACCTTGGGATCCACAACTTCAATGAAGTCATCATCAAAGTCGTCGTCGTACGCAGCTCGCCCTGCTCTGCTAGAGTGTCCGGCCGGCTTCGTATCGTCTTCTTCCTTGATGATCCGCCACTCACCGTTCGGCTCCACGTCGACCTTTTCGATTGACGAGGAGGTCTTCTGCAGGATCTCCTCAAAATACTTGTCGACGCACAGCGACTCGTACGAGACGCTCTTGCTGCAGACAGGGCAGCTCCACTGCGGCGCCTGTTCCTGCAGCTGAATGAACATCGAGCCGTCAAAGCATTGGTTGTGCTTGCAGACCGCCGAGCGAACAGGCAGGTTGATTCGTAGTGTGGAGATGGGATCTTTGAGAGACATCCTTGCAGAAGTCGCCGCAATGTCGGGGTCTGCGTTGATCCTGTTCATCTCGTCGAGAACCCTCTGCTTGGAGATGATGCCGCCGCCATGCCTTCCAGTCTTGATGCGCTCAGTGAGTGTCTCGGCACTGATGTACTTGACGAGATGCACCATGAAGCTGAAGCGCTGCTTGGTCAGGGCGTAGGTGATGGCGACTTGATTCGGATAGCCGTTTGCTTTCCGAACGCTGCTGGTGATGTCGGCCGGCTTTGTCGATCCTGGCTTGTTCTTGAGTCCCTTAAAGTTCGAGCGAACCTCGTCGCCGTTGATTTTAACCTCGATCTGATTCGGAAACGCCACGTCCACCGGTGATCGTGGGTAAGTCGACATCTGGTAGTGGTTGCCGCAGTACAGGAGAAGTCGCATGCTGGGGTCGGCCTTGAGTCGCGAGACTTGGTCGGCGGTGAGTTTGAGCTCGACTCGGATGGTGTTTCGATTTTGTGGCATTTCTACGCCAGCTGTATCAGCATCGTAAGTGTGCCTCAATTGATGGGGGAATAAGCAGGATGGGGTCTTTACCAGGCAGATCTTGAACAGGGAGCACCGCCTCCTGCACTTCGTAGAATGGACTCGACTTGAAATCTGCCAGAATATCAGTATCGCCCGGCGAAAATGAAGTATTCGCTACTCACATCTCGTTGGGTCTATGCGACCCGGCGCGCGGTGTGGCGCCATTGATGTGGCGTTGTGGTAGGCACCGTTGGTGTTGGTGTGGTAGTTGCTCGATGAGCTCGAAGTCGCGGCGGCGCTGGAGCGCGGGGGTGCTTGTCCGTGGTTGCTCACTCGATAGAAGAGGTCGTTGAATCCAGCTTGATCACCGCGGTTGACGACGTTGTCGAGGACTGTAGAAATCACTCATATCAGCTTCCTGCCTTCCTCACTGCATCTTCACATGCTCTGTCCATGTGCGCCTTACTTTCAAGACACCGCTTCTGCAGGACCGCCTTGGTGCCGGAGACTTGATAGTTGTAGGCTTTGCATATCTCCTTGAGGTCGTTGTTGATGCAGTTCTTAATCGCCGCTTCACACTTGGGCCTCTGCTGCTGGAGTTGATAGTGCCCGCCAGCCGCTGCCATCTCTTTGCGCTCGTTCGCGCCTTCCAGCTACGATATATCTCGGGCGTCACAGGTAGGATAAGGTTTTGCTATCGCGGAGAAGAGCTGCGAGTCGGCTTCGAATCGAGGGTGGAGGCGGAGGAAGTGATGGTGTCGCAAACGAGCCCGGCGAGCGTCGTGCGGGCGAGTGGTAGCACCGAGCAAGAGTCGGAGTGGTGGGGTGTCAAAGAAGGAAAGAGCAGGTGAGGCTCTGTGATCATTTTGCGGTAATCGCGGGCCATTCATCGAGGAGCCACGACCTGCAAATGCGCATGGATCATGTGATGGCTTGTCATACGCCTGTGCCACTGAGCAGCAGCAAGTGAATGGACCGCCGCCTTATGCGCTGGACAGCCCCGACGAGAGCCCAAAGGGAAGCAGCGTGAATGCGTGGTGGTGCTGCTCTCCTCCCTCATGCCAGCCAAACCTACTCTCACTCGTAGCGCGAAGTCAACCTTTGGCGGATCATGCTGCCGCTAGCGGACGGCCCGAAGATCTCGGTTTCTGCTGCATCCCACAATTTACGAGCATCTCTTGAATCCTCCCAACCGCAAATCACACCACCAGCAAGTACACGAAACTATGGCGAAAAGCGCAAGAGCCAGCAGAACCAAGGCGAACAACCAAGCTCTGAAGAAGAAAGTCTTCGGTCCCGTCGAAACAGCCAGAAATGAAAGACTGAACGCCAAACTGCTCGAGCTCGCCCAGCAGCCCAAAGAAAAGATGGAAGTAGAGCAGGAAGGTACAAAAAGACACCACATAACTACCTGAGACTCTACAACTGACACAACATGCCTCACAGAGCCTGCAGAAACCACCACAGCCAAAGACAGCGAACCAGCCGGCGACATGGACCTGGACGAATCCACCGGCCGACCCCAGCGAAGCAAGCGCGAGATCAAGCGGTTGCAAGACCAAGCCAGGACCCAGCGAGTCGAGAAGAACAAGCGCAAGAAGCCTCGCAATCAGGTTACATTTCCTTCGCGTAAGAAGAAGGGCGGGAAGAAGTGAGCGGCGGATTTTTGCGACAACCGAGAATAAAAAAAGTCTTCGACCACACGTTTGATCATACGATATTTGATCATTCGATGATACCCTGTGTATAGTCACTTTGCTATGCATTTTGGATGAAGGTGTCTCGCTTTGAGCATCAAGGGCCACGATAGACCATCGAAGGAACTTTGTTCGCAAAGTGTTTTTTCCCGCCCGAGGGCGTCTACCCTGAGGTCTTGCGGTACTTGGATTCGTGCTCGTTGCACAATCGTTCCGGCGGCCATTTCACGGCAAAGTCAAGATAGCACGCGATGGGACGAATGATGAATCAGGCCTCTCACGTATGTGAAAGGGACACAGTGCGCCAAGTCGGCATCATGGCGAACGTTGTCGATGACAGCAGTCCGGGGCCACCACCCTTCCGATGGGTGATGGACATCCGCTCCTGAGAGCGTCATATGGCAAGCTGGCAAACGAAAGCAAGGCAGTGGAAGAGATTCAGGATCGACTCGAAACTCGTAGTCTTCATAAAACCAAAGTCGCTCTTCTTCTACTGTTCTCCAATAAAAGACATTAGATTTCTCCCCTTTTCTAGGTGCAGTATACCCCTGTCCCTCCTTTTCCTTTTAGATTCTTCCCCTTTTGTATATATCCATGGATGGGTATCATCAGTAGTTAGTCGGTCGCCGTATATCCACATCGGGTTCGGCCTCTCAACTCAAACGACAGTCCAAAAACATCAAAACGTCAAAGACCATAAAAGAAAAAAAAAAGAAAATCGAGCTCGCTCGCTCAGGTTTACTTCCCACCCCAATCCACCCCATTATTCCGATTCGCCTCCATCTGCATCTTGCTCAAAATATTCCGATGCGCCTCATTCATGCCCCCCATCCGCATATGCGCATCAATGCGCTCCTGCTTCTTCTTCTCCCTTTCCTCCTTCGCGCGGGCATCTTGTTCAGACTGCCGGCGGTGCGCGCGCAGCATGTCCATCTGCTGGTCGCCGACGACGTAGGGCGTGCGGGAGGTCTGGGCGATGGCGTTGGAGCTGCGCCAGGCGGACCAGTTCTGGGCTTGTTTCGTGGCGTTGTGGGTCGAGGTGCGTTGGGGCTGGTGTGAGTCGTAGAGGGCCGTGCCGCCGGTGGAGAGGCGGACGGGTTTTGGGGGGCGGGGGGCGGAGGCGTTGGCTTGGGCGAAGGTGGTGGCGTGGGGGATGAATTGGGGTTCGGGTTGGGGTTGTTGGGAGAGGTGTCGGGGTTTGGAGGGGAGGGGCATGCTGGATTGGCGCTGGACGAGGGCTTTGCGTTCGGCGAGGGTCATATCTTCTGGGTCGGCGGGTTCTGGGATGCTGCGGAGGGAGGTCTTGTCGTTTTGGCTTCCCTCGCGGCTGCCTTGTGCTTGGCCACTGCCTTCTGATGTTGTTGCGGGCAGTCCGGCCGCTGATGCGTTGGGCAGAGTCATGAATGAAGTTGTGGTCACCCGCCTGTCCATCAAGTCGTTGCGTACGTCCATGAGATTGGGCATGCTTGGCATGCGTGATGCTGGACGGCTCTTGGGTGGACTTTGAGGTTGCTGGTCGATGGGAGATTGGACCAAGTCCTGCTCCAGGATAGGCGCTGACACATTGTGTGTGTCGACCGTAGGTTGAGTTGGTTGGATGGTCTGAATGGGGTTGCTGCTGGCTCTCTTTGCCAGGGGTACGGCCCAGCTGTCATTGCTTTTCCTTCGGTCATGAGCGTACACTGGTACTGCAGCGGCGCCAGAAGGAGTCTTGGACAGGTGTTGGCTTGACCGTCTTCGCTCCTTCTGATTCGCTTTCGGCGGCGCAGGGGGTGCTGGAGGTGCGGGTGGTGGCGGCGGTGGTGCCGGGGCGGCATTGTTTTCGTTTGCACGAGCAGACTCCGCCGCGTCGCCCATCTCAATCTGCACGGCGTCGACAGTGTGTTCGTCGACTTCTTCGAGAGGCTCAGGTTCAGCTCGTCCGACCTCCTTCGCCCACTCATTTGTACGGTAGTTCGCTGCGGCCTTGGATATTCTCTTCGGTAGCCGATCAGCCAACGCCGCTTTGTCCTCTCCATCGGCAGCTGTATCGAACGGATCTGCCTCGCCCGGTGTGCCAGGAGTCTGCGAGAGCCGCGGGCTTGATCCACCTGCAGCACTCTTACCGCCCAATCCGATGACTTCATCGTCGTCTTCTTCGATGAACTGCTCCTTTGCATGTGAAGGTGATACACCTCCTCCCGGCATTTGAGGCAGGTACATGGAATTCGGCCTTGAAAGCTTCATTGACAACGCATCGACGTCCGGTGGCTCCGCTGCTGTAGCCGCGATAGACGATGCGATGTCATCTTCTTCTTCAAATGAGCTGCGACCATCTCCAGCTGCTTCCAGAGCGTCCTTCTGAGCGAGAGACTGTAGGGAAAGTCGCTTCAACGCCACTCCCCTTCGGTCTTTCACAGAAGGCTCGGGGACGTTTAAGCCTGGGGTTCCCGGCTCAGTTTGCGGCGTTCCTGCTTGAGTGCCATGAGTGCTCCTGGATGCCTCTCCACTGTATTCAAAGGACTCCGCATCGAAGTCAAAAGCAGGAATGCTGGGAGCGCCAGAATGACGCTTCTCCTTCGAGGAAGATTGTGCTTCGCCCTCGACAGTCGCTGGCCGGAGTTGAGCGAGTGGGTACGACTGGCGCCTGGTTGAGGACCCTTCCAGATCATAGTGCCCACTCCCCTCCTTGCCATACTCTTCGATGGAGGATCCAATTCCAGAGTCAGACACTTGCACGCGCGGCTCCTTCTTATCGTCGTATTGTTCTTCCCATTGAGCAAGACTGCGTCGATTTCGGCTTTCGACGTCTCTGCCGACCTCCTCTTCCAGGACCACCCTGGCTTCTTCGTCCTGGATGCGTTGAGCATCGTGTTTAGCCTTCTTTTCTTTGACGATGTTCCAGATCTTGATCTGAGACATGGTACCAAAGAAGGCGGCGATGATTATACCAGCGATCTCGGCTCGCATATTTCGGGTAATAGGATAGGTGTCAGTAAATAATGGAAATTCGTTATCGTTGAGATCTGATCGAAGGTCAGTTGTTATGCCAAAAGCAGATACCCTGTCAACGTACCCCAGATGTACAACCAGAATTCCTTCAGTCCAGACCCGCAAAAGCAATCGATTCCAAGAACAAAAGCCGTAGCACCGGCAAATGATGTACAGACGACAAGTCCGTAAACCCGAGTAAAACGAGAGATGTAAGTGGCATAGCCCAAAGCGCACAAGATGGCAATGAGGATGATCTTGCCGACTTTGTTCGTGATCAACCCTCCGGGAGAAAGAACAAGAAGCCACATGGCAAAGCAAAAGCCACCCAGCACGCAGCCAAAACCTTCAGAGACTTCCTTGAAGATCAGGGACAGGCCACCCAAGAGGAGTCCGCCAGCGACTCCTGCAATCAAGTAGGCAGCTTGGATTGCCTCGGGAACGGGTGGATGCATGAGGTAGAAGATCAGGACTTCACACCCAAGTGCCATCAGCAAAGCGGTACTCAGGAAGGTCTGCACCGAACGATTCCTCACACCCACGAAGCCCAATGCCAGTCCAGAGATCATTAGCAATGCGCCAGCGACTCCCACAGGCGCGTTGAGCTTCGGTTGGAGTGGCAGCACATTGCCGTCTGTGGTCGAGTTGCTGCCGGGTAGTGGGCTGACTGTCGACGTCGGCAAGTCAGTCGCAGTGCCAGTCGGCGTAATGGGTGAGGTCGCATCGGCACTGTGTTCGGCGCTTGAAGTCGTCTTTGCTTCATCGTCCTTGCTTTGAGTCGAAGTAGGCGTGGGGCTCGAAGAGGTCTCATCATTAGACGCAGTTGAACTCTGGGGCCGATCCGTCGTGGTAGTAACATCGCTAGTAGAGTCCTGTCGTATTCGCAGGCCTTGGCGCGCACCTATGCGCTCAGCGCAAGAAAGCGCACATAGAAAAGTGACAAGCGCATACTGTAGGCGCATCTTGTCTGGAGAGGTAGATGTTGGGCGCCTGTGCGCAGCGAAAGTGTCCAGAAGCCAGCAAATCCAGCGCCTGCCAGTCCAAGTCTACGCCTCCATAAGTTATCAGGCCAGAAGGGACGAGCGACCAATCGACATCACAGGTTCCCGCGATATGGCCGGTGATAATGATGGCGACGAAATGTGCCAGCGGGTGGCAGACGTGCTGCGACGTGAAAGCGAGGGTGTGATGGAAGAAAGGTATAACGCGGCTGCGAGATGCAATAGCCTCTCAGCAGGCGCAGGGTTGCCCCGTCGAATCCCAGATGAAGGACCTCGAGTCGCGGGAGCTTTTCTTCGAACCCACAGCACTGGCTAGCCAACGCTCTTGGGCAAACTCTGCTGGCGGTGGCGCCCAGTGCCTGTCCACTGAGACGTCATGGACGATACATCGATCTACCCGCAATAGCTGAGTGTTACTCGAAGCGGTCATCGGACGGTATTGCACCTAAGCCTTGACCATCTTGGTTCCGACGGCAGGCGCCGCGGGTTGGATGACAAGGCTCACACGGCTTCGCGTTTCCGGAAGAGAGACCAATCTCGACTGACGGAGTGTTCGAAATCGAACGAGGCCGCCAGAACGGGACATGTGGTCGCCAACGGGTGGATCAGGTCGCAGTCGCTAGCAACCGTACTGCATGTGCGAAGGCTGGGGTCGCTGCAGCAACTCGTCTTGAACGTCCCAACGCCTCGATACCACACTTCCACACTTCCAGCGCTGGCAAACTTCGACAGCACCAAGGCTCATTGTCGCATGCGTCGCGCTTCCGCGGTAGATGGTCGCCGCGGGGCATGACCGATCTCAGCACGCGGGTGGTCAACGGTCTGCTCTCGCGAAATGAGGTGAAGTCGCCCAAATCTCGACTAAAGCGGGCACCTGCGGGAGCGAGCACACAGGAAGTGGCCCCCTGCCAATCACTCGCCAATCGTCGTCGAACGGCTGCGTTTCACGTATCACTGCAAACACGCGACTATACACCTTCAACACGCAGCTCTTCTGCATAACGACCATCATATTGACTGCCACGTCGCCAACATCCACCTCCTCCACCACCTCGTTCTCCTCCGCACGCGCACCGTGGAACCTGTCAACGGAAAAGGCCCCCACCGCAGCTGTGGAGTCGATGCAGGAAGCCAATCTATTTCCCGGCTCCTTCCTCCGCAACCTTCCTTGGCAATCCCTGTCCAGGAACCAGGGTCAAACCTCCAAGGAAGTTGGCAGCAGAGCAACACCCGATACGCTGCTCGAATTGATTCGCGCGTGTGTGAGCAACGTGTTTACGCGTTCGGTGTACCGATTTGAAGAGGAGAGGATCTGCCGGACCGGACGATGGTCATCGAAAGAAATCTGTGCGATGCTTGGAGGTGATCTTGGAGATGATATTTTCGTCGACGTCCGCATCCTCCGCGTTCTGGGAATGGAGAAGGAAAGAAATTATCGCAACTCGCAGCGTATTCCCGACTTGATTGGGAGTGCGATGGTCATCGAACGGTCGCATGGCGTGCGCGTCGACGGAGGCTTTCAGCGCACAACTTTCGGCGAATCTCTTCCTCAATCCGGATGCGCTGGTTACAAATGCCTCAAAGTCTCTGCGCCCACCGTCACAACTCAATCGTGGACTCACAATCTGGGGAAGAAAGGTTTGCTGTTTGAAATCTTGGTTGAGGCGTTGTGAGACTTGCACTTCCGCATGCATGGCTGCAGTAGCCGGAGAAGTCTCGCAGATCGCGCAACTTCACTCCCAGCCACAGGTACAGGCACCACACGTCACACTTCCCGACAACGAAGAACATCTAGACATCCACGAGGCATGGACTATCTACGGCTCCAAACCCTGCTGCCACGCCGCCCTCTTCACTCTGGTCGCCCTTGGTGCGTAATAAATAGCCTGCCTCGAAATTCTCCAGGATATCCCTCTTACCATTGGCGCCAGTGTTCCACACACAGGCCCCATAGATCCCCAGCTCGCAGATGACGCCGCCACTCTGTAACTCGCCATTGCGGAATATGGTATTGCTCTGCGCGGGCGGCTCGATCATCTCCATCAGAATGTACGCCGGCCAATGCGACTCAGGCAAATCTTTCAGGAACCCCGGAATCGCCTTGCGGTAGATGTTGTTACCGCCGCCCTCCCGCTGCGGCTTCAGCACATAGCGGGTCGCGCTTGCGGGATCGATCGCCAGCTTGCGCGCTTCGTTACCAGCTTCGCTCTTGTCGAGCGGGTAGATGGGTGCAAACGTCTCCAGTACCGCCGCCGCCTGCTGCTGGTCTGGCAGGAAACGTGCCAGATGGGGCGAGTGCGGCGTGGCCAGCACCTGTTGGACCTTCTTCGTTCCGGCCAGCTGAGTCAGTGCCGTGGGACACTTGATGGCCGCGCTGCGTTCGATCTGCAGCCTCGCATCCCAGTGCGATTGATCCTTGTAATCTGATGGCGTGTAGCCTGCTCTGAAATAGACCACGGTGACTTCGTATTGCTTGCTGGGAGTGTGAGGTGGTGTGTAAATGAGCTTTCTATTCTTGTCGAGCTTCGTTTCCTGAAGCACCCGGTCGAATAGTATGCGGAAGGTACGCACGCCGTGATTGTTGTTTAATGCGTATTCCAGGTGTCGTTGATCGAAGACGTTTCGCTCGGGATCTTGCACGAGGAAGAGCACGCAGGTAGAGAAACCATCGGCTGATGGTCCATACGCTTCGTGTGCTTTGGCCATGCCTTTTGCTAAAGATGGCACAGAGCTGCTCCCAGGAAGAGATGAAGTGTTGATCAAGGAAGAAAGCTCGTCTGGGTATGCATCGATTGCAAGTAGATGTTGATGAAGACCGGATACCTGACTTGAGAGACCGCCGAAAGACGAAGCAATGGTGTTGAACTCCACCTGCTTGACAGATGGTTTTGAGGCATTGGACTGGTCTACGTGAACCATGTAGTCGGATCGAAAGAGGCCCAAGGCAAGGGACTGGTAGAATTAGCAAAGATGGAACGTATCGATCTATAGGGGCAAGTACCTGAGCGTATCCCTCTTCCTTCACAGCAAGATGTACTTTCCAGAGACCAGCCATGAAGTCGTCGATCTCCACAAGTCTAAAGAAAATCGTCAGCTGACAGGAGATCAAAGCAATACGAAGTGATGAATAAGTGAGAGGCACATGATGGGGTCAAAGGTGTCTGTTCAAGCAGCACATGCGCTGTCCTGCCTCGCCATCCCATCTTCACAAGACATCTGAAAGAATACCTACTCCTCAACAATCCCCCTCAACCATCCCTCATCGCCAGCAATGGCCGAGTAGAGCTCATTATACGCCCTGGCCACCGACCTCGCCTGCTCGAAACACACCCTTGGAAACAAGCTCGGGAAGGTCGTCACCGGCGCAGTCGTCGCCAGCGCTCCAGCGGGATCCTGTTCTGGGGATACATAGGATGGTGCTGGTCGTACTGCTAATCCATGGGCGATTGACCAGTCCTTGAGGTTCGAGAGGAGGTATTCTTTCTGCGCTGGGTTGAGGTCCGGTGGGTATGGGGGGTACATTTTGGACGAGGGGAGGATTGCAGGATCTCCTCCTGTCAAGGCGATATTGGCTTAAGTGTTGTTGTTAAGGTAAGGATATCTATCCCACTTTGATGGCGGCCTTGTCGTGATCGTTGTGGGTCTCGAAACTTTTGGTGGGGGCCTTTCGACTTCGCGACTTCACGTAACGGCTGCAGTACACGCCGGGAACTATTTCACCACGCAACAACGTCGCAGAGGCTGCGCATCGGATTTGACGGTTCTGGACGTATCGGAAGCCTGATAAAACCATTTCAGAATTCTCTGATATCTCGCGCACCATCCACACCAACCTCGAACCCAACACCAAAGGCAGGTCCCACGATCGATTACACGAACGAACACACGCGACCCCGGTTTCCTCGTCTTTCCCAATCGAACTCTCTGCGATGCTGTGAGCTTCTGGAATATGCGAGGAAGAGAAGCGGTGACTGGAAGCTGGCCACTTGAGACAGCACGTCAAGAGTGGCCTCCTTTCAACATTCACGCACCATTGAGGAAGCGCCAGAGGAGGACGTGAATCAGTTTGAGGGGCGGACGAGTATGAGAAATATAGCAGGAGGACTGCCGCTGTTTTCAGTGCTTCGATTTGGGGGGAGGAGAAGAGGGAAGACAGGACAAGACTGTGCCGCAAGATTCCACTGGGCGGCCCCAGACAGCACCAACAAAGCACACTCGTGTTGGGAAAGGTGCTGCAGAAGTTCTTGCTGTGCCACAGAGCTGAGGACTGGAAGACGATTCAGTCCTTCACTGGGGGACTTGAAGGACCTGGGGCACGATCTTCTGTTCGTTGCGAGCCCGATCTTGAGTCCCAACTTGACGGTGTCTCCATTCACTTGCTTCCGCAGGTCACCTGACGCTCTGTATTTCTACTGCCTCTTTTGCCGCTCTTCGCTCGCATCTGCAAATCTCTTGACACGCACTTGTCGCAGCATTTCGATACGAGTGTCGCAAAGCAGCTCGTCACGGATATCAACGACGACGGAACATTGTGCTCTCGTCATTGCAACGGCATCTGCTCACCTTCAGGCCTCTTATAACGCCCACGACCTCAGTTCGGCGACACGACCTCGAGACGCTCTTTCCTCGACCTCACGGGAAGCACCACGTGACCTCGCGTCTTTTCGCGACAACCAGGCGTCAACACTTCCAAACCCACCAACTTCAAACAACAACTTCAAAGAGCTTTACGAGAGCACACACACAGCAATAACTCGAGTGGCACGCCGGCCATGGACGGCAATCCACTCTCGTGGACCGTCTCGCAGGTAGCAGACTTCTTCCGACACCACGCTGCTCGCTACCTCAGCGACCGCCCAAATCTGCGATTACCGGACCTCGACATCTTCGTGCAGTCCCTCGAAGAGAATGATATTGATGGAGACCTTCTGCTGAAGTCGGTTGACAACGCCGTTCTGCGTGACGAGCTCGAAGTGCCAACTTTCCGTGCACGATCTGCCATCATACATTGCATTGCCAAGCTTCGAGAAGCCTCTGACTCCCCACCGCATGCTGCTACTGTTGTTGGATCCGAGCCTACCCCGCAGACGCCGAACTCGATCAATGGACTATCGCACCCGAATGCATCAGACCCTGAGCCTCCCCCTGCTCTTACCCCGGGCGAAAACGTGCGAGTTGGTGAAGTGGAAGTCCAGGACGGACGTGGCAAGAAGCGACGTAAGCTCGACCTTACTGCTCTATCGACAACTCAACCAACGAACTCCCTTGCAACTCGGCAAAGCGGGCTTCAGCAAGTGTTGCCCGCCAGCGGCTACCTGTCTGACGCGAAGCTTACCGTCGACGAGCTATTTTACGGCCGAACTCCAGTCAACGCTGAGATTGGTGATCTACCACCTCAAGGTCATGACGTTATTTTAGAGCCAAATTACGAGATTGTGGTCGAATACGGAGAAGATCTTGAATCGAAGATCGCCGAACATACCAATGCTTTCTTGGAGTTCCAGCACCAGGAGCAGAATGATGGAGATTCTGTCTACGCGTATCGGCAGGTCCGACATTTCATGACCAGTTCCAATTCCAACCCGAGGATGGTCAGCCGCCGTGGAAAAGATGACCTTGCGATTGTGCCGTATCGCGAGGAGCTTGTGACTGGCAACAAAACCATTTCCGCTACCGTCATTCGACTAGACGACACCGCCGAAGAAGGTGCTATTGCTGTTCGAGAAAACAATGCTTTGTTGGACGACGACGTGGATCCGATTCGCCTGGAGCAGGAGTCCAACGAGGGTGAATGGGATTTCTTGCCCAAGAAGTGGCGCCAAGACGACGACGAAGTACTTTCAGAGTTACGCCAGTCAGACGATGGGAGTGATGGTATGTCATCTGGCCTCATTCGCGAGATCGAAGAGGAGGCAGCCGAGCTCGACCAGCTGCGTCGTAACACCATTGGTGAAAAAGGGGCTGGCGAGATTGTGGACGATGCGATTGTGAAGATGGTCGCAGAATGGAAAGAGACGCTGCCGAAAAAGGAGGAGAAGCATGCCTGGAGAGTTTGGAAGAAGATGAAGGGGAGCAGAACTCTCCGGCAACAACTCATCGAGGCCTCCCACGACCGCATACGCATTCTCAACAAGCGCCTAGCAAAGCAGAAGGAGAACATCCTCCGCACTGAATGGCGTAAGGAGAACGAAATTCGTGAGCAGTGTGAGGCTATGAGGCCCTCTGTCATGGATCGTGAGGAGGAGCGCTGGCAGATATGCGTTTGGGGTAGGAGACAAGAACCACATCACGTTGTCCGGCACGGCCAACATGGAGCGCCCAAGGGCAATATGGATGCGGGGAACCACCAGCGAGTAATTGTGCACGCCAACGACCGCATCAGCGTATCTCCACCTCCTATTCAGGAAGATGACGAGGATCTGGTGCCAGAACGTGTCCATACACTGATGGACGGCGACGAGAACGGCGAAGACGACCCAGATGACGACATGATGTACGCAGACGACGGACACAGCTTTGATGGTGGTGATGAAATGGAAGACGCAGATTCACCCATGGCGGACGTGATTGAGCCGTCACCACCACTTGTCTTTGGATCTCCATCACAGCTACCCTTCGATCAACCCAGGGGTGACAGCGATGCTACGGCTTCACCACGCAACCGCATTCAGGATTCGCCCAAAGATGACACCGAATCGGAGAGTGAATCGCTGACTGACATGGCAACTCTACTTTCGCAGCGCCCGAAACGCGAACCTCCGTCACAATCTAGGGTTGCGAAGGAATCGAACAGTCGCGAGCAGCCCATTGAGATCTCTTCAGACTCTCATTCAACGCCTGCGTCGAAAAACAAGCAGAAGAAAGGCGGGGCTGGCAAGGGAATGTCCAACGGGTTTCCAGACCTAGCAAACGGCGCGCAGGTTGAGTCTTGGGACATTGAAGAACTGGTAGACGATCGTGACCATCGCCGTCTTTTAATCAAGTTGCTCTTCGACGCAGGAAGCGACAAACGACAGCAAATCAGCGATAGCGTCCGGCGAATGGGTACCTTCAACACCGAGCTCAAAAAGGCCATCAGTATACTGCAGCATGCCTTCAAAGCAGCTGAAAGTGAGAACGGCTCTACGACACCAATCTATTGTGCCAGATTGTTTCTGGCATATCTCTTTCTTGCGCCTGAGACAATGCAAGGCCAACCCCCAGCAAACGTCTTACCGAAAGCCTACATGAACGATTCTCAGCTCAACCTGTTCTCTCCATATCTTAAGTCAGTACTGGAGAAGCCGTTACTCTTCAAACACCCAAAGCCGGAGCCTATATCAAGTGCAAAGTCGAAGGCTTCATCCGGAGACGGCTCACGTGTAATATCGCTTTTGGACTCAGAAGACGACGAAGACGACCCACTACAGGATACGCCCAGCAAGAAGAAAAGGAAGAACGTCATGCTCAGCGAAAAGGGTCAGCAGTCGCAGATCCAAGCTTTCGACAGGCAAGACAGGTTCAAGGAACTCCAGCAGCAGTCATCAAGCCAACAGCAACTGCAGGCTATGATCCAGAACGACCCAAGTAGATCGCACATCCAGATCAACATCCTAAAAGGTGAAGATGAGGACGATATCTTCGTCGACAAGCGTATTGCCAGAGACATGAAAGAGCATCAGGTCACCGGCGTGCAATTCATGTGGCGAGAGCTCACGGCCTCTGGTGCTGACGATGCCCAGGGATGCATCCTAGCACATGAACAAGGCCTTGGCAAGACAATGCAGGCGATTGCGGTACTTATTGCCGTTGACGAAGCTGCACAGTCCGAAAATCCGCGCATCAACGAACAATTGCCTCCCCATTTGCGACCGGAGGACATGGATGGACGCCAGCTGCGCGTTCTCATCTTGGTCCCGGCTGCGTTAATCCAAAACTGGCGCGCTGAGTTAGACAAGTGGGCCCCGAATAAGTTTCCAAACGTCTGGTCGATTGAATCTGTTCCCTCCAAGAACCACCTGGGCATTCTTGACGAATGGCATAGAATTGGAGGAGTGATGCTTATGGGCCACGAGATGTTCCAAAAGAAGATCACAAGAAAGGAGGGCAAACAGGTGCTGTTAGCCGCAGAGGGTCGAATGGCAGAGGTACTCTTGGACCCAGGTCCAGACATCGTTGTCGTTGATGAGGCTCATCGAATGGCGAATCCGAAGTCTCAACGAACGATTGCCGTGAACCAAGTTCGAACCGAGAGCAGATTGGCTTTGACAGGCACACCAATGTCCAACGAGGTGCAGGAGATCTACTCAATCGTCTCATTCGTCGCGCCGGACTACCTTGGAGGCTCCGACTGGTTCAGCGCGCAATTCGCCTTACCGATCAAGGAGGGAAATGGAAAGGACAGCACCGCATATCAGCGACGCAAGGCGGCCTTGAAATTGAACGTGCTCCACAAGCAAATCGAGCCCAAGGTCAATCGAGCGGACATCACCGTGCTCAAGGGTTCTCTTACAGCAAAGGTCGAGTTTGTCATTACCTTGCCTCTTACGTCAGTACAACAAGAGGCGTACACGAAGTATGTGCAGCACTTGGTTGGCGAGGGCAAAACAAAGGACGCGGCTCAAGTCACGTTGTTTGGATATCTCTCTGTCCTGACACTGCTCATGAATCATCCCATTGCTTTCAAGCGCAAGATGCTTTCACCTGGACATCCCAAAAAGAAGAGTCGAAAATCACGAGCCGTCAGCACCTCTGATTCGGACAGCGGCGATGCTTCTCCAGCTCAAGAACAGAAAGACGACAACGATGATGCGGGCGATAGCATTCGTACCTCTGGATTCACAGAAGATGTCATCGCTCAGATTATATCACACGTTGAAGACAGAATCGATGCTGACTTGTCCACCAAGACGGCGATGGTAATGGAGATTGTTCGCCGCTGCAAGGAAATTGGCGACAAGATCCTCATATTCTCGCACAGCATACCGTCACTCGACTATCTCGGCGAGCTTTTTCAAATGTCTGGAGTCGACTTTGTCCGCATTGACGGCTCAATGTCAAACAAGGCCCGTGATGATGCCCTGAAGGCCATGCAGAGCGGGAAGCGGGATGTGATGTTGATGTCCACCAGAGCTGGAGGAGTTGGACTCAATATCCAGATTGCCAACCGTGTGATCATTCTTGATTCAAGCTTCAACCCGACACACGAGAAGCAGGCAATCAGCCGTTCGTACCGTCTTGGTCAGAAGAAGCCCGTCTTTGTCTACCGCTTCTCTGTGGGTGGCACATTCGAGGACTTTCTCTACAACAAGCAGATGTTCAAGGAGCGCCTCAACAAAGGCGTCGTGGACAAGATCAGTACCAAGAGAATCGCCAGCATCAACTCGAAGCATGCCATTCGTGAGCCTACGGTTGTCGAGCAGTTGCCACTGGAAGATTCTCTTGGCAAGGATGCCGTGCTCGATGGCATTGTCAGCGACTACTGGGAGCAGGCGAAGGAGTCTGGCGAGGACAATATCATAGTGAGGCAACTTGCGACAATGGAGGTCTTGCAAGAGGAAGTGGTGGATGTCGACGTACCACTCACAGAAGAAGACAAGCGCGTGGCCGAAGAAGAGCAGCGCATGGCCGAAGCAGAGTTTCAAGAGGGTCGCAACGCTGTGAGAGGGAAGAGGGGTGGTGCTGCGCCGAATCTTGGTGCTATGAGACCTCCAAACTCCACAGCACCTGTTCAGAGTAGACGACAGCAGTCAGGAAACGCGAGCGGCCGGCCTTCTGTGGACAACGGGATCAACGGACTCCCTACTGCAACGCAACCTGGACCGTCGCAACCTCAGTCGAGCATCGTGAGGCTGCCAACTGGCCAACCTCGACCGAGTGCGCCTGCAATTCACGGGTTGCCTCTGCCGCCGCCGCAGTAAGTCCAAGGGGAGGGACGTATCGAAAGTGTAGAACATCGAAGGGAGACGTGCTTCAGGAGCTCCAGTCATAGCTTACAAGGGGCAGTTGGGCGATTGGGGCGTGGGTTTGACGAGTTGATGCATTTGCTTTTTTCCAGCACGAGATACCCAATTGCAGTTTGATAGATGGCTCTACGAAAATGCACAGTACTTGATTCAATATCTCTCCCAGTCAAGTGTTTGGTGAATGACCTCGAGTTAATAGTTCTCTTCCATGTGATCGAGACCCTGTGGCATGAACCTTGTCTTCACATGCAGCAACTTTGCCGAGAAAGTGGAGACGTCTGGCGTGTGGGCTGCCGGACTGTGAATTGAAATCATTCTTTGCCCACACCACTACTACTCTGCCAACTACCACTCCATACTACAACACACCACAAACATGGAGCGGATGGACACTCGAGAAGACGATGACTTCCGGGCCAGATCAGAAGCATTCATCTCTTGGCTCGAACAAAATGGAGCAACGATATCCGACAAGATCGAATTGGCTGATCTGAGACAGCAAGGTGCTGGACGGGGCGTTGGTATGTAGTCGATTCGTCATGGCAGAAGTACGTCTGCGTCCTTAAGCTGACGTTCGACAAAGTTGCAACACAAGACCTCGCCGAAGACGAAGAACTCTTCAGCATCCCACGCTCATCGATCCTCACCACCGAAACCTCGACGACTCCAACCGACGCCCTCCAAGAGATCGACGACCCATGGCTGTCCCTGATAGCCACCATCGTGCTCGAATACCTCAAAGGCACACCATCGCCCTGGAAACCGTACTTCGACATCCTCCCCGAAAATTTCGACACCCTCATGTTCTGGACCGACGACGAGCTCAAATCCCTCGAGGGCAGCGCGGTCGTGAACAAGATAGGCAAAGAAGGAGCCGACGAGACATTCACAGAACAATTAATCCCCGTAATCGGGAAAGTCATCAAGAAAGAGTCCCTCCCGGGTCTGAGCAACGAACAGCTCCTCGCACTGTGTCACAGAATGGGATCGACAATCATGTCCTACGCCTTCGACCTCGAGAACCCTGCCAAGAACCGCGAAGACGGCTGGGAAGAGGACTCGTCCGACGGCGAGGGGGAAGAAGGAGCCGTCCTCCCTAAAGGCATGGTCCCCATGGCGGATATGCTCAATGCCGACGCCGATAGGAACAATGCTAAACTCTTCTACGACGACGACAAGGTCGTTATGAAGACCCTCAGAACCGTCAAAGCCGGCGAAGAGCTCTATAATGATTTTGGGTCACTGCCGCGAGCGGATCTGCTCAGGAGGTATGGGTATGTGACGGAGAATTACGCCAAGTACGATGTTGTGGAGATTCCTGCCGAGTTGATTAGGGAGAAGGCGAAGGATCTCTTCAAGCTTGGTGAGAAAGACCTCGACGAGAAGTGGGAGTACCTCGACGAACAAGGCGTTCTGGACGACGGGTACGACGTCTCGCGATCTGGGAGTGAAGATGGACAGTTTCCTGAAGAGCTTGGCGTTTTGATCAATCTTCTCGCGACGCCGAAAGCCGAGTTCGACAAGTGGAAGAAGAAAGAGAAGCTGCCCAAGGCGGATTTGACGAGTGAAGCAAAGAAGTTGCTGCGAACGATTTTGGTCTATCGATACGCCATGTACCCCGAAGCTGGAGCGACGATCGACAGCGACGACCGACGACATCAGATGGCCGTGCAGGTTATCCAAGGCGAAAAGGAGGTTCTGCAAGAAGCTGTCGCTGCTGTCACGGACTCGACTACTGGCAACAAGCGATCAGCAGATACTCTGGAAGACGAAGCCGCCGCGATTCGACAACCAGCAAAGAAATAGAAGACGGCCGCTCTGCGATATAGTACAACGTCGTTCTTCTTCTGCGGGTATCTCGGCTATCCTAACAAAACAACATCTAACAAAACAAGAATCGCTCAGCAACAACAATCGTCAAAAAGTTCGACACCGACAGAACAAGGCTCATCAGCTCGAACTGCCACCAGTCGCTTGCGCCTGAGGTGGCGGATTGGGCTGCGAGTGAGCGGCAGACGATGCTGCTTGTTGCGGCTGCTGTGGTTGTTGCGCACCGGCCATCATCGCGGTCTGATCTCCACTAGGCCACTGTCTTCGCTCCATGCCATCCGGGCCAGGTCGAGCACGGCTGTTCAGCGCGCATCTATAATCGAACGTCTTGGCATCCGATACAGGGAAGTAATCCTCCACTTCATCATCGCTGTCAGAGTCAGATACAACGCCTCTTGCTATGAGGCCTTTCGGACGGGCTTTGCGCATTTCCAGATGCAACCGACCTCCTCGACCGCGGCGAAGACGAGCAGCTGGATGGCCATTGCGTTTGGCAAAAGCGGTATTGTCGTCAAAGAAGCCCTCCACCGAACACGGCGGAGGAAAGAAGAATGAAAACTGCTGTTCTGCACCTGGCAAGGTATCCTGCAGAGGCTTCGGATCCACCATATCGATATCACCATCACGGTCCTGCGAGCTCCTAGAAGGCAGTGACGGCGGTGGTGTGGGATATCCAGTACCTTCGGGAGACAGGAAGCCCCATTTGAGGTTTGACTCGTCCGGCTCTGGTGGCGGCGTGAGGGGATTCCACGTCTTGTCCTCCCAGTGCTGGTTCCACCGACGGTGCTGCTCTTTGCGACTCTCAATCGTATGGTTGACATGGGCTTCTGCTTCAGCTTGCCGGTCAGACAGGAGATCAAGGTCAGAGTCTGGTGCCGAACGATCTCCACCCGAACGCAGCCTAAGCGTGGGTGGTCGCTGGCCATCAGGTCTTGCCTTTGGCTTGGGCACAGGCTGTGAAGAAAGGTCAGCGGCGTTGAAGATGGACACACGACGAGGTAAGCGTACCTTTTGATTGACGAGCAACTCTTCGTCCTCGCCCTTTTCGCCAATGATGTTCTTGGCAATCTTGACATCTTTGAGTTGCTTGCGCTGCTCAAAGACTTTGCGAGAGATGTCGAGGTTGTCAGCGTTGAGTTTCTCACGCTCTGTGATCATCTGCACAAGCTGCCGTGCCTGCTCAAGCTCTAACCGCAGCTTCTTGATCTTCTCCACCACCTGGGCATCGCGACCTCTGGTTTTTCGAGTCTGCCGCACTTCACGCCGTCGGAAACAGACATACGGGTCCGCATCGTCAGCTTCGTTGGTTGTGTCGAGTACCCGAACCTTGATGGTGGGCATCAACGAGCGGCTGCCCTTTCGGACTGTCCAATACTGGTATATCGGCTTCAAAAACCGCTGTGCTGCTTGGGACAAGGAAGCTTCTTCGCGATGCTGCTCCATCTCCTCGAGACTGAGTACTGGGGCATCATCGAGATTGGCAAAAGGCTGCATTCGGGCGCTGGATTCCTCGAAGAAGTTCATCACCTCTTCGAACGTGTCCTCCGAACACTGGCTGGACTTATCCTTCAGAGGCTGGCCGTTGACATCTTTGCCATCGTTCAGCTGCTCCAGGAACTTTGCGTCATCCTCATTCATGCAATACGTGATGCCGATACAGTCTTCGACCGTGGAACTGAAACGAATATACGTCGCAGGTGGCGATCTGAAGGCTTTGGGATACAGCTCGTCATATTTGACGCCTTTTGCCTCAACGGCATCGGGTGTTGGAATGTAGCTCTGCTGAGTTGATGCACCTAGTACGGCGGCACGCTCTGCATTGATTACCGCTTGCAAGTGGTATTCCTATGGTGGTCAGTCTTGATGAATGGCAGGTAAGCGAACGATGAATACTTACGCCTTCTTCGCCTTTTTCGACGCCAGTCTCGACTTGGGGCGTATGCCGCTGGCCATCGTCGTCGACAGCGTCTTGCACATCCTGCTCGCGAATTATGCGCAGCGCCTGCTTGGTGTTGAGCTTGCGCTGTCGTACATTGCGAGCGACATGATTGCGCGTGGACATGTTCGGGTGCTGTCAAGATCGCGCATGCGTAGCCGACAGACCGTGCCCGCACAGCTGAGCACGGAAACACGGGCGCAAGTTGCAGAGATTTTCAGCGCGGCGACATGAAAAACCGCCCGGAAATCGCCCACAACACGCTCGGAATTCCCGGAAAACTCGAGGATATTCGAAACTGGCGCTCACGAGTATCGTGTGTGAAGCGCTTGATGATGGGCGATGGGGGTGGGTGGCAGGCTGACGAGATGGTCGGTCGCGGCGGGCAAGGGGGCGGTTGTTGTCTGATGTGAGTCGACTCCCAATACATCATAAGCGTCGTCGCTAAGCCTAATTGAGCCGCTCGATCTTAGGCTGAACCTTGTTCTCCAGCCACTCTGCTCGTCTTTCTTTAACGCCTCCGTCACATGTTGGGAGACGTTTCCTTCATTTCATTCACCTCACTTTTTTTTTCTTAGCTTGTCTCGTCAATTCGACTTGACGTGTACTCTCTTCTAGTAATGGGAAAACGATTACTAAAACTCTCCACTCAATTCGTCTACGTTTCTGCTGCTTCTAGTAACCTGTGGCTGTTCCATGGATGTCAACATTCCAGAGCCGTGGACGAAACATGGGGAAGACCCTACGCTAGAACATCATACAGCTGCCTACTGACATGTGAGTCTCGGCTCGTTAGGCTCGATGATCCGACCAACGAAGAAAGCCATTCAGATCAATACACTCGTCGATCCGCTCAACGTGGGACGGATGGCATCGTCAATCATCTCTCCGATTGTCAGCGCGACCGAGCTCTGAGTAGTACCCTGGACTGCTTAGATAGCTTACAAGTCTTGGAGATGGTTCCACTTTGAGCGGAAGAGCGAGGATAGCAACAAATATCACAGCAAGAATGGGTGTGATCGCAAGCTCGATGGATTACACAACACGATACGCTGGTTGAGGCGAATCAAGCGATCTATATTCCAACTCACATACCCTTCCCCCATCCCTTCCTTCCCACTACGCCTCCATCCCTTCCATGTCCATCCCCTCAGGCCAAACCCTCCCAACCGCCTCCACAACCCCCATCGGCGTCGTACTAAACCCAAACCTCACCCCCTCCCCTGCTCAAATTCACGACTTTCTCAAACAACTCCGTCAACTCTACGTTCCCTCTCAACCCGAAGCCGATCACGATGCCGTCCCAGCCCGGTTGGCTTGTTAGGAGTTGTTTGAGGCGGAGGAGGGAGTCGTTCGGGTCGGAGGGGTTGAGGTCGAGTTTGGTGCAGGTGAAGCCGAGAGAGGAGAGGGTGGAGGTTTGGGAGGCGACGGCGGCTTTGATGGTTGAGGGGGTGAGATTGGAGTCGGTTGTTGTTGTGGTGGATGGTGGCGGTGGGGAGGTCGGGGCGTATTTGCCTAGGCCGAGGAGGAGGAGGGTTTTGGGCATTGTGTTGCTTTGCTGGAAAGATGCGTATTGGATCGGACTTGTGCGCGTTGGCGTTTTGCTTTCTTTGATCGTATGGAATTCTGGATGCCAGCACCATAGAGGTGGACGACTGTCCCTCTTATATGCTCCGACTCTTGCCGCATCTTGTCGACTTCGCCTCAAGTGCTCTTGCCTTGCCCTTCTAATTCTTCTTTCCTCTACACTGAGACGTTCACCGGCCAATAACTTGCCCGAAGAGCTCGGATCGCATTCTTCTACACCGAACGTGCTTTTAGCCTTTCGTCCCAAAACGACGCTCCCCTCGCTTTCCAGTTCCCCTTTCGGAAGTTTCCTCGCCCATAGAAAAGCGGTATATCACCTCTATTGAGAACTACGTCGAGCAACGAGAATTCAGTCCGAAATTGCGTTTCTACACTGCCTTCACGGGACATCTGTACGGATATTCTCATTGACCGGCCTAGACACTCCGAACGAAAGAAGCCATACGACTCTTACTCTCAACTCCCTCCCACAACCTCCCGAACCCACTCCGCAACCTGTCCCGCCACAATCTTCCCATGCGCCCTCTCCAACGAAAAGCAGTGGTCCATCCCGTGCCTGTCAACGACCATCGTCGGCCGACCCCCCTGCCCCGCCCCATCCACCCTCCTCGCCCTCTTCTCAATCACCCGGTCCCGCGACGAATTATCAACCCAATAATCATCCCTTCCCCAGTAAAAGAACAACTTCGTCCGCGGCGAAGCAGCCGATGCCTTCACGGACGTTTCGGTGATGTCGATGTCGGGGTCCGAAGCGCCCCAGACGTTCGAAGGGTGCCATTTGTCGTGCTGGATTTGGCGCATTTCGTCAGCGGCGAGGTGGATTGTTTGGCGGACGCCGAGGGGGGAGTGTAGGAGGGCTGCAGTGATGGCTGTGTTGGCGGAGGAGGGGTTGGAGCCGGGGGTGAGCTCCGCGGGCCAGTTCCAGATGCGGATGGGTGAGATAAGGGTGGTGAGGAGAGTTGCGAGGAGCCAGGCGGCCCATTGCAGGCCGGGGATGGCGAGGACCCACTGGAGAGGAGAAGGATCAGTATAGAGACCGAGACGGAGATGGGATAGGAGTGTAGAACTTACCTTCATAACCTTCCCCTTCGGACTCTTCACAATATCCACCACAGTCGGAAACAAACAAACCCCACTCACAACCTCCCACTTCGCCGTCTTCTCCAAACCCTTGCCCTCCCCAGCAATCTCCCTCTGCCACCAATCCACCACCTCCATCAACATATACGACCCAACAGAATGCCCCACAAGCACGACCTTCAGCGGCTCCGCATCGTCGTCGACCCGATCGTTATACCGCCTAACAGCTTCGTTGAGCCGGAACTTCACGCCTTCAATTTGCTGGTACAAATCAAACGGCGGTCCATCTCTCATACAAACCGGCCAGCTCTCGTCGCGAGATGAAGGCCAGCTGGCTTGGAGTTCGAAACCGGCGAGGGAGTGGCCATACGTTGTGATGTGAGGGATACGCTCTTGTAAACTGTCCTTTCTCGCTGATGGTTGAGTGACCGGGCCATCGTTGGTGAGGTCTTTGTGGAGATCCGAGAGGAAGTCGCGATAGTATTCTACCACGCCTGGGTTGCCTGGCAGGAAGAATATCAGAAGGCGTTTGGTGTGTGGGCCGTCGCTGCGGTATTTGTATTCGATGAAGTCGGAGAGTGAGTCCGGTGGGGCCATTGTAGCGATGGAATGGATTTTTAGTCTTTCTGGTATCTTTCGATGGGAATGATGATGGGAGATGAAGTAGATAAAGAGGTTGTTGAGGCTTGAGGAAAGAGGTCTACGAAGAGGTGGCGGACGTCAGAACATTGCAGGAACGCGAGAAAGGGAAGAAAGAGATTCTGGAAGTTCCACCTACCTGTTATCGGCGTTCGATGATCTTCATGGTGTTGGACATGTTCGTTGGTAGAAAAGAAGAGACGCGGTCGTCTCTCAAGATGGACAAAGTTGTTGAGACAGACTCGACACAAGAAGTCCCGAACACGACAAAACTCTGAGACGAAGACGGCAGTCTATACATCCATACAACACAACACTTCTATTCTAGACTACAACCTCGCCATGTCCCTCTTCTCAATATACCTCTCAACATCCTCGATCGGATCAAATCCAAACGCCCACTTGAAAAACGCCGGCGATCGATAACTTGCGTTCATATCCGGCACCACTTTGTCCAACGAAATATCCTGGGTCGGCGGCGTCTTCGTCTTCTCGCCAGACTTGAGTCCATCGTCCGTTCCCTTGGTGTAGAGAACGTGATTCGACTTGGCCCAGTCTTTGATCTTGTTGACTCGCGGTTGTCGGACTTCTTGCCAGATCCGAGTTAGGGAGGGGACACCTCGGTGGAGGTGCTTGGAGAGGAGATGGGACAGTACGCCGACGTCTTCGACGATGGTGGAGAAGCCTTGGGCTGCGTCGGGAAGCATGGCGTGGGCGGAGTCACCTAGGAGGACGAGGCGTCCTTTGGGACTGATCCACTGCGGGAGGTTGGGCATCTCTGCCAGACGCCAGCGATCGCAACGTTTAGCGATTTGGAGGAACGAGGTGAGCGCTTTGCTGTAGCCTTTGAAGTAGTTTCGTACGTATTCGATGTCGCCGTTCTGGTAGCATTGTCAGTCAAGGAGTCCAACAATATAGCCATGCGATACGAACCTCATCCCACATCCTAGGATCGTCATCTCTCTCCGGAATGCCAAACGCACCGCTCAAACGATGAACGGTCTTGTTACACCTGATAACCGCATAACCACCGCCAGCTCGCTTCATCCACACAGAAAGGTCCGTGTTGTTAGCCAGCTCTCTCGCATCCGGATTTGCAAGGACCTCATCTTCTGACAGTCTGATCTGATATATCGTCGAATAGCCCGGTGCAGGCGCGGGAGCATCAGACAAGATCTTGGGGCGGAGCCGTGAAAGAAATCCATCAGCCGCGAGAAGAAGATCAGCTTCGATGACCTCGCCTGTGCTGAGATGCACTTTCGCTGTCGTATCGTCCTCCGAGACATCCGTCACTGACACGCCGAATCGAAACTTGACACCATGTTGCAGAGCATGCTTGTGGAACACCTTCTGCGCGTCCTCTCGAAAGCAGCCCCAGTCCAGATTATCATCAAAGACCATTTCGTTCTTCCGCCTCACAAAGACCTTCCCAGTTCCGCCGTCACGGTATAATGTTGCTTGGGAGACATCAGATATGTCCTCCATATCTGCTTTGAGGCCCCATTGTCGTAGGAAATACGTGGCGACAGGTCGGATCATGATGCCGCCTCCCTTTGGTTCGAACGTGGGTCGCCGCTCAAAGAGCTGTACATGATGGCCATTGCGAGCAAGGGATAGAGCAGCTACGAGGCCTCCCAGTCCGGCGCCGACGATGGCGATGTTCAATGAGCTCTTTTCTTGCATCTTTCAAAGTCGTCGCGATAAGAAAGTTGACGACGCTCTGTCGAAGAAGGCTTTGAGAGTGAAGGAATAATCCTTCGAGGGTCAGCTCGTGACGAACAACAGGTGCAGTCCATCCTAGCCATCAGCATACTACCGGCGTCGTATCCATGGAGCAACCTTACTTATGGCCGCTCTAACCGTCCGGGAACAAGCTACGTTCTCCTCGTACGCAGCGCGTATAATATGACATGAGATAACACGAGAGCTTGCTTCGCAGACGTCGTTTAATCCAACCTACCCTGATAAAATGTAGGTGCCAAAGGATCGATTGGCTGACTGCACGAACCTAAAGTGCCCATGTCACTACCTACGGACCGGAAACCGCGGACCGTAGGACAGCTAAGACCTCGGAGCAAGATGCTTGACTGACTTTCGATTGCAGTTCTTCATGGTATGCCCTCCGTGTGAGTCCTGTAAGCTGAGCACCGCGCCGGAGTCGAATCTGCAGAATTGCTGTTGATGTGTAACACCCACACGGCCGCTTCAAGTAGGACTTGCGACTTTCTCCCTGGCCGAAAATTAACCGTGGTGTGAAACTCCATGTCGCTGTGGTTCTTCCAAATGTACTTTCGATATGTCAATGCGAGCGGACGCTGAAGCTCTAGTGCTTCTTGAAGAGGTGGAAAGCCACGCAGTGACTGTGCCAATAGATGTAGTTCGAGATCCCAGAAGCTGTGAAGGCGCGGGAGTTGTTTGAGGAGAGGTCGTCGCAACGACGAAAGATTATCGATCAGGCTATTGCGTGCGAGATAGCAAGTGGCGCCAACAATAAATGTTGAAAGTGGCGAGAACAGCTTGCAGTGGTGAATGTCTGCCTTGACTCTGAGGGCGGCGTAGATGCCTCAGGCCGCTACAAAATGTGGGGAGCACAACGACAGCTCACATCATGCGGACATATGACCGACCTCCAGCAACATAAGAGACGGCTTCTTCCACGTCCTATTCCTCCAAACACCAACCAGAAAATGTCCAACAAGATTCAGAAGGTGCTCGCGCGCCAGCAGACAAAGTATACCATCTCGATTTCCCCTCACAAACACCAAAACTAAGCACATTCCCTCCCACAGAATCTCAGAAGGCGACTTCTACGAAGCCCACCAACAACTCCGCACCATCGCCAACCGCTACGTCAAATCCCAAGACTGGCCCGCCGCCGTCGACCTCCTCTCCAATGGCGCCTCGATGCTGCTCAAAGCCGGCCAAGGCGGCTCCGGCTCCGACCTGTGCATATACCTGATGGAGGTCTACCAAAAGGCTGAGATGAAGGCGGACGTGGGCAACAAAGCGCGGATACTGGGCTTGTTGCGAGCGTTCCCACCGAATGAGCCGAGTAAGAAGAAGTTTGTGACGGGAATTGTGGAGTATGTATTGCACATTCAGAGGCATGAGAAGGGGTAGTTGTGCTGACGAGGATATGATATAGATGGTCGAGCAAACACAGCGAATTCCCCTCCGGCGACCCCGAACTCCACCACGTAATCGGCAGCCTCTACGCGGAAGAAGGCGAGCCCTACGACGCCGAGCGCCACCTCACCCTCGGCACCAGCGACAGCGCCGCCGTCTTCGCCGACATGGAATACGCCTGGTACAGCTCCGACGAACCCTCGACCGCCTCGCACTACGCTGCGCGCGCCGTCTTCCCCTACCTCCTCATCGGCAACACGCGCGCCGCGAACAAAGCCCTCCTCCTCTTCACCTCCAAACTCTCCTCCTCTCACCCAGGTCTCGGCGTCCAATCCATCTCCTCCCCCTCCTCCGATATAAGGATCTATCCCTCCCTCCCCCTGCTCAACTTCCTCGGGCTGCTCCTCCTCGCCATCCAGCGCGGAAGCGCAGACCTCTTCAAGCAGCTCAAGACACATTACGCCGCGCATCTGAAAGAAGTGCCACATTGGGAGGAACCTCTCCTCCAGATCGGAGAGATGTACTTCGGCATCAAGATCCCTTCGCAGAGTAACCCGATGTTCGACATGATGAGCAGCATGCTCATGGGCGGCAACAACCCTTTCGCGCAGAAGAAGAAAGAGTCGAATCGTGTGCAGGCCGCGCCAGCAGGGAATAGCTCGTCGTCAGGGGGACCAGGGACGCCCGCGCCTGCGCCGGCGGTGGATTGATTAGATCTTTTTGAGTGGTAAAGCGACAGGAATGGCACAAATTTGTGATATGACTAGCATGGTGTATACGTGGATACGAGCCTTGTGGATACCCTGTGATTTGAACATCGACCCTCCCTTCTTCTTCAAGCTCTCTTTCAAACGTGCCAAAACGACAGATTGCAATTTTAAACTGAACTGTAAAGAAAGACAGTGCTAGAAAAGTGATAAGAGAGCAAAGTGATCTGATTCATATTTGTCCAGCGCCACACGCAAAAATGCTATGCCAATCGATGATGCCCCTTCTTCTTTCTGTGTCACTTCAACTCCACTCCACATCCATGCTTGCTTTACCCCGGCCTTGCTCGACCCACACCATACATATATGTACACTCACACACAACAACAACCCAGAACAAGAAAACAAACCCCCCACATCCACCACCTCACCCCAACCCCCAACCTCACAGCAGCATCCCCATCCCTCATCATCACCTCGCAAAAACCTTCACAACCCCATCACCCCCAGCACTAACGACCAACCTCCCATCCTGACTCCAGCAAACATCGCAAACACCCTCGCCGCGCATGGGCCGGTGCGAGGTGATATCCTGCGTGCAGATGCGCTTCTCGAGCGACCAGAAGCGGATGCTGGCGTCGTGGCCGGCGGAGACGGCTTCGCGGCCGTCTTTGGAGAGGGAGAGGGCGGAGATGGCCGAGGGGTGCGCGAGCATGGTGTAGGTGCACTGGCCTGGTGGGGTATGTCAGTATATTGCGGGGTTGAGGAACGGGGAGGGGGGAATGCTTACCGCTGTTGGCGTCGAAGAACCGGACGAAGCGGTCTTCGTGGCCAGTTATCACCACGCCTTCGACACCTTCTCGGCTGCCGGTTGCGCCGCCGCCGACGTCTTCGGGTTCCATCGCTCTTGAGGGGTCTCCGCCTTGTGCGGCCTCCAGTCCGTGGCTCGCGGCGACAACTGTGTTAATGCTCGTGTTCATCGTACCATCATAAGTCTCGTTGCTCGCCATGCCGATGATCTCTTCTCCGGTTCTGGTGTCGAATACTAGCGTGGAGGAATCGGCGTACGCGACCACGAAAGTGTCTCCAGAAGGTGATAGCGGACAAATGCTCGTTGGACTTGACTTGCCGTCGCCAGATCGCTCGATTGAGTGGATTAGCGTGTAGCTGAAGGGTGTCGTGCTCGCCACGCTAGGCTGTGGACTTGAGGGAAAGTTGCTGCCGCTGGTAACGCTGTGCCGTCTGCTACCACCGACACCACGCCTGCTGCCAGTGGAGGGCGATGATGTTTGAGGAGGCGCACTCACAGCCCAGACCTTGACCGTCCCATCTGCAGATCCAGAAACGAGCAGTAGTCGGTCAGGACCGCCAAAGTTGCTGCTTTGAGGACCAAACACAACGCCGACTGAAGCAGGTAGCACACAGACAGTCCAGACCGCGTCGGTATGTCCCTCCAGAGTGGCCTTTGGATCCACTCGACCTCTTTCCCAAATACGAATTGTTGCGTCCTGACCACCAGAAAAGATCCAGCCGTCACCGTTAGCCCTCCCGCCTGTGCTGAATCCAGTGCTTGGAGGGGGTGCCGCCAGAGAAGTCACGACTCCATCATGGCCTCGGTGCGTGAAGTATGCTGTAATGTCAAGATCTGAGGAGTTACTGTTTCCAGGATTGTAGTTTTGATATGTCGCCGGCACAATCCAGCGTTTGATCGTCCCGTCATCGCCAGCCGTACAAACCTCAGGCTCGCTGGGACTGCCACCTCCGCTGAAAATGACACTTCGCACCACATCCAGGTGTCCACGCAGAGCAAACTTGACTTTGAACTGCGAAGGATCATCACTAAGCGTCGTGCTCGTGCCATCATGGGTTTCATTTTTGCCTTGCGAGCTCCGCCGCCTCGACATTGCTTGTGATCCAGAGCTTTTCCGTCGGTGTGATTGAGGCCCGCCTCTTGGGGGTGACTTGGCTGGAAGTTGTGAGCTATTGGCAGCTGCAGGAAACAAATCGGTATCAGGCCTTCGCGTAGGTGGTACCTCTGGTAGAGGAGTAGCGGGCAACGGAGTGTCAGGTTGTGGTTGTGGAGGTACCTCCTCGTCGAAAGTCCAACCATCCGTGTCAGCTTGTTGTCGAGCTTGTCGTTGTTGCGTTTCCGATTCATTCACTGGCCTTCCTCGGTTGTCGAAAGTGTGCGTCACACTCTCTACCTGGTCGTCGTAAGGTGCTGGGATGTGCTGAGTTGGAGGCGCAACCATTTCGGTAGGCGGCTGATTAGAGTTGGCATAATCGACATAACGTACTCCACGCTGACCATCATCGTATTGCACAGACGTCTGTGGAAGACTATTCGGCACAGGTGGGGGTTGATGATTGGGCATAGCTTGTTGTTGCGGTAGGACTTGACCATGCTGGCGAGCATTTCTCTGAGGCTGTCGAGGATACATCTCTTCCATGGGCAAAGGAGGCTCAGGTAATCCGGTTATATGGCCATTCGGTAGTATCTGCGGCGGGGGTGGGTGTTGCGGCGGTGTAAGCAAGTACTGTATCTCCTTCATGCAGCTCTTCAAGTATTTCGTCGTGTTGTCCAAGTACTGTTCCCGCTCCTTTTCGCTGGTGTCCTGAAGCTCGGCCGTGTCCAGGAAAGAATTGTGCGGGAGGTACGAAGCTACGCCGCAAGTTAGCGCTCTGCCCTTTTCCAGCAAAGTCTCCCCCATGTACGTACGCTTCACATGAGCATCATTCTCCTTCTCCTCACTCAACTTCTGCAACCTGCTCTTCCCATCGCCCGTCTCAGCCTCCGGCTCCTTCGCTTCAGACGTAGCAGCAGTTCCATTAGGGCCCTGTTTCCTCGCCTGCCGCAAAGCATTCTCCAGCATCCGCACCTGCCTCTCCAACTGCTCATTAATCCTCTTCGCATGTCGACACTCCCCCTCCTGCTTCGCAATCTTAGCCTTCATCTCCGCCCGCTCGATATCCCAAGCATTGCGCGCTCGCTCGTGGTTGTGCCATTCGATCTGCAGGAACCGCATTACACCTGTAGAAATCCCCAATTAGCTTTTCCTTTCCCCTTCCCACATCACAGCATCTCCAATGCATGTTGATGTGTATATTCATCACGCACCTTGCAGCGTATATTCGGTGCCCTGCGGCCCATGATGCTCCCCGGGGCCCGGCCCTGGACCACCATTCCCAAGCCCACCCTGCTGCTGGAAAGCCATGGCGGCGAGGCAACCAGCAAGCTACTCAGATATTCACTCGAGTCGACCGTCGGAGTTCCCGCATCGAGAGAATGGCGGCACAAGGTGTCCGTGTTGTTCGATTCCAGGGAGAGGGTCTCGAAGACGGAAAGCTGAAAGTTGGCCCTTGGAGTGGTGGAGCTTCCCAAGAGCGCCCAACGCCGGGGAGGGGACCAAGAGGCGGGCGAAGAGGGCGTTGTACAGGAAGTTGGCGGAGAGCGATGGTAAAGAAGTGAATGGGGAAGAGTCGTCGTCGTCGCGTGCGTCTGCTCGCGACTTGGGAGACGTTCACTTTCTTGGGTAGCCGCTGAGCTAGCGCCCGGAAGCTTGGCTTGGGACTTGCCGTGGGAGACATCACGTGGTCGAAACTCTAAACCTCAGCTTCGTCTCGAAGAGCTCTGAGATCGATACACATCATTCGCAAGACATGAACAATTGGATACTGAAGACACGACGACTCACAAAACTGTTTGATCCACGACAGTCATTTCAAAAGCTCTTGCACAGCCAAATTTAAATGGTAAGGCAGCCTCGAAAATCACGTCTTCTCAACTCTCTCGAAGCCACTTTGCCTTTGCGAGAATAGACACAATGGAGGCCTCAAGTCGAGATCTTAGGCGAGATTTGTGATGAAGAATACCGTTTCAGTTGAAAAGCAGACCAGAAGCGCCTGCCTCATCATCCTTCAACCAAGCTGTTGGATTGACACAAGCAGACCCGTCTGTCCACGCCGCTTTGCATCCCTCTGAGCCCTCGTCGTCGCCATCGTCGCTCAAAAGCCTACGCCATTCCTGCCTAACCCCTGTAACTCCACAAGAAGTTCAACTCACCCCCAAGTCGTTCTCAGTACCAGCCTCAACTCCCGTGGCGAAACTGCTCTTGACAGTCGAGGTCAACACCTAAAACACGGCCCTCCACACCGACAGGTCCCCTACCGAAGTCGCCGGCTTTCCTGAACGTCGTCCAGCTTTGTCAAGTGGCGATACAAGGTGCAAATGAGAAAACACCTGCTCAGTGCGTACCATTATTCATCATCCATACTCTTCAAAACTCAGTCTCGTGATATCGACGCCCATGCTTCAGGACAATGTTTCATGAGCTCAGGTACGACCAGGACATCACGCTGGCTCTCCCGAGGTCGTTTCATAGCTTGCCCTGTTTCAAGGAACCAATGGGCCGACAATAGCAATGGTGGGTAAGGGGTCGGGGTCGGAGTCGAGGTCAAGCACTTCGACCTTGCCGTAGAACGAGATGTACAGCCAGAAAAAGTGAGCGTTTCCGATGTAATCTGCGAGCCGAGTTGTCGGTATGGTGAGGACTGCGCCCAAGTCCGAAAGCTCTTACGGAGGTGAGCGATATAAGACTCTGTGACAAGACATGGAGTTGTGGTCATAAGGCTGGCGTATTGTCAGCACTGTAACCGGTATTTGTCGAAAGTGCTGGACAGGACGCCTGTCAATGGACGTGATTCGCAGCAATTGTAGAATGCTATTATGCACGCGGTCTCCTTGCTCTCGACCCATGAGCAAGAGAGCCTCCATGGGAACGTATTTTCGAGGCGCACAAACAGAACAGCATGAGGTTGGCCTGCCGACAAGCTCAATGTCGGATGTGAGCTCTGAGTCTTATGCCCACATGTGTTCGTAAGACCGATGCGAAGAGCTTGCGAAAAGTCGCATTTTCAGCGAAATGACCGGAATGTAAACTTCACACCTCGAACAGTTGGACAAAGCAATCATCAGTAGCTTCAGTCACGCGCATTCAAATCGAACTTACCTTTCGAACTTACCAGTAAGTGGTCTCCTCCAGCCGCTCTCGAGCGGGGAGTGGCCTCAAGAAGTCCGTGCTGTAGCAAGAGCCCAGTTCCAAAGTCCAGGAACAAGCAGAGAAGGTTGAGCTCCTCACATGGCCGCCTCAAAGTCTGATGTTTGGATCACTGTTGTGTTGCTGCTTGCGACCTTCACGTTTGTGCGCTTTGCCATGGTGTTGAGACCAATGGACGATGTGGCGCCATCTGCTCGTGCTCAACGCAAGAGGTTGATGACCCTCAGAGCGGAATGCCTGCTCTCATCATGAGGCATTTTAGGGACACCGATGCACAGTCGAGAGAGCACCCCGAGTCGACATAACTTGCTTGCAGCACGGGGAGAAGCTCGGATTGTGCAAGCTTTCAAAGGCCCTGCGTTAACGCGCGAGTCAATAGCAACGATATCCTCGTCACGCTGCACATACAACCACAATTATCCCTGGTGCCTGACAGGATAGAGTTTGCGCAAATCTCTGATCTGAAGCGCACGAAGCAAGTTGCACTGAACGTGATGGCGCAATGAGGCGTTGGCCACTCGATCACTCGAGCTGGCGGCCCAGTTCACCCGTTGATCTTGCAACTGTGGTGGGCATGTGATGTGTGTAAGTGTTGTCGTTGCACGGACGGATATGATGGAGCCAGAATCTGCTCGAAAAGCCCTCCAATGTTGGAACTTCATCGGGTGAAGTGCAACGGTCAAATTGTTCGAAGAGCAACCCACTCTGGCGTCGACCATGGTCGTACCTTCCAATGCCTTTTCCAGAACTCACGTTTCAGCGAAGTCTGAAGATGGTGCGGGTGCCTGAGGGTGGCCAGAGTTCGAAGGAACGGCTATGTCGACCTAGGCCCTTTCTCCGTCTTGCAGCGGCCAACTTCTTACTGGGAAGAAATACGATGAAAGCAAGGTCGTCCTGAAAGCTAAGTGGAAAGCCATGGAAGAATGCGTCCGGGCCCGATTCAAGGGTAGCCTGGTCCAGCTGCAGTTTTTCACGTTCTCGTCAACTTGAAACACATTTGCTTGGAGTAGAACGCCTGCCCATCGGATCGGATCGCGGGCTTCAAGCCGTAGACGGTGGGTCGGGTCGAGAGGGTGCACTGGGATAGTGTGATTATGTTGCCAGCCGCAGGCTTTGCTTCGCCACGTCTTGCCATGTTCCAGTTGGGCAGCGATTCAGGTTGCACGCCGGCGACGCCTGGCTGCGCTTGTCGTGGAAGTGGTGAGAAGAAGAGTCAGGAGGGCCACAAGTCGGCGTGTGGTAATCATACCAGAGACAAGAGATGTTTTTAGCTGAAGATGGACTGTCCAGGCCGTGCGCCTCGAACGTCGTGTTTCACGTATTCTCCGATGGGGGCACGAAACAGACGTCGCAAGTGTTTCGAAGCGGGCATCTATATAATGTGGCGAAGACAATTGCTTGTTTGGGATCAATATGCGTCGATCGTACAGTCCCGAGACGCAGGGCAGAGTCGTCATGTTAGTGTACCCAGATCATCTCATCAGATCGCTCCAGCACTGCCGTCCTATACTATGGCGATCTTGAGTAGTGATTGATCTTCTGGAGGCTGGCGGTAGACGCGGTGTCAAAGAAGGAGTCTACCAGTCTGACTCGTGGGAAGTGGGACCCGAATTTGCGAAAGAAGGCCGGTCTATGACTGCTGGAGAGATTGTTAGCTAGCGGTATTCTGCTGAACGAAGGAAATGCCAGTCCGATGCTTCTCGCCCGATGGGACACATGCAATTGCCAGAGACAGGACGGGCCATGACTTGTGGGGCTTTTCACGGACGTCACCCAGCAGCAAGCCACATTCTGCACGGTACGGCTTCCATCCACGGGTGAGGCGTAGTTCAGGTAGATGCACGGTATAGCGTGACGACTTCCGGCCCAGCTCAGCAAGGTGAGTTGGAGAGTTGGCCGGTGGTGCTGAGGATAGGTGATGGAGAGCGAAGTTCTAGAGGCTGCAGGTGTGAAACGCTCGCCTCAGCGTGCCGCCGGTACCTTGCATGTTGCCTGTATGATCGACAGGCGTAAGAGAAGTCAGCCACGAGCAGGCGCCGCGCTGGGTCGGGAGTGGAGCGGTTCTGTAGGACAGGCAGGCTGGCCAACTGCAGCAGCGAGCGGAAGAGAGGGCAGAAGAGTGGGTGTGCAATTAAAGCATGCCGCCAGGTGTTGGCCCGGACAGCAGTGCCAACGGCGATGCGGTGGTACGGGCCTTGCAGTTGTCAACGCCACGCGATGTGTGCGAGGGCGCGGGGGCCGGAGCGACTCGTGGGCAGCGTCGAAGAGAGGCAGAGAGGGCGGATCGGCTGCAGGTCTCGACTTGCAAGCTGTGTGACGAATGTTCAAGTCCAACATCCCCGTCGTCCGCAGAGACAGAGAGCCCTTGGCGCCGGAACGGACCCGGATCCACGCGCACTGGCCCGTGGTCGCCGCCGCCGTGATGAGGGCGTGACAAAGTGCGGAGGCTGGCCAGAAGTCATTGCTCGAGCAAATGCCATAGCAGCAAGCAGGTGGTGTTGTCGTATATGCGTAGTTGGCCAGCAGACGCCGGGCAAGCACCGCCCACCACGCAGCAAAGCAGGATTCGGCGCATCTCATCCGCAGCAGAGCCAACATCACGACAACGACCAGCAGGCGGGCGGGCGGCTAGGGGGGTTGACTCGCGCGCAAAAGACTTGACAAAGCGGCAGCCAACCAACCTGGTCCAAGCCCCGAAGCCGAGCGCAGGAGCAAGCAGGGCCGTCTTGAAACGGGGCTAAAATTCGAAACTGGCGTCGCACCTCGCTGCTCTGCTCCCACATCTCCTCCACCCACCGCGCCCTCTGAAGCTTACCTCTCACCACGACCACCATCTTTGTCTCAATACCGCGACAGCCTCAGCTTCACTTCACTTCCCCCCCATATCTTTGCCACCAGAGGCCGGCCCTCGCCCCATCCCCTCCCCCCGTCTGTCCACGCAGCAACGCTCGCGTCCTCCGTTCGTTTCCACCGCGTAGCACCGCCCGAAAACCGCCGCGCACGACCTGGCTGTCGTTGCACGCTGCTTCAAACCACCATCCAGCTACGCGCGAGAGCCATTGCAACCTGCGTTTGAGATAGAGACGCGCGACTTCGTCTCCAGCCCTCGCGCACATCTGCCTCCACTTTGCGACGCCGGCCGCGCACCGCTGGTCTCGCTGTTATGTATCCCAACCACCACCACTCGGCCATGCCGCCGCCCACCACCCAGCAACGTTCCGTCGCCCCAGAGACCTTCCTCCTCGACCAGGACGCCCAGCAGAGCCTGCCCCAGGACTCTGTCGTTGCCCTCCAGCAGGTCGACAACCGTATGTTTGGCTGACCGCTCCACGTCAACAAGCCGCGCGGCATTGGCTAACCTTAACCCAGTGAAATACTTCCTCATCTCGGCCCCGGTCGACTGGAGCCAGGACCAGTATATCCGACGTTTTCTGCTCCCGACCGGCGAATATGTCTCCTGCGTCTTATGGTACGTCTGCAGCATGCACCAACCCGCGCGGCTTTGCGCTGACTGCAAGCAGGAACAATCTCTTCCACATCTCCGGTACCGATATCGTGCGATGTCTGTCCTTTCGCTTCCAGGCATTTGGCAGGCCTGTGAAGAATACGAAAAAGTTCGAAGAAGGCATCTTTTCTGACCTGCGCAATCTCAAATCTGGCACCGATGCCTCGCTCGAAGAGCCTAAGAGCCCATTCCTCGACTTCCTCTACAAAAATAACTGCATCCGCACGCAGAAGAAGCAAAAAGTGTTCTACTGGTACAGCGTGCCACATGATCGCCTTTTCTTGGACGCGCTGGAGCGGGACCTGAAGCGCGAGAAGATGGGCCAGGAAGCAACGACTGTGGCCGTCAGCGAGCCGGCGCTTTCCTTCGAATTCGACTCCTCGCAGTCCCTCTTCGAGCAGCTCACCAAGGCCCAGCAGAACAACCAGTCGACGTTCAATGCCCCACCGCAGTCAATGCCTCCTTCGCATTCGACCTCGCCCGTTCTTCGAGCAGCCGATTCCATGCCCCCGCCTTCCATGATTCCTCAACAGCACATGCCGCCAACTTCGATGCCTCAGCAAATGTCTCAACCCAGTATGCAACCAGACATGCACGCTGAATCATTGACGCATGTGCCAACGTACTCCCAGATGGCGATGCCGCCTATGCCGTCTCAGATTCAGAAGACGCGTGAGCAATCGATAGGCCCAGTCTTCGATCGCAACGGTGTCCCCATTTCGCAAGTTGCAAACAGGCACAGTTCGATGCCAGCATACATGGAGTATTCACCCGCACCGTCTTTTGTTTCATCGCATCTGGGTGAGGACTACAGCCAGCGTGGTTTATCTTTCGAGCCACTTACTCCACCGCAACATTCAGTCGGCATGCCATCTGAGCCCACCTACATCGCCAACGAGGACACCGGTCTCTACGCAGCAATACCTGATGTCGGCCTTCAGCAACCGTTCAACCCACTCATGTCTGTTCCACCAAACATGCCTGGCGCTCACTACCCATCGTCAATGTCGCGCAGCTACCAACCGCAGCAGGTCTACTCTGTCCTGGAAGGCTCCCCTACTTACAAGCAACGGCGACGACGGTCCTCACTCACCAACACTGCCGCTGTTACCACTGGTGTTACATCTGCTGGTGGCGTCACTGCGCATGCTCACGCTGTGCACCGACCAAGTGATCTTCGCCGATCAATGTCTACGTCTGTCGCGCCACAAGCTATCCCAGAAGGCCATGAGGTGTCGTACAATGACTCGCCGGCAAGCATGCACACGAATCAGCACCCCGGGCCCATGATGGGCGACCACAAGGAGTTGATGGATCTTTCACGTCATAGCACACCGTCGCATGCCGTCGAAGGGGCTATGGACGAGCGGGCGCATCGTCAGCCAATGCACATGGGCAATGTTCACAGCGAGGACTTTGCGCACGGACACTACAACTCTAGCCCAAGTCAAGACTATCGCCATCCTTCTCTCCAACACCATGCGGTGCAGCGCACTGCCAACGGTGTCTTCCGCAGAGCCCGCAGCGCGACCGTCAGCGAGCTTGGACCATACCCACAGAAGAGCCACTCATGTCCGATCCCCATGTGTGGTCGACTCTTCAAGCGATTAGAGCACCTCAAACGTCATGTTCGTACGCACACGCAGGAGCGACCATACCTCTGCACCCTCTGCAACAAAGCCTTTTCCAGATCTGACAACCTAGCACAGCATCGCCGCACGCACGAGACTAGCGCTGATGGCTCAGCACCGTCCGAAGAAGAAATGGAAGAGGAACGTGACGCAATGGCTGAGGCGGAAGATGGCCCAGAATTGGACGACGCGTCCTACCAAGCCGCCATTGCAATGACGACCGGCCAGGACCTCCCAGGCGTCATGCCCACGCACATCGATATGCGCAGCTTGAACCACGCCGAGATGGGACCTCCACATCAGATGGTGACGACTGGCGACTACCAGTAAACTCAGCAGCAGAGCTACGACCAAAAGTTGACACGGCTTTGTCCCTTATTTTCGCTTCTACGCACAGCATACAATACCACCAGTTTCACACCGCACCGACTTTTATTCAAAGCTTTTACTTCCTCGTTTCGACAGCTCTGAAACTGCACGGGCAGCATGACCACCACGACCGAGGCAAAGCACAACGCGCCGCAGTGGAGCGCTCGTCATGACATGTATGATGACAAACAAGGCATTTTCTCCTTTCAATGGTCGTTCAATGGAGGGATTACGGACGGAGTGGGGTTTGGCAGGTCTGGCAAGCAGCATTGCAGAATTTTCGTCACAGCGCCGGCGAAGGTTAGGAGTTGTTTCTTCTTCACAGACGCGAATTAACCAGGACTGGATGGATTTTGACAGACGGCACAGGCAACTAGAATACGGCTTCTTGCTTGTAGGATTTTGGTTGCGTGGATGAGTGGGTGGGTGGATGGTCCTCTGGCTGTTGACAGCATTGGTCACCATCTTCTTTCGTCATCCTCCGCGCGACTTTTGTTCATCACGGGCATTTTGTTTACGTAGGCGTTGCTTATTGTCCGTCGTCAGAAGAATCCATCAATAAACGAGCATCTCGCTTGATTTTCTCGCCTGCACTGCCACAATGCCACACGTTCCTGATGAGAGGAAAGAACGATCGAGCTAAATTTAAGGTTCAGAACTCCTGCCTTCTTGGGCGTAGCGTGAAACACGTCTGCTTCGACTGCAGGCCGTGCCTTGCCTTGCCTTGCCTTGCCTTGCCTTGCTCTACGAAGGTTCGTCGTCAGCTTGGTTGTGTACGCAGCTTGCATGTGCTTCGTGTCCTGGTTGCTATATTTGATTGCTATATTTGCTTGCTTCCTTGCGGGAAAGGCTACAGCATTTTTGGTTTGTCAATTGAGAACCTGGTAGTGTGTGAGTGCGTGTCGACAGCTGTGCGGAAAAATCGGTCTTGTGGGCTTAGCCTGGACAGAGGGGTGGGTGCATGTGAATATCTCATCCCAATCGGGTGGCACCGGCGGATTAGACTACTGGAGAAGGAGAATGAGAAGTCGTAGATGCTAGGCTGAGCTCGAGGCGATGGAGACGCCTACGGCCGAGGTCGAACTAGGAACGTACCTGCTCAGCCGAGTCGATAGGCGAGTCCTAGGCGAGGAAAGATATCACGACTTCCGTCAGTAGCCGATATACCCCAAACTCCGCTGCGAACAGAAGTGTACGCAGGGTCTGAGAACATAGGGAAGGAGAACTCCATGGAATCTATCGACGAGTAGAAGGGAGGGTAGTGGCTTCGAGAGGTAGCTTATTCACTCGAAGACCGGACATGATAGTGGCCGTGGCCCTGGTAGATTACTCCATGGATCGGATTTGTTGACCATGTTGGGGAGAGTTTGAGGGCCCTCTCAGGCGTCAACCACCACGTGGGTGTGATGTGAATGTCGAGGCGAGGTGGTGTTTAGGGGTGATGTGAGGGGTGATGCTTGTTGGAAGGGGAGCTCACTTAAAGAGGGACGATGGAAGCACGATCGGTAACGAGCGTGTGTATACCATCGACTGTGAGTGAGCGAGAGACCCTGGCAGTCTCCGCAGCGTCGGACCTTTTCCATCATATCATCCATTCCATTCCCAGATCGCTCCCCCCTTTGGCGGTCTCAGTAAGTCGGCTCAAACCAATACTGCAAACACCCCACATTTACCCACCCGCCCACGCCTCCATTGCCCGTACACTGCGTATAGCAGCGCCTCCAAATCTCCTTGCAGTACACCCCATCGTCGCCCAAGGGGTACTGCACATTCTGCTCGTCCACGCTCGTCACGCACCCCTCGATCCACCGCACGCCGTAGTAGTACCCCTGCCCCGTGAAGATGTTGGACGTGATCTCCGTGTGCCAGTCGTCGTCGCCCGGGCCGAGCAGCAATCCTAAGTCGACCGTGGTGCGGAAGACTTGGTCGATGTAGTCTTCCTGGGCGTCCGGGTCGATGTCGGGGTGGTCTTCGAAGTCGGCTTCGTCCCAGCAGCCCCAGTCGCCGATTTCGAGGGGTGTGGTGGGTGTTGCGGGGGGTTCGGAGGAGGTGGATGTGGTTGAGGGCGGGGGTCGCGAGGTTGAGCTTGCGACCCAGGAGGCGCAGGTTGTGATGTCGATGCAGACGGATTGGCCGCCGGAGCCGTTGCATTGTTCGGATGTGGTTGTCACGGAGCAGGAGCTGCCTGAGGGGGTTGAGATGCCGGTGGTTCCTGTGAGTGTGGGTAGTGGTGGTGTGGTTGATGGGGGTTCAGTCGTCGAGCTCGCTGTGCTGGATGATGAACTGCTGCTGCTCGGCAATGGGATCTCGCAGGTGTCGCCTTCTTGACGGGCCAAAAGAGCTGCTGGAGGGTTTGGATTCCACGGACAAATGTTCTGTGCCAGATTCGCGGTGTTCCAAATACCTGGGCAGACAATTCCAGTGTCATCACCCGTACCACGCGAGTATCGTGCGATTCGGGACCATGCCGAGTTAATCATGAAGGTCTTCAGTCCATCTGGCGACGTATCGACAGGAGTCAGGTCATCGTTGAACAGTTGGCCGAGCTCGGCGAGTTGCAAGAAGTACGCTCCCAGTCCTGCCGTCATGGCCGCAGCTGAAGAGAAAGTCAGCGAAACATTATCGAGAAAGTGATGTGTGGTACTGACCGTCAGAGGTACCTCTGGACTGTTTGTAGTCCAACTCATCCTCGCTCCATGACCGCACGGGGTCATATGTGGACCAGTGGGCTTCATTGCCATCAGCTGCCTTGACGTCCAATCCAGGAGCGCAGATATTGGGAAGACCTTCTGCAAGTTCGTTGTTTGTTCTGTCCCACCACTCCTGACCATTGGTCGAGAGTGCACCTGCAACTAGCAGAGACGAGATGTAGCCGGGATACGACGGTTTGCCTAGCCTCGCCGGCCAGCCTTCTATGACCTGATTACCGTTGTTGCCAGAGCCTGTTACGATCAACGCTCCTTTGCTGATCAGGTTGTTCAGCAAACGTATCAAGTTCCCCTCCCAGCCTTGGTAGTCGTAAGTGACGGGCTGCACTGGTGCCCCACCGGGTTCTCTTCGAATGAATCTCTCCAGAAGGTAGTGATGCGCCAGTAGGACAACTGCTCGTGTAGTAGAACTGCTGTCTTCAAGGTCGCGACTGACTTGCTCCAGGCCTTCTAGAAAGTCTTCGGCCGTGAAGCCACCGCCGAGGGGTGCTCGGCGCGGCATTCGAACGGCGATGAGATCTGCTGACTTGGCAACGCCGACAGTGTCACCAGCTACCAAGCTGAGCATGGTGGTACCGTGGGCACCACCAAAAGGATTGGTCCCGGCAGCATCGGTCTGAGAATCATCTTGCGGTTGCGAGTCTCCAGGCTGCAGGTCGAGATCTCTACCTACATGGAGGAAGCGAATGCGACTGCTGGCTCGTGTGAGTTCCTAGATGTAGACGATTAGTACTTGGCCGTTGGGTATGGGTATGGAAGAGAATGGGGTTTCATACAGGGTGGTTGCGATTAACTCCAGTGTCAACAATGTAGACCCGGATCCCTTCGCCATTGCTTTCATCGAAGTAGTACCTGCCGTTGAGAGCACCAATATCAATACCTCTCGATTCTGGCCAAGAAACGAACTGCAGCTGCTCGACCGCGTTCTGATAGACGATTGCAGAAGTGGGATCATCGCATTGTTGGTCGCATGGGAGGAAGAGATTGACGGAAGCGACCTGGACTTATGTTTAGTACATCTTCGACATCTTGACTGATGCATATGCAGAACTTACACCAGCGAATTCACGCATCTCGTTCGCCTGGGTCTCGGTGATGTCCAGGCGCCAGAAAAGTACACCAAGGTCCTCAGCGTTAGAGGTGTAAATCTCGGATGGATCATCGACGTAGGTCTGAAGTTGAGTATTGATTGCTCCGACAGATGATGTGTCAGCGCCATTTTCTGGATAGATCACGTATGTGCCAGTTGGAGCGCTGCAAGCTGGGTCGTCGATGACGCCAGTAGGCGTGAGAAGGCCGCAAGTCACGGTAGTGGGAGTCACGGAACATCCAGATGTCACTGCTGTGCTGGTGGTCGAGCACGATGTTGAAGCTGTGCCAGGGCAAGAGAGCCAGATGTTCGTAGCAGTCGTCGCAGATGTGCAGCCTCCAGTGGTGGTTTCTATAGTACTGGCATCCTGGGCATTGCAACCAGCAATTGTAGCACAGGTAGATAAGACCTGACTTGTGGTAGTGACTGTCACGCCTCCAGAGTTGGAAACTCCGTACGAGGTTCGAGTTGCACACAGTTCAGCAGTCTGCGTCTCGCAGGATGTCGGGCTTGATGTGGGTGTGTAGGTTGGGAGATGATCAGGACCAATAGTCAGCTCTGGCCAGTCCGGTAACGTGCCTGTGATTTCAATCCTAAAGGAAGCCGATGGGTCGATTGAGATGGGCGGTGGAGGGCCAGGAGGCCTGATACCTGGAGGTAGCACGATTTGCCAGCCGAAGATGTTGAAGTCATCCCATCGAAGACAGATGTTGAAGAACCACAGCGTACAGGGGATGATTGTACCGTCATCAGTTGGTTGAGGCTGGTCTACCGGCGTGGTAATCGGAATAATGAAGCCTGCTGCAGTTGATGAGCTCGAAGTGGTTGATGAGGGAGGCGATGTGATGGGTCCTGGAGTGAACGTGGTTATCTGGCCGTCAGAGTTCGTCAAGGTAACTGGGGTCGAAATCCCAGTCGGTATTGTGAACACTCCGCTTGTGTCGGAGATTATAGTCTCACCGTCAGAATTGGTTGTAGCGGAGACAGATGGTGGAGGAGCAGTAGTATCTGTAGTGCCGGAAGTGGGAGAGCTCGTGCTACTCGGGAATGAGGAAAAGCCGGACGGTATGAATGTAAAGGTTTGATCGCCTGCGGTCGTAGTGAGAGGTGTTGTGATGCCCGTGGGTAGGGTGACAACTCCATCCGTGTTTGAAATGACCGTTTGAGAATTTGAGTTGACAAATGTCGTCCCGCTGAGTGTGCCTTCCGTCGAAGAAGTGGTCGAAGGCGAGGGTATGAACGTCAAGGTTTGGTCGTTCGAAGTGATCGTGGTAGGCGTTGATATGCCAGTCGGGATGGTGAAAGTTGCGCCTGAGCTCGTAATGATAGTTTGCCCATTCGAATTCGTAGAGGGAGGGGGTTGAGGGGGCAACGAAGAGTCGCCCGAAGACGACGAAGGAGTGAAGGTAAAAGTCTGATCCCCAGAGGTTATGACAGTAGGAGCGGTTATCCCAGTTGGGATCGTAAAAGTATTTCCCGAGCTCGTTACGACCGTCTGGCCATTGGAATTGGTTGAAGGCAGATTGGTAGTACTTGATGTTGTGGAAACGTCAGACGTTGTACTGCTTCCAGGATTGTCGTTGGACTGCGATGGCGATGGGGTAAACGTTAAAGTTTGGCTGCCCGATGTGATAACGACTGGAGTACTCAAACCGGTCGGGATTGTGAATGTATCCCCAGATCTGGTGATTATGGTTTGGCCATCTGAGTTCGTTGGCAGTAGAGTCTCAGACGTTGAGGAAGAGGGAGGCGTGCTGCCGGTGCCAGTGGAGGAGGTTTGTGTCTCTGAACCACCAGAGGAACCTGTAGATGACGAGCTGCTTGTCTCCCCTGGAGATGACGGCACTGTAGTGGTGCTGCTACCTGTCGACGGGCCCGAACTCTCTTCTGTACTACTGAGAGTAGTCGAAGATGAAGCGGTGCTTTCGGATGATGTTGGAGGCGGCGCAGTTGTCCCATTAGTCGTGGACGGGCCGGTAAACGTGTACGTAGTGTCCGTGACCTCATTGGTGCTCGAAGATGTTGTCGATGAGCAACCATAACAGGGTGGTACATTCAGGGTGGTTGAGCTCTCTGGGCGTTCGCATTTTCCTTTGTTGCATGACCATGATTCTGGACAGCATCCTTGACCACAACAATTTTCGTCTGCAACTATGATTAGCACTACTGTTCAGTGTGCAGGGCATTGATGAGTGCATACCCCCGTCACACAAGTGTTTGGACTCAATTCCATATCCATCGAGCACGGTGCAACATTTCTGATCGTAACCCTTCAGGGCACAAGGATCTGTTGGGTAGCCGTACTGCGGAAGAGGTGCAGCTTTGGGTGCTGGAGAGGCTGCAACGTCTGTCACCCACAGCAAGGCTGGTGACAGCAGCACAGCAAACGTGCTCAAGAGCATGTTGTACTGCACCAGGATCGAGCACCACGTTCTTCGATATCAGAGCAGGTAATGAAGAGGAGGTAGGAGCTGGATGTGTGCTGTAGGCGCTGGCATCTGCTGCTTTGGGGGCGTGATGGACGCTTGCTTTATAGCCATTGCTGTTGCTCGCCTTTCGATTTATCCTCGAATTCATTCCCATGCCAAGTTCAACTCTTCATCCTTCGAATACGCCAACGCGGGGCGAAGAATGTCGTGCAACTACAGCTGAGACTGATGCCAAGCCATGAGAACTCTGGATCTGGGGCAATGTGAGGCGTTCTGTGCAACTTTGTGACACTGCATTTGAACGCCATTGGACCTAGCTGGTCCAACAGGTAAGTTCCTGCATATGGAACGTAAGTGGAAGCGAACATGTGGGTGCTGACGCCCTAACGCGAGAGGCGCATTTCTTTGTGCCTGAATGCCCAGATGAAGATCTGCAGAAACATTGCGGTGAGTGCACCTCCTTGAGTATGTGTGGTGATTGCCCAGACAGTACAGACTTGGCCCACGACGGTGAAGGATCTCTGGAGTTGCGGCTGTATAGTGAGTAACTGCTTCCAGTCAACTTTCCGAGGTTGGTGATACTCTGCGTGTTGCTCCCTCTGTCTAGAGGACCGCCATGCTGGTCCAGCGTGTTTCAGTCTCCACTGAGAGACGCCCTTACAGCATGCATCTCAGAAAATATGGCCTGGATGGGATGATGCTCTCGTGGAGTGCATGGCTCACCGAGAACGGACTCAATGGCAGGTGATTTGCATGGCGTTCAATGTCCATCTCGATGGCCTTCACGTAGGGTAAGCCCTGTCAAGATTCGTTCCTCGTTCACAACGCTCGTCTCCGGCACCGGGTCGTCGGTAGTCTTGCTCTGTTGCAACCCATCTCCAGAGCCATGCAAGATGGCATTTACAGGGAAAAGTAAGAAAGCAGGGGAAGCGCATGTACCACACTGTGAACAGACCGGATCGGTGCGGTTGGAGCGGATCGTACTCGTACTTTGCGTTACTCCACTCCCAAGTCGATAACGTATATGGCTGAACTCGAAACACTATGTTCAGCTTTAATCTAGCAATTCTCGCCAAGAGCTGAAGGATTTACTCCTACAAGGGGCGTTGGAAGAATGCCAACATACATGACCAACATGAACCGGGAAACGCCGTTGGGGGCGAAGTCGAAGGGCGTATGGTGAATGCTGTGTCTGAGGGCCGTACACATGAATTTCGCAACATCGGGTTACTATCTCTGCTGGGCTCTTTCAGGGTCGGTCCCAATTCCATCAGGCGTCACATGCCTTTTGCATATTGTTCCATTCGTCTGCTAAGGGCCGCGGTGATCTTGCTTTCAAAGGCCATGGCTGCTGTTGTTCAAGAACAAGAATTGCGCGTTCCCGATGTCAACATATTATAGTATGTCACTGGCTCCCAGCGTTTACATCGATTGAGCCGTTCGAAAATGTCCCATTCATCTTCATTGACGGTACTTGGCGAGGACTATGTTGGTACTATTGAAGTGCACGAAAAGCGAAGAGGCTGGTGCTCGTCGTGAAGCCAACGCGTGAAGTCGTTCGTTGTCCGATTTAGCTTTACGCACTGATGCCCTCGCTTCATGGGCCAATCCGGACCGAAGCTGGATCTAGCGTGCCAAGCCGAATCGGCTTCAGCACTTGCGATTTTGCTTGCTTTGGAGTTTGAGATTCTCCAGTTGCACGGAGCAATACATCGCCATCACCACCATCGCAATGGCACCAAAGGACGCAGCCAAGGCCAACAAGGGCAGTAAGTGAAGATCTGAGGACGGACACGCTGGAATGCGATAACAGCGACGCATTCGAATCTCCTTCTGGTCTGCAATACTGACCAAATTGACAGAGAACTCCAAGGCCAGCAAGCCATCTGCAAAGGCTTCTGCTGCTGCCAAAGCGACTCTTCGCGGTGTAAGCACCAACCCACCATGATCGTCTAGAGGCGTGTCAGAGGAACATGATTCTGACGGCCTGTTTTCACACAACAGGTCAACTCGCACAAGACATCCAAGGTCCGGAAGAACACCTCTTTCCACCTTCCCAAGACCCTCCAGCTCTCGCGCGCGCCCAAGTACCCCCGCCGCTCGATCCCCCACCAGCCTCGCCTCGATGCCGGAAAGGTCATCATCCACCCTCTCAACACCGAGAGCGCGATGAAGAAGATTGAGGAGAACAACACCCTTGTCTTCATGGTCGACACCAAGGCAAACAAGAGGCAGATCAAGCAGGCACTCAAGACCCTGTACGACGTTGAGACCATCAAGATCAACACCCTCGTCCGGTAGGTTTAGAGAGACAATGTACTTCAAGGGATAAATTTCTGACGAGGATGCTAGCCCCGACGGCACCAAGAAGGCCTTCGCTCGCCTGACCCCAGACGTCGATGCCCTCGACATCGCGGCCACCAAGCTCGCAATCGTCTAAGTGCGGGATTCTTATTTGCGGTTGACTTTTAGCATTTGGCACGGCGTTTTGAGCGCGGCTTCGCTCAGGAGGGTGGAAAAGACGGAGTTCAGTCCTGCCATGACGGTCCATGGACTAAGACCTTTTGCCAGTTTCAGACAAGGCGCATATATAGCCAATATGCACTTGCCATGCTATCAAGTCCGCCGCATCATCAAGTCCACTTATCTCTTCTTACTCGTGATGAAGTCTTTACATTCTTGTTGTGTGATGAACCAAAAGTAGGCCATGTGTCTTAACACAACAGTGTGTTTAGTTGAAGTCTTGATTGCTTCAATTGTTGAGCGTAGTGTACAGATACTATACATTGGCCTATCTGGCAGGCCCCATGCACGTGCAGCTCAACCGCTGCAACAGCTCAAGTCTGGACACGAGCTGGAATAGCATCTCCCCGGCCACCTGAGGCCTCTATCTTGTTCGTACAAGCCGTCCATACTGTACAGTGTACCCTGCGCCGCGCTATGCAAATGCGATCCGCTCGGCCCTATCCACCTCCTCATGTGCGTCATATCGTCCACCATCTTATACGCTTTCTTCCATCTACATCGTCCGCATCTGCTCAAGATGACGAATGACAGTCATGTTGGCATCCATGAACCGATCGACGCAGTTGCGCAGGCAAGGCTCTTCGCTACGATCGAGTGCGGCGGCTGAGATCTTGCCCGTGACGCATTTGCGGAAGCAAGTCTCTGTAAGGCTGTGGACGGCTGTAGAATACTTAGCGTACAACCCTCAAAAAGCTCATGATGATGTTGCAGAACATACCTGACTGTATCTGTGCCTTTTGTGCTTCGTTTTGAACAAACTGGTTCAGCTCCTGCTTGTCCTTGGCGGACAGGTTCTGCAGGCCTTGGGCGGTCTCCGGGCTGATGTTGAGCTGGTCCATTGTCGGTAGCGAATGGGGTCGATATCTGCGGTGAATTGATGGGACAGCCACGCGCAGTCTTGAAGTGCTGTCGTGCTGCCGCGCCTGCTGGTTCTTCGCAGAGTGAAGTCGGGCCGAGGCGCTGATTGGCTGGCCGCCGCTTCCCCACGCTCCAGCGTCAAGGGTCTGTTTCCCTCAGCAGATTTTCCTTCAACACCCAACAAGACGTCGCCTACTGAGCTCGCAGCTGCTGCACCGCGCATCCAACCATACCCGTCGTCGCAGCGCACCGCCGAAAGCGTCATCACCTCGCCTCGCCTCTCTGTCGATCGTTTGCCCAACCAACACCACACCGCCGCAGGCACCGCCGCTCGCCATGTCGGAGCCAATCTCCAGCAGGAACAACCGCACCGCTGCGCCAGCACCGTATGTCGATCCCCTTGGCCCAGAGCTACCTATCTTCTCTCTGCTCTCTACACCCTGGGCAAATACATCACAGTATCTCGCACTAACACCATGGACTCCAGAACCCCGCAGAACACGCCCGCCAACAATGCCCCCATCTCGTCTCATGCCCAGGCGCCGGGCATCTCGAGCATCAAGGAAGGTGAGTGGCGACTGGCCTGTGACAGACCCTGTGAAGAGCCTTGCGACTGACAATATCTCCTACAGAGGACCTTGACCGTGCTGCCGCCGCTAGCATCTTCGCGCAGAACCCTCGTCTCGTCTCCATGATGCAGAACAAGCTGTCGAGTCTGGTCGGCAAGTCGTCCGGCTACGTCGAGTCGCTGCCCGCCCCGATCCGGAGACGTGTGGCAGGCCTGAAGGGTGTGCAAAAAGAGCACTCCAAGCTCGAAGCCGAGTTCCAAGAGGCCGTCCTGGCCCTTGAGAAGCAGTTCTTCGAGAAGTTTACCCCACTCTACGAGAAGCGCGCCAAGATTGTCAACGGTGACCAGGAGCCCACCGAGGCTGAAGTCGAGGCCGGCGAGGCGGATGATGAGGAAGATGAGGAGGCTGAGCAAGAGAAGGCAGAGGCCGACAAGAACGCCACCAATGCGGACGCGAAGGGTATCCCAGAGTTCTGGCTGAGCGCCATGAAGAACTCGTCTCTCGCCGAGACCATCACCGACCGCGACGAGGAGGCGCTCAAGTTCCTCACCGACATTCGCATGGAGTATCTTGACCGCCCAGGCTTCCGTCTGATCTTCGAATTCGCCGAGAACCCATTCTTCAGCAATAAGACTCTCTCAAAGACCTACTACTATCAGGAGGAGAACGGATATGGTGGTGACTTCATCTATGACCATGCAGAGGGAGACAAGATCGAGTGGAAGGCAGGCCAGGATCTCACCGTGCGAACTGAGAGCAAGAAGCAGCGCAACAAGAGTATGTTGGATATTGAAGTCCTGAAACAAAGCATGTTTCATGTGCTGAGCTAACATGTGCTACAGACACCAAGCAGACCCGCATTGTCAAGAAGACCATCCCCACGCCATCATTCTTTGACTTCTTCAACCCCGCCAAGCCACCGTCAGATGACGATGACGATGAGATTGATGATGAGATCGAGGCTAAGCTCGAGCTCGACTACCAGCTCGGCGAGGACATCAAGGAGAAGCTCATCCCACGCGCTATCGACTGGTTCACTGGTGAGGCTCTGCAATTCGAGCAGGGTCTCGATGACTTCGATGAGGATGACTTCGAAGACGAGGACGATGAGGATGATGATGATGACGACGAGCGGGATGAGGATGACGAGGAGGAAGACGATGACGAGGTAAGGAGCGCAAACGGCGCATGTATTGGCCTTTGATCATTGTACTGACGGTAACCAGGAGGAGGGCAACCCTAAGTCGAAGCAGGAGGCCGCCGAGTGCAAGCAGAGCTAAGCGCGACGAACCCCTACACTCCACGTGACACCATCCCACGGCATCATCCGATTAGTTCCCACACCAAGGAACCGTCTCGTCTCTCCAACTGGCATCGAAAGTTTAGCGAAGATAGACACCATCACGACAGCCCGCGCGTGAAGAATATTCGACCCCGCTGGCTTGCTTGTACATTGAAACCTAAACACACCCCCACCGACGACCCCAATGCACACTCTGACGCCCTGACGCTCCTTAACGACTCCGGCACAAAAAGCATGCAGAATGGCGTTTGTGAATTTCCTATGTTCTTACTGTAATACTGAGGGGGAAGCCAGCGCGAATGGGAATACGGCGAAAGAGAAGAAAGACTTGCGGCAGCGATGGGCCTGACCAACATTGAATTGAGCAAAAAAGCGAGCGACAACAAACGAGAAAACTTCTGTCCGGGAAGACGGCGCATCGGAACTGGCTTGCAAGGGCGAACGCGCTAGCAGATGACCTTTGCTACTGACTGGGAGGCTAAATGATTGACCTTTTGCTTGCGTACTGTTTCGCTTTGCGTCTCTCTCGGCGATGGGGCTAGATAGTTTATGTCCTTTGAAATCGCAGAACTGCAAAACACCAGATCGTACTTTCACACCGCCAATCCTTCCAAGTCTATCCACTAGGCTTAGTGTCTCTCGCTATCGCCTTGGTATTGCAGCAGATCCGAGTGTACATTTATCTTGTGGGGGTGCAGTGTAATACGCATGAATATGATCACTGGGGTATCTGCGCTATGCTATTGTCGCCACCAAGAACGCCATCGCTATGCATCAATGGACCGCGTACTTCACACCCCCCGAGGAGAAGTCTTACACCTCCGGCTCCAGCACAACACAGAAATTGTTCATCGCCGCGCCATCCCTCACTTTGACCTTCCCAAACCTCTGTTCCTTCCTCGCAGCCGGCGCGTCCCTCAACTGCCAGAGATAGTACACCAGTTTACTCGTCTGCTTCCTCTGCAGCATCACATAACCCAAACTCGCCATAATCAGCATCAACCGCTCATCGTTGAAATACCGCGAATTGACCACGCAGGGCGCTGGGAGGACCAGAAACAGCAGGCCGGCGAAGTCACCGAGTGCGTCTCGCTTCTGAAGGAACCTCGTCGTATGCTGGAGCATATTCCCCCTCTGCTTCGCATCCGGCACGAAATTCAACACCAGAGAGAGGGAGATGACATCGAACCTCTCCTCCTCCTCACCGCTCGGCACCGGCCTCTCCATGAAGTCCTGCTGCAGAATCCCCGGGGCTTGTGAGTGCAAATCAATCCTCACGATCGGATCGAAGAGGCCGGATTTCGAACTCTCGTTCTGCGTCGACAATGCTCCTACCTCCAGCATCCGCATTTTGGGGAGGTTGTGAGGCAGCCATTTTAGGAGTTGGATCGAGGAGTCGCCTCCCCGGGCAGAGGATTGACCTTGGATGCTGGCGGCTTGGTAGGCTTGCAGGCCGCCTAGTTGGGTGAATTGGGCTTTGAGGGTGGTGATGGTGGGTTCGTCGTTCTCGGTTTGAGCTTTTGCTAGGGCTTTGTTGAGGTTGTGGAAGGTGACGATGGTTTTTTGAGTCGCTTTCGAAGAGAGGTTTGGTGGGGTATTTTTCGCTGTTGGTGGTCGGCCGGATTTGAGGGACAGTTTCTTTTGGGTTCCCATCTCGAAGGGTTTTTAGATGTGGAAGCGACGTTGGAGGTCTTGTCAAGGTGTGGAAGGAAGATTTCTGGATCCAGCTGGGAGTCGCCGTGAATCGGTCATCTCGAGGTGGCTGTCTATGTTCAATGCCGTTTCTGGCAGAGATGCAGCCTGCGTGTTGTTTCTTATAACTCTTTTCTGAAAAGTTCGTGCTTCTGAACAGGTGCAGGTGAGGTTGATTTTGTGTGCTCAGATGTTCGCAAGCGGGAGCCAATGTACGACGGAAAAGAACGGCGTCCACTTGCCTTGCTTCGTTGGGCTCTTCACCTTCTCCTGGACTTCACGACCATATGTTGGAGACATCATCGTGCGCCATCAAAGGCCATCACAGGCTCTGAATGAGAATGTCTCTTTGCCTTTGGACTGTCCATACAGAAGAAAGAAAGAGCCGCCGCAACATCCGACCGAAGAGTCTGGAATCGGTGTCTACATCCAAGGCCGAATCCCTCCGCAAGAAAACCTTGAGAATGATGAGGACGGAAGCGATCAGATCTTGCATCAAGACGGAGCCTGCTCCGCCCATAAACCTATTGTTTGACAAATGAAGTGGACCAGAAGAAAGACCATGGATTTCCGCGGTCTCTGTATGCTGAAGTGTATCGTCATCCGTGACGTGAGTTGACGTATAATGGAACAAACTCAATTCAATGTGTTCGACATGGCAGAGGAAGATATAAGAAAGTATCGAGTCTGCCGACGGAACATTCACAGCTGACATACGCTCTACGAGAAACAACAATCTAGTTCAGAAACGACTACTCCATATCACGATGTCATCGAAAATTCCAACTACGGGCACCAGAACAACACTGGACCCGACCGTCTCAGCATTCCTCCAAAAGTTCCCCAACTTACACCTAGGAGGACGTGGCGACTTCCATGATGAACGAGCCCATCACTTGAAAGTGTTTGGAATTCACAACGTCCCCAAAGACAAGATCCATCCCATCCACAAAGTCGAACACACCGCAGTCTCAGGTCCATATGGAACGATCCCGATCCGGGTTCTGTATCCGTCGAGTGGCCAGCAATACCGTGAGAACAAGACAGCCGGTGCCTTGATCTACTTCCACGGCGGCGGGTACACTGTGGGATCCGTGGACGAATTCGAGAATGGACTTCGCCTTTTGGCGGAAGAAAGCGGAGTCCAAGTCTATGCTGTCGAATACAGATTGGCTCCAGAGCACAGCTATCCAGTCCAGCTCGACGAATACGACGCAGTCATCGACGCACTTCAAGGCGAGTTCGGAAAGGCTCGTGGCGTGCACCATGTCCTGGGTGGCGGCGATTCCGCTGGCGGCAACATGACTGCCGCAGTGACTTTGCGCAGAAAAGATAACAACAAGAAGCCATTGGCGGCACAGATTCTATTCTACCCAGAAGCTCGAGTTCCCTTCGACACTCCGGCAGCGGTCGAGAACAACACCGGCTACTACCTCGAATGCAACGGCATCTTCAGCTTCGCAGACCACTACCTTCCACGAGGGACTCCTCCTAGCGACCGCTATATCTCCCCTGGAATGCAAAGTGTCGACAAGTTGAAAGCCCTACCGCCAGCCACGGTGTATACATCTGGTTTCGACCCACTCCGGGACGTTGGCGTCGAATACGCCAGCAAGCTGGAGCGGGCGGGAAACAAGGTCATCTGGAGACATTATCCCGCCATGACGCATGGCTGGCTGCAGATGACGGCTTGGAGTCAGGCGGCGCTGGATGCCGTGAGGGAGGTTGCTAAGGATGTTCATGTTCTTGCCTATAGTCAATAAACGGTAACGGGAATTGAAATGCTGCTGATTCGCTTGTTGTCAGAGTCCGGAGTTATTCACTTCATCCCTGTCACTTCCAGCGCCATTTCTAGAAAAGGCATCAGCCAAGACGGAAGATGTCCAATCATTCGGAGGCCTACACCGACGGCATACTCCACGTCTGTCATTGCTGCAAGTCTTGAAGAACACTTAGAGTTCGCTACCAGAACGGTGAGTGACAGGCGAGTAGAACAGTCTGATGGCTTGTACGTATACACAGCATCTGAATGTGGTGAAACTGACTCCAATGTTACTGCTACAGGCGTCAGCTTCTACAAGCACTGCGAGTAATCTACGACCTAGTCAGCAAAGAGCCAATACCCCTTCTCACACTGAAACACTCACAATCATTCTGATACTGGCACGACTCCCCAGCCGGACACTGCGTAGGCCCAGCCCATCCAATCCCAGCACACTGGCCATATTGAGTCTGAGTAGGGCTGGCTGGGCCGCTTGAGGTCGTAGTGGTTGTGGTTGTGGGACCGGAGTTGCCGTTGCTCGGGATACACTGGGAGTAGTAGTCGTTTTGGTACTCGCAGTATGTGCCGGGTGGGCAGGAGGTTGGGCCGGTCCTGTCGACGAGTGAGTTACTCATTGAACGTATTAGTGTTGTGATGACTTACCATCCTTGGCCGCCGCATTGTCCCCATTGCGTCTGAGTTGGGCCGCTTGGATCCGACGTGGTAGTCGTCGTTATGGGCGGAGGTGTTGTAGTAGTGGTGGACGTTACTGGTGGAGGAGGCTCGACAGTGCCGCCCAGAGCAGCCTTGAGAACAGGCACATAGTGGCTAGAAGATGGCCCATTCGATGGCTCAACACTGTACCATCTGTCACCCCACCAAGGACCCTACGCAAGAGTAAGTGAGTAAGATATAATTTGATCAAGGCAGCATATCGACACTTACAGCAGCCCACCAAATAGCACCCATCCAAACATCAGTGTTCGACTGCATATACGACAGCATATCCGAGACAGCGGCTTCGCAGGTATTGTCAAGACCTCCAGCGAACTCGCCAATGATTCCCTTCTTCCCGTTGGTGCGAAGCCAGTTGGTCGCAGAGACAAGACGTTCGCTTCCAATCGTGCTGCTGACACAGCTGGGAGGCTCACGGCCTGAAGCGTACTGGTCGAGGTACTGGTGCATTTCGTAGATGATCTTGTTGGAGGGATCCATGAGGCTGCCCATGGTTTCGGCGTTGGTCTTGCAGTCGGTGCCGGTGCCGTTGGTCCAAGTCCTGGAGAGTGTCAGATATGGCCTCTTTGGAAGTGTATAGTGAAATTTAATACCATGCTCCGGTGTATTGGTTGCCCTCGACGAAAATGTACTGCGAAGTGGCTCCAGCGCCGCGGATGCCGTTGATGGCGGCTTGGTTTAAAGAAGCTACGAGAGATCCGTCCATGTCGTGGTACCTGAATATCAGTCAGCTACGTTCGAAAGGCTCTTGTGCATCTCGAGACTTACTCGTTGTTAGTATCGAAGATGATTTTACTGTTCCCCTTGAACTGGCCGGCCACCTTACTCCACCAGGACTGAAAATCACTAGTCGAAGTGATGATAGCATCATTGAACCGCCCATAGTTGTGAGCATCAATGATCGCATAAGCCCCAGCACTGGTAATTGTGTTCACCGTATCCGTGAGATGGCCCAAGTACGCAGAGTCAAGGGCTCCAGACAGGCCGCTCGGGGTCATTCTCTCCATCAAGGTAGGAACCCGAATGATGTTGAAGCCCTGGCTGGTGAAGTCTGGATTGAGGATGGGTCTGGGAAGCGGTAGTCGACATTGTAAGTTCCTGGTCTTTTGTCTGGTGTGAATTCGGCACAGGCTTCGTTGACGCCGACCCATTGTAGCTTGGAGGCTCTCTTGGGGAGGCCGGCTTTGGGTGCTGCGAGGGCAAGACCGAGGAGTGTCGCGGCGGCAACGAGACTTGAGGAATGCATAATGTTGGTCTGAGACTTCAAGATGAGCTCGTTGCAGGTCGAGGGAGGGAGTGTATGCTCAGGACCTGGGATTTCACCTCCTTATAAGCCTACCATCCACGAATCGTACTGACCATCGACAACGCTGGCGTAGGCATCGTCGGAGTGTCTGTCGTTGAGTCCTCTAGTCTCCTTCCATTTTGGGGTGGTGTCAAACGAAGGCATCTCGTTTGTTTCTCACATGAAGCAACGATCGTCATGTCGCCGTAGTCGTTGCTGCCGTCTCTGTAGGCAAGGCGTTGCCTAAAGACTGGAATGTTACAGTGCAGCAGTTCGTCTCAGCTCTTGACAGTGGTCGTGGGCCGCTCAAAGTCAATAAGAATCGAATCCTTCGCAACTCAATCCACGCCTTCTACTGTCCAACAATCCGCCGGCAGCTCAGTGGTGACTTGCTCGCTAGATGTATCTTTCTGCTTCCACTGTAGGCGAATCTTGTCCAAGTAGCTGCATATTGAATGCACGTGGCGTCGAGGCTAAGACGCTCATTCACTCAGACATCGGAGCAAAGTTGCGGGAAGCTGCCGCACATGCTGCTATTGCTGCGGTCAGCTGTAACATCTCGCGTATTAGCCGTGGTTCGCTGCAGGAGTACGCCGCTAAGGATAGGTTGTCGTCGCCGGTGTTCAAGAGCCTCAATGTCACCAAGGCGCCTGTTGCAGGTGAAATAAGCCATGAAGCAGCCACATTGCGCGAGGTTATTCACTGCCTTCCCTAACCGTGTGTTGTGCTCTCAGCATGGGCCAATCAGGGGGTTGAAATCACACCACGAGGCTGTGGTGCGTCCACCTCCATTCGGTTGGATGGACCTTATTCGTGAGCCCACCGAGGATGCCTAGCCGTTTCCAGTATTTCTTCAGAGATAGTTGCCATAACTTCCAGGACTGGCAATATTTTGGAGAACTCAATTCACTATAAGGAATCGACGCACGGCCCTCGTTTGCAGACTTAGGGCTCGAGGTGCAAACGCCATAGAAAATCTTGTCGAAGCCATTGATGGCAAGTCATGGGGATGTGTCCGATTTCGCAATAGTCGACGAGCCAGTTCGCTGTTGATGCTCGGGGTTGCACGTGGAAACTCCGGGACGAGCTGAGCTGAGAGCACCATGAGTGTGGTAAAGACCCTCTGGAAAGGGGGCTTCAATAAAGTACAGCCGTCGCATTCTTCATTCTATACAGTACTACTAGTAGTCATTGAGAGGAAACGCCATCAACGCTAATACGAAATACAGAGCAGGAGCAAGACAAACAGTCATCCCAGGGGTATCGTCAAACCTCATGCAGGTGCTTTCCTCAACCCACACCAAGGCCCCTCGCCCCATGGCCTGCTTTGATGCTCGCAACTAAAACCTAGGACCGACTCCTTTAGTCAGCCCCTATGCTGCCGCGGTCACCTCGTGGGTTGCCTCCTCAACGCCAGACTTGACGTTTTCGCTGGCGTGCTCGACGTTGTGGGCGGACTCAGCAGCCTTCTTCAGGAGGTCCTCTACCTCCTGGACCTTCTTCCGGAGCTCGGCCTTCTCCTTGTTGGCTTGCTCAAGCTGCGACGAGAGCTCTGACTTGGAGGTCTCGATGCTTGACTTCTCGGATTCGAGAGACGAGACACGGGACGAGAGGGAGTTCTTTGCCTGTAAGATAGTTAGCGCACTGTCACAGTGAAGATTAGCGGGAGTTCATACCTCCTCAGCTGCCTTCAGCTTCTCCTCAGCCTCCTTGCTCTTGCTCTGTGCCTCCTCGTTGACCTTTCTAAGCTCATCGAGCTCCTTGGCCGACTCCTGTTGCTGCTTCTTGAGCTCTTCGCTCCCACCCTCGACAGTCTTGACCTTGGCGAAGGCCTCGCTGGCAAGGTCCTTAACCTTCTTGATCTCGACCTCGTGGATCTCCTTCAACTTTCTCTCAGCTTCCTCGGTGTTCTTGCCCGCTGACTGCAGCTTCTCAAGCTCAGACTTGTACTTCTCAATCTCAGCGGTATGCGACTCAGACTCATCCTTCTCCTTCTGGCTGGTCTCTGCAAGCGTGGTCTTGATAGCGGAGAGCTCTTCGAAGAGCTTGTTATGCGCAACCTGGAGCGACGCATGCTGTTCGCGCGCGTTGTCCAGATTCTTCTTAAGAGCTATCGCGTTCTCCTCTGATGTACGCTTGAGCTCGTCACGCTCGTTCTTGAGGGCGGCAAGCTTGGCTGTGGTATCGGCGAGTTCCTTGGCGGTGATGTCGACTGCTTCGGTGGATTTGGTGAGTGCGTCGTTGACGCTCTGCAGCTCTTTGACTCGACCAAGAGCTTCAGAGAGGTCCTTCTCGAGAGAGGCAATCTTCTCGCCGGCCTGGGCCTCGAGCTGCTCCTTTGCCTTCTCCAGGGAGCTGACCTTCTGATGGGCTTGCTCGAGATCGGCCTGGACTGCAAGAAGCTTGCCCTCACTCTCTTTAGCCGCATCCTCGCTCGACTGCTGGATGATGGAGATCTTCTGCAGTGCTTCGGCCAGATCGGTCTTGGTCGCGGAGATGGAAGAGTCGGCTTGCTTCTTGGTGGTCTCGAAGTCGCTCTCCAACTTGCTGTGCGCATCGTGAAGGCTACCGTACTTCTGCTCGCTCTCCGTGAGCTTGTCCTGGAATGACTGCAGCTCTGCACGGAGGTGGCTCTCGAGTTTCTCGCGTGCCTCTTGCGCATTGCCGAGTTCAATCTTGACCGCGTTCAGTTCTTCTTCCAACTGCTTGTTGCTGTGTGTCAAGCTGCCGAGCTTGTCCTGCAGCGCCCTCAGCTCATTGCGTGCCTGATCGCGTTCTTGAGTGACGCTCTGGCTGACACGCTCGAGGGCCTGGCGCTGCTCATCCCTCTCCTTCTCTTGAGCCTGCAGTCTGTGCTCCGTCTCGTGCTTCTCTTTCAGCAAGGCCTGGTTTTGCGCATCGAGTTCTGAAACCCTCTTCTTGAGTTGTTCGATCTCCTTGGCGGCACCCTCGGAGGCGTGCTTGGAGGCAGAGAGCTCCTTCTGCTTGGCCTCGAGCTCTCGAGTCTTTGCGTCGATGATGTCCTGGCGAGCCTTGAGCTCCTGTTCGGCCAATTCGAGCTTCTCCTTAGGAATGCCCGAGGAGCTCAACAAGTTGCCCATTATGGCGGTGTGCGGTGTGATAGGCTGTTAGGAAGTAGGGAGGTGCAAATGGGAGGTCAGGTCAGCAATGAGGGGTGACGATGGACGTCTTTGTATGAGCGCAAAAGAAACACGGCGGTGGTGATGCCGGATGGGAATGAATCAGGTGCGGTGTGCAGTAGCGTGGCCTACAAACACTGGCTGCCGCTGTTGGGTGTGTTGTTGTTGCTGCTGGGCCCGCGTATTGTTCGGCCGTTGCTTCTTCAAAATTTACTCGCGCTGCCCACCCCTGCTAGAAGCACCGCACTGTCCATCGGCGGCGGCAGGCTCGTGCACACGTCAATGCATGTGACGATCGTGACAACATTCACTTCACCTGTGCCCGGGCCAGTCATGGCCTGCTGCTGCGAGTCGATTGCTGCCCATCCTCCTCCGCCAGCGAAGCCTCCCCCTCTCCTGCATCCAACCACGCCGGGTGGATCATCTCCCGCCGCATCCTGGTCGAGTCAGGGACCTCTTCCGTCGCCGACACATCAAGATCGCATCGCTGCCATCGGGAGCGCGAACGTCATGGCTGGGAGAATGATTCAGGCGTGGCGGAGAGTGCATGGCAAGAGGTGAGGTCTGGGAGAAGTCAATGAGAGTCTGGTACCGAGCTGTCTTGAGTTTCACGTCCCTTGCATCCATCGCTCGCGCGGAACAAATCCGCTCTTCAAACCTACGCGAAAGATAAGACGGCCAACAACACCATCAATTGTTTCTTCTGTCCAGACATGAAGGGGTAGACAACCTCACTCAGGAAAGAGATAATAATATGATATAACACTTGCCCAGAAGCATCTCAAGGCCCCAGCAGACGATATCCTTCCTCCTAAGGAACTATTCTCATTAGTCTCTCAATCTCTCGTTTTTGACATGCGCATCGTCTCGGCTGATCTCTTTGCTAGCACTGACTACAATGCCATTGAATTCAGATATGTAGCCAAGACCAGGGCCTCTTCATTCGAGAGAAGCAGCGAAAGAGCTCTTGGGGACGACGTTATAAGGTCAGCCGGACATCCGCAGTCTTGCCCCACTAATATCCAGATGTGAGTCAAACACCGGCCAGAGAGGCCGCTTTATATCGACTTTCCATCATAGATTTACGAGGTGCCTCCGGTACAGCGACAATCGAACGGAACAGAAGAGCGAAAGCGAGCTGATCCAAGAAGCCAAGCAAGGAAACAACTTGTGACCCAACCATCGATGTCCTTAAAAACGTCCTATTACCTCGCTTTGTTCTTCCATCATCTCTCAAAGTCACCGTCTAACCAGCCCATCATGCCCTTCCAACCCATCAACACCCTCCGCTTCCTCGCCTCCTGGTTCCAACCCATCTCCACAGCCCTCTTCCACCCAACCCTGCCCTGGACAATCCGCTGGCGTCTCCTCCTCCTCCAACCTCTCAACTTCCTCGTCTACACCATAAAATGTCTTCCCTACGCCTTCTCAAACACCTACGAGAGCATGTACATTCCCACGAGAGACGATGGGCGAAGGTTGAGAATTATCGTTTTCAGGCCGAAGAAGCAGGATCATGATTCGAAGCTACGTCCTCTGCATCTGGACTTCCATGCTGGCGGGTTTATAGGCGGCATCCCCGAGGTAGATGCTCCATTTTGCGAAATGCTCTGCGAGCGAACGGGTGCGGTTGTCGTCTCTGCTTCTTACCGCTTGGCACCACGGCATTCCTTCCCCGCCGCCCACGAAGACGCAGAAGACGTCCTATCCTGGCTCGAAGTCCATGCCCAAGATACCCTTCTAGCAGACTTCTACCGCTTGACCGTCAGCGGCTTCTCAGCAGGCGGCAACCTCATGTACATGGCTGGCTCCCGCGCCAAAGCCGCTGTGGGCTTCTACGCTCCTGTCGATTTCCGCCGAGCGCCTTGGGAAAAGCCGCACCCGCCTAGTATGCCAAAGAATGACCCAATGAAGGTGTTTCTGCCGTTGATGGATGTTTATGCCGGTGGTGATGTGCGGAAGCGGGCGGCGGATGATGAGAGGTTGCATCCTATCTTGAGGCGGATTGACGAGTTGCCGGCGAATCTGTTGCACGTTGTGCCGGGGATTGATGTTATTGTTGAGGAGCAAATGGCTTTCGTGGAGAGGGTGAGGGAGGACTTCGAGTGGGAGGGGAAGGGGAGGAGAGCGGAGGTGAAGTTTTTCAAGGAGGTGTTTCATGGGTGGCTGGAATGTAAGTCGTCGCTCTGCCGATCGTACTATGGCGAAATGCGCTGACAACTGTGCTTTTCTTGCAGTGCCCAAAGGCATCGTCGATGAGAAATTCCGCACTGAGGCCTTTGAGGCCGCGGTCGCCTTCATCCGAAGAGCGCAGGAGATGTGAGGTGAAACCAAATGCAGCGTCTATCCCCAAACTCTCTATTGTCTCAAACTTGCCGACGGAGAGATCGATGGCATGGACAGTGCCTCATCCGGGGAGATGAACAGCGCAAATCAAACGATCTCCTCGCCGACGAACAAATCTCACACGGGGCCGTTCTCCTCGCCGCTCTTAAGCCGCTAGAAACGAGGCTCACCTCTCCTGTCTATCTACTGCTACGCGCCGAAATGTAGCAAACTACAAACTACTACGTAATGTAACCTAGCAAACTACAAACTACTAGGCGACATAGCCTAGCAAGCTATAAACTACTACGCGCCGAAGTCTAGCAAACTACTAAATACTACGCGCTTTAGCCTAGTAAACTATTTTGTACTACGCGCCGAAATCTAGCAAACTACTAAATACTACGCGCCGAAGTCTAGCAAACTACAAACTACTACGCGACGCGACCTAGCAATCTACTTACTACTATATTTGCTAGCGTATCGAAGCCTTTAATATAACGCGACCTAGCAATCTATCTACTAGTATGTTTGCTCGCGCCTCGAAGCTTTCGACTCGTATTGTCTAGAGGTATAGCAAGCTACTATATCGCGACGTAGTAACCTTTTTAGCGCGCTACGTTCACTAGTACCTCGAGGCTTTTTACATGCTGGAGATTTGCACATGCTGGAGATTTTCACATGTTGGAGATTTTCACATGCTAGCGGATCTCACATGCTAGCGATCTTCACATGCTAGCGGAACTTCACATACCAGCAGACTTTCACATGCTAGGGACTTCGTCACTCCTGCTAGCATCACATGCAAATTTCCGAATCCAGTTAAACATGCTCTGGCGTGGGCCAGACTATCTCACCCTCGCCACACATGTGCCCAAACCAGCCTCACTTCGCAAAAGTCTTCCCCATCTCAAGGGCCCTCTCAAGTTATACAGTGCACTGATCGATGCCTCGGACAGGGACAATTTTTCGGGGATTCCACGAACAAATTCTGTACGATTACCACGAATGGCCGTGAAGCAGAGGCAAGGCGAGACACTTGTTATGGAAGAGCTTTGCGCCTGAGGAGGGGGCGGTATGGACTCAGGTAGTGGTGAGTAGGGAGATTTGACAGAGATAAGAACTGGAGGGGAACAGGAGTTGCTGCCGGACGAGAGCATTCTCTATTGCTCTATCTAGCCTGGGAGCATGATGCCATGCTCGAAGCCCCTCGTGATCATCACCTGTCCATGCCCTTCATGCTTTTCCGTCGTGTCTGCCAAAACGCCCGCTAATGCACACATCAAGTCCCCTTCGATGTTGAGCCAGACTGCAAATATCTAGGAACGCTTCTCCTCCGCTGGGTGCTTTGGTCTCTCGACAAGACCACCCTCAGCAGGGAGCTGTGGCTTACCGCCGCCCTTCTGCTCAGCCTTGCCCTTTGCCTTCAAGCTCGTGGAGTCCTTTGGAAGCTCCTTGACGTATGGAAGGAACTCAGGTTGGCCGGGAATGTACTTCCGCAGGACTTGTGGCACCTCGATGCCGTCTTCGCGCTGGTAATTCTCAAGTACGCAGCAAAGAGCACGCTCTGTGGCACAGAGGGTGGAGTTGAGGGCGTGAACGTAGGATTTCTGGAATGAAGCATCGGTCTGCTTCTTCTGTCCGAATCTGTAGTCACTGTTAGCTTTTGTTCCGTGAAGTAGGGGTTCTATATGTGCATACCGAACTTCCAGCTCTCTCGTCTGGTAGTCTGTGCAGTTCGAGCAAGACACCAGTTCCTTGTACTCTCCCTGGAAGGGGAACCATGCCTCCAGATCGTACTTCTTGCTGGCAGCGTTGTTCAGCGCACCAGAGACGATGGCAACAACCCGGTACGGAATGTTGAGCGACTTGTAGAACTCCTCAGAGGTACCGATCATCTCGTCGAAATGCTTCCAGCTGTCTTCGGGCTTGCAGAAGATGAACTGCTCAATCTTCTCGAATTGGTGGACACGGAAGATGCCCCATGCATCCTTGCCGTGGGAGCCTGCCTCTTTACGGAAGCAAGTAGAGTAGCCGGCGTACTTGATGGGGAGGTCCTTCTCGTTCAGCCACTCACCCTCATGAAGTGCAGAGATAGGCTGCTCTGAGGTGGCGATGAGGTACTTGTCGGTTGCTGGGTCGTTCTCCTTCTCGGTGACCTTGTAAAGCTCCTCGTCGAACTGTTCCAGCTGTGCAGTCTTTGCCATGGCTTCCCGCAGCATGAAGAAAGGAGGCTGGTTTGGCTTGTAGCCCTTTCCGAAGAGGAATTCGAGACCGTAGTTGATGAGGGCAAGATTCAGGAAAAGACCGTATCCTGTCAAACAGTAGCCTCGGTGACCAACGATCTTGACACCTCGCTCTGGGTCATACCCGTCTATCCGTGTGAGGACCTCGTGGTGAGACAAGCAGTCCTTCTTCTCGACTTCCACGCCCTCAGGCTTCCAATCCCGTACCAAGGCGTTGTTGTCCTCGTTGTCAGAGACCGGCACTGACTCGTGAACATAATTGCCTATGCTCTTGACCTTCTTCAGCAAGTCGATCTGCTTCTTGGCCGCCACCTCTTCCAGTTCCTTCTTCTCCCGAGTCAAGTCGTCCTTCTGCTCCATCAATGCCTCAAACTCCTTGGGATCACCCTTGTTCTTCTTGTTCAGACCGATCTCTTTTTGCACCTTGTTGAGCTTTGCGCCCATCTCTGTTGCTGCGGCATATTGCGTCTTCTTGTGATCCTCGAACAACGCAATGACCTCATCTACCACCTCTTCAGGAGCATGGCGGCGTCGCTGGGACTCCTTGATCTTGGCTGGGTCACCGCCGCGGTCTTTGACGAAGTCGTTGACGTCCAACATGTTTGCGGTTCGAGTCGATGTGAATTTGGAGGGCGTTGATTGTGGAGAGAGATCGGAAGCTTGCTATGTTCGCTGTATCAGTCACGCGACAGAAGTATGAGCCAGAGTGTTGTTGTGACTCTTCACGAGCTGCGTCCAATGTGCGGGCACAATTTTAGCGTTTCGAGGGGCAGCGACCGCAGGGGTCTTGATGCCTGAGGCATGAAACTCAAAGTTGACCTCACTCTATCTCGAACCTCTTCCACAAATTCATATTTCGAATCATGTGAGGTTTCTCGGGTACCTTGAACAGCAGGCTGCTGAAGTGAGGTAATGTTTCTCTCAACGAATCATCCTCGAATCTCATAGCCCGTCCATGGCAAGGATCCATGTATCGGTACACTGGAGAGGGGTCAAGATTCGGGGATAGCAGGACGTGAAAACAATGTTAACTTGAGATAACCGTTGGGAAGAGAGCCCTTTCAACGGGCGCAAAGGCCGGCTATCAGGCCTCACACAGGAGCGAAGAAAGGGGCGGGTGAGGTCTATCCCGAGGATATATCCCCGTAGAAACGTAAGCGTCCATGGTATCGATACATGTATCGATATATAGGTACATCTACGGGGATATGGGATAGAAAGTAGGTGACAATTAGGTGGAAATCACATATAAGCGCTTCGTTGTATAGCCGGGATAAAGGGCCTCACGGGGGTGAAGAAAGTACTCTTATAGGAGTAAGTAAGGTCGATTTTCCGCTGCTATCCCCGAATATCCCTATATGTCTATGCCCCCGATACATGTAGCGGTATATAGGTACGCCTACAGGGATAGGGGACAGAATAGGTGAAAATTAGGTGAAAATGACATTTTAGCGCTGCGCTATGTAGCCGGGATGAAGGGCATTACGGGGGTGAAGAAAGCACTCTTCTAGAAGCATGTGAAGTCGATATTACGCTGCTATCCCCGAAAATCTCTATGTTTCCATGCCTCCGATACATGTATCGCTATAATAGCCCTAAATCGGGGATTAGGGATGGAAAGTAGGTGAAAATCGTGTGAAAATCACTCGTTTGCGCATGTGAGGATAGCCCTTGCAGGGGGCTTTGCAGGGGTAGTCAAACCACACTTAGGGAGCAAACATTCAGCACGTGAAGTTAGTAATGCGCTGTTATCTCTATAGAACTACTACTGTCTATGGCATGGATACATGTATCGATAAGTTAGACCTCTTACGGGGATCGGGCATGGAAGTGGAGAAAGTACATGTGAGACAAGTCTATCTTTTCTCATTCACAGGATTAAGTAATGTACATAGGTAGAGAAACCCCGCTAGTCCGTCCCGAAAAGCCCATCGAAGCCGCTCCCGTCAAGGAGCCTATCCCAATCGAAGTCCCCACCCACCGCCGAAGGGAGAACGGCATCCTCCGCACCCGGGAAGGGGTCTGGTGGGGCCCCATCACCGCTGAAACCGCCGAAAGTGAGGCCGGGTAGCGGCGCGTCGTAGAACGTCCCTCCCCGAGCCCGCTGCAGAGGGACTATGCCCTCGTCTCTTCCTCCGGCGGCGTGGACGTCTTGGTAGCCCTGGGGATGCCAGACCCCGGGTGACCAGCCTCTCCCGTCGTCGGCGGGGAGAGGTGGCTCCTCTGGCGGGAAGTTGGGGGGCAAGGCGGGCTTCGACACCGCCTTCTTCTTCTTCTGCTTCTTGGAGGGCGTTGGGTTAGGCGTCTCCTCCTCACGCTCGGGCTTCGAGGACATGCAACCCATTTCGTCTGGCTCCTGCTTGATCTTGCGCTTGCGCGGAGTAGACTTGGCCGGCGGGAAGTGAAGCAATCCTGAAGTCTTCGGGGCTGGCTTGGGCGCTTCTTCCTCGCCGTCCCACTCGTCGTCGTCGTTCTTCTTCACTCGGCGCTTTGGGGTCTTTGGGGTCTTCGGAGTCTTGCCAGCGTCGAGGAGAGGATTGATCTTCTTGCGAGCAGTGACAATTGTCTTGCGGTCGAGCTTGGGTGGAACCTTCTGGCCTGCAGTGACACGAGCGGCGCGGAGCTTGGAGAGGTGCTGCTTGATTGCTTCGCCGGTTGCAAAACCCTCAACTTCCTTCGCAACAGCATCCCAGTCGAGATCTACGCCCTCCTTTCCCACAATGTACTCGATGCAGAGCAAGACGAGCTGATCCTTCTCGGCTACGAACATCAACGTCAGAAATGGACTGTTACATTCAGAACCGGAAGACTTACGACTCCAGCGCAACAACTTGCGACCCTTGGAACTCTTACGCGTCTTCGGGACCTCCTGCTCCTCGATCTTCACGTCCTCCTCGACGTAGCTGTAGTCTTGGTCTGGATCGTACTCGGAAGCTGGGGAAGACATGTTAGGCGTTTGGTTGTTGAGGTAGTGAAGGTGTTGTGATGTGGTAATGTCTGATAATATGTTGAGTGCTGTTGGGGGTGTTAGTTTATAATATTATTGATAGTCGAATACCACGAAGACACGAAGTGCGTCGACGAGAATATGACATTCGAGGGCTCACGTACCTTGTTGCGCACTCAGATGATCCAATTTGGTGGAGTATGGGCTTGTTCGACGTGTCGATGCGTTTGATCAACGATGGCCGAGACTGTTGAACGATGGTATCGTTCCGATGTCGTTGTGTTGGAAGGATCTCCCCTTTGATCGAGAGCGGAAAGTGGTAGGAGTCTGTGTGGAAGGAGTCCAATGTTTCAATGGTCTTCGACCTTTGTTGAGACGCTCAAGGTTTGGAGGGCTGGCGTCAACTTGGAATTCTCTTGGAGTCTTTGATATGGCTTTTCCACGTGAGGACCCGAGGTAGGAGATTTGGCTGCGTTGTTTCGCAGAAGCTGTGTGCCAATGTGTGGGCTTATCGAAGGTATGAGGTGTCTGTTGGACGTGGCTGAGATACGGCTGGATGTGTTTCGGACTTCGAGCTGGTGTCGAGATTGGTGTTGGACGAGAACGATCGATATGGCAGTGTCGCTATCGTGGTATCCGCGAACAGTCCAGGTATCTCAAGAGAGTCGTCTGCCAAATGCTAGCTCTTCAAAGGTATGGAGCTGGGACTGGAGGTGGTTGACGTGCAGATGGAGGAGAAGTGGAATCGGAATATGTGTCTGTGTCGAGATGGTGTTGTGTTATCGATCGACGTCGTCGTGAACAGAACAAACTTCTGGATGGAGGTGATTCAGGTGGTATGAAGAAGTCCTCAAGATCGTGATGATGTGGTCGGTGGGTTTGTAGGAAGGTATCGCAGACTTGGTCGCGTTACAACTACAATTGCTGGTTGACTTGGCAGATCGTAGAGGTCTTGGTGTCCTTCAGGCTTCACAGGTCGACGAAGTATGAGTGCTCGTAGATGGTCGCTTGGAGGAAGACCTCTTGCAATGGTGTCTTGGATATGGTGGAAGTCTCGCAACCGTGCAATAGCTTCGTCAAATAGCAGCTACCAGGTGTCGATATGGTTGGAGTCTGGCCACTTGGCTGCTGACGCGCGCTTTGGATGTGAAAGCCTTTCAGGAAAGATGCAATGCCTGCCAAACAAGAGTATTAGTGCGCGATCTTGCAAAGTTGGACTCGAGAGGACACACCTTTTTGGAGACGATCTTCTTGCCGTGCTGGAGACCTAAATGCTCAGGATCTTGTAGGTTGTGTGGATAGCCGTCTTCGCAGCATTGGTATGTGTGAGATGCTTTTGCCACTGATAGGAATCGGCTGTGTTGGTGGATGGTGATGTGGTTGGAGCAGAGGATGCTGGTGCTGGATGGAGGGTGGTTGTTGTTGTGCAGGTTGTTTAGGGGCCGACAGAAGGCACTCTTATAAACCCTCGCGCGCGAACTCCTGCTCCTGCTTTCTTCCTCACTTTCAACAACCAGCAGCACCTGCTCAAGGACTTGTGATTGGCCTGTGCAACTGCATTCACTGCTCAGCGCGCCCGTGCGTCGCGTCTACCATCGAGCAGCAGCAAATCGGCCCATTAAGACACGTCATAATGTTCAAGACGAGAAGGAGCATATGAGGAAGGATATCATGTGAAGAAGCAATCTCACTGGCTGGAATCTGTGAATCTCAATGTACGGATCTGGTCCCTCGGCCAACCAAGCACGAAAGCGTGCCCTGTTAAAACAGAGAAACGGGAACAGGGAGCACTGGAAGACACCAGAGCTTCCAGATCATATAGATATCCAAGCAAAGAATCTTCTTGAACGCAGTTCACCGGCTCTCCACGTCCACAATCGTATAGTTTGTTCAACGATAGCAACGAGTTCCCTCTTCCTCGTCGAATGCCACAGCTCTTGCACTGAAAGATGACTGCTCCAGAAGAGCTCTGAGATGACGTACTACCCAACCTTTGCCCATAGGAGATCTCAACTGGTATCACAATGTTCGCTGGTTGCTTCCATGGCTAGCTCTTTCTTGCTGAAGTGAACTGGCAAGGCTGGCGATCCTTGGGTACGAGCAGCGCCTTCATGATACGGAGCCCTGGTAGCACAGGATATCGTTTGGAGCTGTTCAATCTTTGGTGATGATGTCGTTGCAGAGGAACGATGCAGTTTCGAACCGGGGTTCGCTGTTGGGCTAGACCAACGTGCGGTCGTGCGCTGTATCGTTTCTTGCCGTAGACATCGACTGATACGTTATGGCGTAGTTACGTCTATCCAGTGTCTTGATACAGTTCCGAAACGAAGCATGTTGGTGCTGTTGACTCGTGCTGCCGGGGCGTGGATTGAGGTCTGGCTGACTGCGCGGATGCTCGAGAGCGCGTGGATGCTCGAAACCGATGGATGTGATGATCGAGGCGTAGTATGTGAGGGATTGACGGTGAATCGTCGTTGAAAGCGGCTCAAAAGACGCATTGTGATGTAGGTCAAAGAATCTGTGCTTGTGGTGTCTGCGAAAATTTATCTCCTCTGGCAAACACCTCCCTCCTCTCGCAAAGCCAGAAGTCCGCTCAGGCAACACTACGTCTCCTTCCACAGCACAACCAGTACCACAGCAAAGCAGACTTCCTGTAACTACTCTGATGGCTTTGCTCTGCAGTATCGAAAGCAGGAATAGTTCGCTCACGAGCTGGAGCCTCAGCGGCGTATGGCAGAAAGAGACTGAGAAAGAGACGGGCGCACCTGGACATCCACACACAATTCGTCGAAGCCGTAACGACGACAGGTGTTCTATCGACTGGTATTGACTGGATGCTTGCAGGAAGACGGATTGTATGGCTTGCATCGTCCATGCCAACATCCGCCAGATCGAGCATCGCGATCTCTGGCGCAAGGCATGGAACGGGAGGACCTCTTGCATGCAATACGCCGATTCTGGAGCCCTCCACCAACCTTCTACCACAATTACGTCCTCCTTTATCGACCTCCAGCCCGTGAAATGCGCCACGCCATTGCAATCGTTCCGCAAATCCTCGTATCAATCTCCTACGGGATCAAGCATCCAAAGCACAGCGTACCGAGCAGAATGTTGTAATTCATGAAAGAGCTGAGATCAATGGTGGAGAAGAGAAGGGGAGTCAAAGAGAACGACAACACCCAAAGACTGGACAAGCAATCGAAGAGTAGGAGTCTTGAATACCCGGCGAGAAGGGTTCAGGAATCCTCGATCAGCCTGTTCATCGATTGAAAGGTAATCTTGAGCCGAGAATGCATCACCAGCTAGAAGAGTCCTATCGTCAGCACTCCGAAATTGTTCCAGCGAACGATGCTCTCAGATCCCTCCAAACTCTTAAATCACTCGATGGGCATCATCTTCGACTCTCAAGACCAGACCGAGTGACTGAGCCACTGTCAAACGATGTCTACGACCGGCCTTCGAGGCCTCAATCGCAGAGGTGTATGGATGGCAAGTATCATTGCAACGGCATGAATACAACGCCAAGCAAGGGAAGCGACGGACACAATTGATCGCGCAGAGTCGGGCAAGAATGAGGTGCGCGGCTATCCAAAGCAGAAGAGGATGCTGCAACGGATTGAAAAGGAGGTTCAAAATTACCAGAAAGAGCTGTGCGGCTGAGGATACCATAGTTCGGTAGGACCCACAAGGCGTACCGCGTGTAGCAAAGTTGATGACCGGCTCGTCCATACACGGCACATTGGCATTGGAGCTATTTGAGACTGAGCATGCAGCTCAAATCCGGCGTTCTCGTGCCCCATTGGCGACCGAGAATGCTTTAATCCAAAGACTCTTCCTCCAAAATGGTACGATAGAGTCAACGAAGGCTTTATTCGAACGTTAAGACTCGTGACCGAGTGTCCCGGTGGCCGATTCGTACTGAAGGAAGCATCGATAATAACTGGATCCCTTTGGTCGCCAACGATGTCTGAGGGATGCCGATCGAGCATTGAAAGATAATCAAAAGACCTATGAAGAGTGAGCCAGGCTTGGTTCGGCCGTCTCTGCTGATCGCATGCCGTGATCATTGCTTGTCGGCCGGAAAGCTCCTAGATACGAGGACTGCTATCGAGCGGTAGTCAGACCTCTCGTGGCCTAATCGACAAGCTCGTGTATGTCGTTGTACCTTCATGTCAAGAGTGTTCAGCCTCCTCGAGCAGAAAGCCGATAAAGATGCTGTAAAGCCTTTTCGTCTGTGTATCTCACAACTCAATCGCGTCGCCCGATACGCCATGCATAGCCTCAAGACGTTTGATGCAGATGCCCCCTCAGGGATGAGATGCTGTTGCTTGCTTGTTGTACCGGAAGGCAGAGCCGACATTTCGCCCGGAGACCTACCTTGCACGAAAGACAGACAAGGTCTACAAGACCAGCTGAGATGTATGTAATCAATGACAAGATGGCTGGTCTTCGCTCTGGACTTGCGAACTCCACCACCCACCACCGGCAACGCCGTCCGAACGTTACTGGATCGAATGATCGTTTCAATCGATGGGATAGCTTCTGTCCAGTTGGCTACATCTTGGAAACGCCACTTTTGCTCGATGAAGGATATGTATGCGTCCTATCTGATAAGAGCTTACTCGACCTAGGCTCATACCAGTGGCGTGTGGCTTTTGTAACCGACGAATGATTGGAAGACGCTTGCTCCGATAGAGCATAGCTTATCTCGACGAGCGATCCTACGCTTCTGGGACGCCGGCATCTCGAGTCGGCCCTTTGCCTTTGGCGGCACAGCAGGAAAAACTCGACAGAGAGAGCGATCGACTATCAACGAGAGCAAAGAGACGCGATGATCATAATTACTTCTGTGCGTGCGAGCGTGTATTATCCGCTTGTCCTATGGGCGTATGATAGCGCTAGTCCCAATACATCGTCAGGCTGGAGGCCCACGTGGTCCAGGCCCAGAGTCTGGGGAAGCTTAACGCTACGGCTGGGTGGTCCGAGGTTCCAGATGCCACGCTATTCGCCTATCTTGAACTCATGTTCCTGTCGTGCTGAGGCGAGAACGCCATGGCTATCTTGATCGCGTGGTCCAACATGCGCTCGGTGGAGTACTTATGGACGCAAAAGGGCGTCCACAATTTCGGATTCCCCAGCACTCACGCGACCCGTTTTTCACAACACTGCCCCTGAGGCTGAAAAAGACAAGATGGCGGAATACATTGGCGATGACAAGCCGACGTTCTTCGACACCAAGTATGCTGTCGACAGCAAGTACCCAGAAGATAATTTACACCAGATTATCACCACCGCCGGTAAATCTGCCTGCCTGCCATCGCGTCTGACAAACTTCTAAACAAATCGCAGATGGCGAGATTGCTGAGAACACTGACCACCTCCACCGCCGTCTCAACAACCGTCAGATCCAATTGATTGCCATCGGTGGCAGTATCGGCACTGCGCTCTTCGTTAGTATCGGTTCGGCCCTCGCACACGGCGGTCCCGGCAGCCTCTTCATCGCCTATGCCGTCTACGCCTGCTTCCTCGCCCTCGTCTGCAACGGTACCGCCGAGCTCACCATCCTATACCCTCTATCTGGAGGCTTCGTCCGACATGCTGGTCACTTCGTCGACAAGGCATGGGGATTTATGGCTGGTTGGAACTTCTTCTTATACGAGGGACTGATCATTCCTTTCGAAATCACCGCCCTGACCACCGTTCTTGGCTTCTGGTCTGACGACATACCACCATGGGCTATTCCAATTGCCTGCATAGTGTTGTATGGCCTGATAAACATCCTTGCTGTGCGAGCGTACGTGATCAATCTTGTTTTGGTGTCTAACAACGTTCTAACACAATCGCAGGTACGGAGAAGCCGAGTTTTGGCTCTCTGGCGGCAAGGTCATCCTTATCTTCATTCTCTTTGCCTTCACGTTCATCACGATGGTTGGCGGAAATCCGAAGCACGACGCATATGGGTTCCGCTATTGGCGCAACCCAGGGGCTTTTGCTGAGCATCGATCAACGGGCTCTCTCGGACAGTTCGAGGGCTTCCTAGCATGCCTCTGGTCGGCGTCATTCTGTATGGCTTCGTTCATCCGTTTTGAATGAGGTATGTGCTGACATAATTGCAGGTATCGTTGGCCCAGAGTATCTGTCAATGGTTGCAGCCGAAGCCAAGCGACCTCGCGTCTATATCAAGGCAGCCTTCAAGACTATCTACTGGCGATTCCTCCTATTCTTCGTTGGAGGTGCTCTCTGTGCTGGAATTGTAAGTACTTTGATGCCAACACCTCATCAATGGTCCTAACGAGCTTTCCTAGGTCGTCGCCTACAACGACCCAACCCTTGTCGGTATCGTTTCCGGTGACCTCTCCGGTGGCGGCACTGCTGCTGCCTCGCCATATGTCATTGCCATGGATAACCTCAGAATCCACGGTCTCCAGCACCTCGTCAACGCCCTTCTCGTCACCTCTATTTTCAGTGCCGGCAACACATACACCTACTGCGCATCTCGATCGCTCTACAGTATGGCTTTGGAAGGCCGTGCCCCACGTGTCCTCACCTACTGCATCAAGAAGGGGCCAATGGCCGGCGTGCCAATCTTGTGCTTGGCTGTCACCATGGTCTTCCCCTGCCTCTCGTTCCTCCAGGTCAGCAATGGCTCCGCCAAGGTCCTGAACTGGCTCATCAACCTCGTCACTGCCGGAGGTGTCATCACCTACGTCGTGATGTGCGTCAACTACATCTTCTTCTACCGGGCAACTCAGGCACAGGGGTTGGACCGCAAGACCCTCCCATACTGTGGCTGGTTCCAGCCATATTCTGCATGGATCGGGCTTGGGTGGATGATCATGATTGTTTGCTGCTACGGATACTCTTCTTACTCCCCCTGGAGCACCGAGAACTGTTCATTTACTACGCCATGCTGATTGTTGCATTTGTGACTTTCACGGGCTGGAAACTGTGGCACCGAACCAAGTTTGTCAACCCAGCTGAAGTCGACTTGACCTGGGAGCGTCCAACAATCGATGCCTACGAGGCTACCTTCGTGGACCCCCCGCTTGGCTTCTGGAGGGAGATGTTGCAGCTGGTCGGCATTGGAAGGAAGAAGTTTGGCAAGGACCGCAGGAGGTCCAGTGTCATTGAATCATGATGAAGAAGACACAAGGGTGAGATAGGACCTGTTGATTATGATGTTACGATGTCTGAATGCATGAGCGAGTGATAACCACAGTTGCAATCGAAAGTACGTTCACAGCATGTCTACAGTTCGATCAAGTTTCATGACACCATGGTTGTTCCAAAGGTTGTGATGCACGCGCAGAGCGACTGATCAAGAGAACAAGAGAATTGTATCAATTGTGGTCGGAAAACATGTTAGGCCCCTTGCACCTTCCTTGAAAGTGACAGATCGCTACCCTCCCTCCTTCCGCTCAAAGCGGAAAGGCCATCCCCAAAGCTCGCGAGCAGTCCAAACAACTCCTACCACAATCAAGAGCATAGTCGCTTTGGACGTTGGAGAGATGATGGCGACATGTTCGACTTTGAGTCTGATGACGATGGCAACGCAAGGCTTTCCCGAACCATGCACCAAAAGGACTCCGCGGGTCAGAACTTGGACCTCTGTTCGGATTCCAGACACATTCCAGGGGTCCCACAAAAGCGGCGGCAGATACAAGAGACGGAAACCAGTAAGAGCAAGGAAATAAAGTCCAAGGAGATAAATCTAGCCGAAGCTCGCCTTCACCGCATAGCAATTGGACAAAAGCCGACTACAAGACTGCGACATCGCCATCTCTTCGAAAGAACGGGGCAGCAGCTGCACGATGTTTTGGGATCATTCTGGATGAAAGATGTTGTCTATAAGACCGATTCTAAGGAGTGTTGATCGAAGATCGCTTGATACGAAAGACTATCTAAGGAGCGACCCAGCAAGCTAAACATGTGGAAGCAAGACTAGTGAGTTGAGCCAGCCAGTCTTACAGCCATATGCTCTGCCCTCTGCGACAACGAGACGAAGCCACAACCATATTCCCGCGGCTCCCAGACTTTGAGCGCCCTTACGACCAGCAGTGGCCTCTGATCGCCCCGATATCCAAATTGTATGGCGCCTTGACGCCGACCTTCTGGCAAGTGGACTCCCATCCATCGCCATCAATGCCACCGTGGGTATGAGTGTCGGCACACTGGAGATTGTCAGCAAATGTGGCGGTCGACAAGCCACGAGAAAGGCACAAGCGAAAAGACTTACAGCACCGGCATTGCTATCTGTTTAGAAGGTCAGCACAAAGCTCCTGGTCGTGGATGAAACAAACATACCCCAATGCGAGTTTGGCCAAATGCCCGACCAGTCGTTGCAAGCAGTTGTGGAAAGGCCGCCGTTCAATGCATCGTCAACATAGCACTGGCACCAAGTGTGGATCCTAGCGAAGGCCCTGTGTCTGTTGTCAGTCTAGAATGCCCAAGCAACGAGCACTTCGACATACGAGGCAGCAAAGAGGATTGTTGCGGCTGCAGTGAGCTTGATCTTGGCTGGCGACTCTGTGGGAGCTGTGGATTGCCTGAAGACTGATTAAGACTGCGTGGAGTAGCACCGGATACTCGATGAGAGACTTGTTGATGGGCAAGAACATGTCTTCTCAGGAAAACCCATCCTTTTATCATACATCGGTCTCGGTCTCGTTGACACGACCACGGTCAATACCTCCCAATTGACTGGTGGGCTCGTACCCGTTCTCCGTCTTCGCAACTTTCGACGTCACGGTATATCTCATTTCGCGGTTCCACTACGGCTGGATGAATACCAGTGGTGGCATCTCCATCGTCAAACTGACCAGTGTCTTACTCCTGGCCATCGACAGCGACCGCGTGGACGGTCTCGGGCAGCGTTTAGTCCAGATTTACCTAAGGGTGACATCGAAGCGTGTCGGTTCATGCTAATGGCACCGGTACATATCGGCTTTTGAAAGTGACCGTCTTTCAAAGGAGCAGGTGCTGATGACCGTCATGCCAACAAGGCATCTAGTGAGAATATCACCGCATGGCAGAACAACAAACCTTGCAAACCTCCTGCCACCATTCGACTGCAGCACATCTGGGCAACATGGTGCAGCCTTGTCATTACCCTGCGAACAACCAAGACTAAAGCTTGTTGTCTAGATAGAGCCAAGTTCGCCGATGTGGGTTACCACGTGCACCACAAGCAATTCGCCAGACCCTGTCCTTTCCCAGAGCCGCTCGTGAACGATATGAGGCCAAGAAGAGCTTAGGAGTTCTGGGACATGTCTTGATCAAGCGGGGATATGATGGGCCGAAGTTGTTGCTGCTTACATACGAGCATTCGCCGGGTGACTGAGACATGGCCATCTTCAAAACGCCGGATGCTCGACGGCCACGAACGACATTCCAATGGAAATATGGAAAACTCTTGATGCAGAGTAACAAGACGTAGATTGAAGTTCGCAGGCAGCCTGTGTTTCACAGAAGCTATGCGGAAACCCCTATCAGTAAGATCCTCACCAAAGCGTTTTGAGCAGCAACTTCGCCCGGCAAATTGGTATTTGGATGATTAATGCCCAAATCTCCGGGTTCAAGATGGCTAAGACTATCCAAGCATAGACACAAGCAAACCTCCCCTGGTCGACAGTTCCATGGCTAGATGAGCTTATCTGGAACTTCACTATTACTGCCACCAGTCAGGTCAAGATGCTCATCTTCTAGAACATCTGCTATTTTTGTGAGCGCTTGATGAACACTCAAGCGCCGAAACGAAGGATTCCACGGAAGCCGTTCGACGGACTGCTCGCCGGCCCATCACCGCTTCGAACCATCAAGGTCAAGAGAGATAGGCAAGGCTTCGAAGGGACTGAGGCAGCGTGTAATGGCGCGTTGGCTGTGTGGTAATGGAAATGAGCGACGAGCTGTTCGTTCGTTCGGCTCTTACTTCACTGCGGCTGGGCCTGACGGCGAACGGTCGCTCGAAGAGACCCGCCATATCACGAGGGAGTAGATGCTCCAGTACTGCCTCAAACTCACGTGGTCCAAGAACGCCGCCTTTCGAGAGTCTAGATTCCATTGAATCTCAAACACCCGGGGCCGCGATATCAAGTCTCAGATTGGAGTCTAGAAACGCCGGCGGCGAGAAGATACAGTGTCCAACTCGGACCTTGCTGGACCGAGTCAAAGTGGTTGCATAGGACAAGTTTGAATACAAATACCAGGCCATCCGACACGATGCTGAACAGGACATCACACAGCAGCCGCAGCATCCAGTACCTCAAGCACAACTCCCAACACCAAGGTCTACTCCCTCCTTCACAATCAACATGAAGTTCTTCACCATCGCTACCGCGGTCCTCCCCGTGGCCATGGCCGCCGTCTACCGGGCAGCCCCCGTCGAAGCCAGGGATATCTCCCTGACAGTCGACGCTTCCGATGCCTTCGACGTTCTCACTGATCTCATCAAGACTGGTCGGTGGCTTCAAACGATCAACGTGCTTCAGCTGACGAAATACAGGCGAGATCCAGATCCTCGGCCCAGCGGATGAACATGACAAGCGCGAGATTGCTCAGCGCTCTGATGTTCCTGGTCTGCACTGTGGCTATGCGCGGGCTCTTCGTACGGCATCGCCATAATCCCTCTCTGCCCCTTTATCAGTGCTAACATGCCCCGGTAGGCTGCGTCGGAGCCACTGCCGGTACCTTGAACTCTTGCTTCTGGGCTGCTATCTCTCGTGGTGCAGGTAAGACAGCAACACGATTACATTTCCTTGACAATGGCTGACGGTGGGCAGACATTAAGGACGACGCCAGCTGTTTGGCCGCCGCTACTGCTCTGAGGTCCAACTTGGTGAGATTGTCTCCTATCCTGTCTGGAGAAAACCGCTAACGCTCAATGATAGCCAAACGACTGCAAGCTGTGCCTTGGCATCGCGTAGAGATTGGGATGATATGTACTGTGCAGACTAGGAGAGCGACTTCAGTTCATTCGCCCTGTTGGAAGATGGGGCGAGGCTTGATCTACTCACGCTTGACTACGCGTTTGTTGAAAGTGGGTGGAGATCATTGATACCCTGTGGAAAAATTACCTGCTTGGTTCCACCTTTATATAGACTGCCGAATGTTGGAAGAATTGGCAGTATGCGCAATGCTCTTGTCCCTTTATCCGTGTCACTGTTTTCTGGATTGAGCAACGGGATATTGTGCGGTATCTCACAGATGAGAATGTCTCCCTCTTCTCCAGAAAACATACTAGTGTGCAGCAGTCAAATCGTAGCTTAAGGGGTTGAACCTACTTAAGACGGAGATTTTGACCGGCATGTGGTTGGCGAGAGCACGAAAGTACTCCGTAGACGTCAGCCTTGTCTCGATATGTCAACGCGTGGCTCAGGGGCATGTATCTACGTAAAAAGACGTGGGTGTGGACTGTAAAAGTCAGGCAGAAGGGGGAGCGGAAAGTATAGCCATATTGAAGCTAGCGATCTGAGTGCCATCCCCAGGATGCCCGCCGGGTTGGAAGAGGTCGACGCGTATCTCAGGGGGTTGGACGTCCTTATCGATATGGAGAAGGTGGCTATATAAGTGAGGCTGAGTGTGACGAAGGAGAGATGATTCCTGGGTCATGATTGATGTTTACAGTCGGGTACGGAAGAGGATGTCCGAGGTTACAATGGGAGTGTTCTCCCTAGACTTCAGCCTGGTCTTGAGGAGACGACGTGTATCTCAGTGGGATGGACCTGAGTGATGAGATGGGGATGAATGCACAAATTTGAGGCGAACTGAGGAGTGAATGAGGTATGGAACGGGAGTCCAAAGCCGAGTGTGCGACTGCTATCCCCAGACACTATCAAATGTCCAGGGCATCCAGGCAGTGTCGCTGGAGATAGTCCTCCCCTCTCGCTTGGAGATAAATTTTGTAAAAGTGAAGCGAAAAGTAAAGCGAGAAGGGAAAAAAAAAGAGTGAAATGGTGCTCCTTCCGGTCCTGGAATTCTCATGGACACGCTTTAGAGTTCGGGTAGCGCCGTTGCTGCGGTCGCGGCTACAAGTAATTTGTCTCTCTTCTCTTTCTTCTTCCTTTCTCCATCACACCACTACCGTCCACGCCGCCGTTCCCTCTCACACACACTCTCTCAACCAATAGTTTTCGGGGATATCATCATGCCGTACAACTACACCACCGCGAAAGACGCCCTCACCGATGCGGAGAAGGCGCGCATCATCTGCATCTTCTTGAACATGGACCAGAGCGTGGTGAGCCCATTCCCCGCTCTATGCTGCTTATACAAGGCTAACGTCGCGCGTACAGGTGATGCAAAACACGAACTGGGAGACTGCCAAAACGCAGATGGCCTCCGCCAGCATCGAGTCCATGAAGAAAGGCCTCACCAACACGCTCAAGAAGCTGGACAAGGTGGAGAACGGCACCGATACCGCCCCAACTCCAACCAAGAAGACTCCCGCCAAGAAGACTCCCAGCAAGAAGCGCAAGACGACTGCTGGTGGCTCGGTCGCTGGCGTTGCCACGGAGAAGAATGCGGAGAGCGACGATGACCAGGAGCAGGGATCGACTAAGAAGGTCAAGACGGAGGGAGACGACGACGACGAGGAGGAGGAGGAGGAGGAGGAGGGTGAGCAGTACGTCTAGGTTGGGCTTCGGCTTGATATCATCAAGAGACTGGGCCTACAGGAAAGCGGTTCATCAGGAAAGTCTCATTGAAAGGGGTATCATGCATGAAGCCTCTACTACTACAGCTGCCGAAATCATCACGACCGATGCTGTCATAGGAATGCAATAGCAATTGCCAATTGGCAGTCAATCTGCCTCACCCTTTCTTCGCGTTCTTGAACAAATCCAGCAGAACGTTAGGCTGTGCCTGCTCAGCCGGCTGCTGCACCCGGTTCGCAAAGAGCGTCGCCAAATCAATAGACTGCCCGTGAGTAGCCCCTGCTGGAGGCTGCTGCTGTTGCTCCGTATAGTACTGACTCTCCATCACCCCGTCCGTACCATACTCCTCCTGGCCCTGATATCCTTCCCCGTCGCTCGCGAGGTGATTGTATGTCTCCGCCTGCACCGCACACTCCATAATCTTCTTCGCAATCGCCTCTAATCTATTCTCTGCCGGTGTCTCCTCGTCCGAAAACATCCAAAGCCCCACCGTCTGTCCCTCTCCTCCTTCAATGTGCACGATCACAAACTCATCCGTGACCTCAATGTTCTCCGAGCTCGTGATCTCCAAGTGCAAGTTCTCTGGGTTCTTGCGGTTCAAGATCATCACTTCGTATCGCGGTCGTAGTGGATCTTGCAGCTGGCAGACGAAGAGCGAGCCTTGAAGATCTGACTTCTCCCATGCAGCCGTTTCGGGGTTGAAATTGTAGAGGACAGCGAAGGGGGAGATGGCGAGAATTGTCTGGAGCTCAGGCGACCATCGCTGAAGCACCAAGTGGTTCAGCTGAGCGTTGGAAAGCTGCTGCACTGGCGGAGCAACGTTCTGATCGGTGTTGTAGGTATCTGTCTCGTAGTCTGAGATTATGGGCTGAGTCTGGGCTGCTTTGGATTTCTTTTTCGGCATTTTGGTGGACGGATGTTGGGTACTGCTACCGGGATCGGGTGGGAGTGGGTTCTGGGTGTTGTCGTCGGCATCGAAGTCGATTTTGACGAAGACGGTCATGCTGGGCAATGGTGTGAGGTTGGAGTTTCCCCAAGCTCTCGGGTTCGGATCCTTTCACCGTGCACGCGACGGAGGCTTGGTGCTGTCGATCAGTGGGGGCCGATACGGTATGGATGACGCTGCTGTGCTTGGAAAGTTGGTATTTGAACACGCGACCTACAGTTGTTGACATGTGCTGGTGATGAAGTTGGAAAGATCACAAGATTTCTGGAAACGAACGATTCATATGACAATGCGCGACGATTCTTCGATACAGTGAAGCGAAGACTGACGGAACGATGCCGGACAGCAAAACCTCCTCCCGCCCCGCCAGCGTGTCCACGACATCCAGCCTGATGCAGGATGTTCCTGGTGCATTCCCTGCTGGGCCGCAATCTCGCCCAGAAGACGATGAGGACGAAGAACAGCCAGAGGTCACTCATCAAAGCTTATCGCAAGTCGTCTACGCGAGAAGAGCAGAGTATGTGAAACCGCGCAGAGTCAGGATCAAAGTGGGCAGTTGGAATGTTGCTGCATTCAAGGGGACCGAGAAAGATGTTGGAGGCTGGTTCGTTGGAGGGCGAGGGGTGGCGGAAAGGTTGACGGGGTTGAATATTGACGATCCTGGAGAAAGAGAAGAAGTCGCTGAGCAGGAGAATCGGTATGAGAGGGGGCAATCTACCATACCGATTGGAGATAGTGGGAACCTGCCGAAAGACGATGAGGTGGGACTATACTTCCTTGGTTTGCAGGAAGTGGTGGATGTCAACTCAGCAACAGAAGCCCTGAGGCCATACACAGACCCGTCGGCCGCCAACAAATGGAAGGAAGCTATGCAGGCAGCATTACCGGAAGGCTATCAACTGGTCACAGAGCAGCAACTGATTGGTCTGCTACTTCTCGTCTACGCAGCACCAGATGTAGCCAAAGACGTCAAGTCCGTCAGCACTACCAGCGTTGGAACTGGATTGATGGGCTACATGGGTAATAAGGGCGCTGTCACTGCCAGGATAGTGCTGGGTGAAACAACACGGCTTGTATTCATCAACTGCCATCTGGCAGCGGGCGCAGACAAGGCGGCTCTGGAGCGCAGAAACTGGGACGCTCAGCAGATCGTAAGCCGCACTCGGTTCGAGCCCATCCAGGATGCTATGGATCTGGCCCAGACTACCGGCGAGCAGATTGGCGATGAGGACTTCGCGTTCTGGTGTGGTGATCTAAATTATCGTTTGGAAGGTATACCAGGTGACGATGTCCGGAGACTGCTCATGCTTCACACACGGAACGAATATGATCTCAGCCAGAGATCAGCTCAGAAGGTCGAGAAGGAGCTACAACGAGCCAAGGATTCAGCAAACGGCAGAGTTGACGGTGACTCTGCGCCTCCATCTGCTCGATCCAGTGCGGACATCCGAAGAAGTGCAGAGAAACGGCATTCTCGTACGCTAGCCGATGACATCTACGCCAGCGAAGATCCCACGTCTCTTCAAACAACACTCTCGTCCCTTCTTCCACACGACGAACTTCACCAGCAAATGCAAAGTCGCAAGGCATTCCACGATGGCTGGCAAGAAGGTCCCATCACTTTCCTCCCTACCTACAAATACGACCCTGGCAGTGTCGGTGTCTTCGATTCCAGCGAGAAGAAGCGCGCACCAAGCTGGTGCGACCGTATACTATGGCGGACCAGACGCGACAAAGTCACTTATGAGAAGACGATTCGTGAGGAGCAAGATGCCAAAAAGAAAGACGCAGAGTGGAAGGCGAACGGTACTGACCTTGCTGCGAGCGATGAGGAGATTCTTTACGATTACGACCCTGACATGGATGGCGCTGACGCCAACGATGACTACAACGAATATGATGAGTACGATGATGCAGAGGACGGCGTTGTCATCACAAAAGAAGGTTTTGAAGACGAGATCCAATTGGAATACTACACGGCCCACCAGAGAGTTCTGTCGAGCGATCACAAGCCCTTGGATGCCAGCTTTGTGCTGAAATACGACGCGGTCATCCCAGAGCTGAAGGCAAAGGTTCATGCAGAGGTTGCACGGGAGTTGGACAAGGCCGAGAATGAAGGCAGGCCTAATGTCACCGTTGTGGTTGACTCACACAACGACACGCTCGCATCCGCAGACGACCGGCCAGCAGAAAAGTTCGAGGGCGTCTGGTTCGGCGACGTGAGGTGGGCGCAGAGCAAGCACCGATCTTTGACGGTAGCAAACACCAGTCGCGTCGAAGCTACGTTTTCGTTTATCGAACGGCCCGTTGCTGGAGAGCAGACTCCTGGTATTGCGCCAAAATGGCTCACAATCAAGATCAACGATACCGCGCTCCCGAACGACAAGCCGCATTCAGAGAGCGTAACGCTCGAGCCTGGCGAATCGTGCAACGTAGAACTGGAGTTGCGCATCATGGGCACGACCGATGTGCAGAAGCTGAACGACGGCAAAGGCTCTCTGGAAGATATCCTCGTGCTCAGGGTAGACAACGGGCGAGACCACTTCATTCCTGTGAGAGGGAGATGGCTCGACAGTAGCCTGGGCAGATCAATCGACAAACTTGTGAGAATTCCCGAAGGTGGCATACGAAAACTGCAACGACAGAAACCGAAGGCAAAGACAAAGGCCGTAACCAGCGCCGTCTCTGCCGCGAATGAACTATCAAAGAGCGCAGGCAGCGCAGAAGAGTCTACGAACAAGTCTTCGCTATCGCTGCCGAATGATGAAGATGCCGATGAAAACCCAGTACGTTTCTCTGCACCGCGCGAACTGTTCCGGCTGACGGAAGCGGTAGAAGAGCTGAGCACGAGAGTCGTGGCAGAGTGGGAGATGATGTACGCGCCAGTACCTACCACGCCTACCACGCCTCGAGCGTCTTCTGAGGAATTGACGGCGCCCTCCGCGCCCTGGAACGACCATCCTGGCTGGCCGTTTGATGAAGAATGTTGGACAGAATGCTCCACGTCAGTCTGGACGGAGGCGTTGAGTGAGGCGTGCAATGCGCTTGACGAAGATACGGCTTTGGAGTCGGCAACGCCTGCAGAGATGCCGCGAATACAGAGGCTTTATGTTCTGTGTTCTCTACTCGTGCTGTTTCTGAGAAGCATGCCTGACGGTATTATTTCTGTTCACATCTGGCCTGAGATCGAGAAGTACGCGATTGACATCGAGAAAATGAAGAACAAGCCTACGAATGACGAGCAAAGGACATCGATCCAGGAGACATTGGTGACGGTGGGAGAGGGCTGGAACAGCATCAGTTTCATTCTCGTCATGAGCATGCTAGAGCGAATGTTGCAGGAACGGTACTCTTCCACACCTGATCTTTCCACGACAGGAGGGCATGTGAGGAGCAACAGCAAAGAGTCTACGGCATTAAACCCACTCAGCCCCACGAAACGAGCTGGTGGGACCTTGAAGCGCATCGTTACAGGGAAGGGCAATACGACCACGCTACAACAGCTCGATTCCGCCGGTAGGAAAGACAAGACGATCAAGGCGTGGGCGAGAGTATTTGGCGAAGCTATGATAAGGACACCAGACGCCGGCGACAAAGCGAAGGCGGCGGCAGCGAAGAGGAGAGAGGGCGTTGTGGAGGTTTTTTTGAAGAGGGATTGAACGAAGTCATGTGAAAAGTTGGAGATGAGGATGGGGCTTTAGGGATACAAGAGATACCCCGTCGCTTTAAGCGGCATAACGAGATGATGTTGTTTGCTTGGATAACGCCTTGCACCGATGTGAAGACTGCGAGAGGGTTTCGTGGAAGTCCTGTGGCGTCGAGCGTAGCTCGTGGCTAAATTAATTCGGAAACATGTGCTAATGTGTGCCTTGCAGGACACAATTCTCGCTACAACGCCTCTCAAGAAGGGAAAATACCACGGGTCGAAGCAAGAGAAACAAGCCCGCCCGGGAAATACATCGATTTCCACCGTCCGCGCCAGCTCTCCAGAGCTCCCCTTTCGGGGAACTCTTCCGCTTCGAGCTTCGTAGGAAGGTCTTGCCTTTGGAGCCACGGTCTCCAAGAGCAGCTCTGTGTGCCACTGCCTTCACGAGAGGACTTCTTTGGACAAGCATGGAAGCTTGCCACGAGCATTTGGATCGACGTAAGTCGGCGCTATGGGCCTGTTTGCGAGACTAATGTGTCGTATTGGGTAGGAAGTCTCGTCTTGCCTCTTCTTGCCCCAGAGAATGTGGTCTCGGTCTGGCATGTGGACCGAAGATTGATGGCATTAATATAATGATTGTTATCGCGACAATTGAGTCCAATGTTCACCTTCATGCAACATCACTACTGGTTTCTCTGCTCTGCTTCGCCGACCATGGAGATCCAGAACATCCGCCTGCCGCCTCTCAGCTTGGTGACCTTCGAGAAGACATTCTCAAACATACCACATCATTTCCAACTCGACGATGTGCTGGCTGTCCTCGTTGTGGCCGCTGTACTTTCAACACTCTGGTACCTGGGTTTATTCTGGGAGAAGCCAGATCCGCATCTCTACAAGCTGTTCGAGAGGCCTCAAGCTCACATGACCGATGCTGGAGCCACCAAAGGAACTCGCGACATTGGTGAAAAGCTTGGCCAGATCGGTGCCGATGTTGTCATCTTCTGGGGCTCTCAGTCCGGCACTGCAGAACGCAACCGTCTTTCCAAAGAGATTCGGCAGCGGTTTGGCAAGAAGGCTCTGGCAGCGGATGCTTCAGACTATGAGTCTGCGTCGATTGGAAATATCCCAACGTCGAATCTGGCAGTCTTCATAGTTTCTACCTTTGGCGAGGGTGACCCGTCCGATAATCTGCAGGATCTCTGGAGCTGGCTTGAGACTGCAAAGGGTACTCCGTTCTCCAGCTTGAAGTATGTCGCTCTTGGACTGGGGAACAGCAATTACAAGTACTTCAATGCTGTCGTCGATGTTGTTGCATCGAAGCTCAACACTCTTGGAGCTCAGTGCCTGCTGCCGATCGGGAAGGCCGACGATGCGCAAGGCCAGACGGAAGAGCATTACCTGGACTTTAAAGCGGCTCTGTTCCAGCTGTTCAAGGACAAGATGGGCTTTGAGGAGCACGACCCCGTCTACGAACCAGCGATAACACTGGTTGAGGACAATTCTCTGGAGCCGATCGATGTCTACAACGGCGAGCCCTGGAGTCCAAACAAGGATAGAAAGACAGCGCGCATCATGTCACCTGTCCACTCACTTCCGATCAAGGCTACGAGAGAGCTGTTCGATGACAGCAAAGATCGCAATTTCATCCACATGGAAGTCGATCTTAGCGAATACCCTGGCTTGAAGTACAAGACAGGCGATCATCTGGGTATCTGGCCCGAAAATCCAAAGCCTGAGGTGGAAAGATTGCTGCGAAGTCTCGGAAAGCTGTCTGCCGCCAGCAGTCCTGTTTCGCTTCGATCGCTCGATGAGGAGACGAAGCTGAAGGTGCCAACGCCAACGACGCTTGAGGCTCTGTTCGGCAACTACCTTGAGATTTGTGCCGCTGTTCCACGAGAGACGATTGCGTCGCTGGTGCAATTTGCACCTACATCTGCTGCCAAGGATGTCTTGACGGCGATCAGCAACGACAAGGCTGCATATGAGAAGCTCTCTGATTCGATGTACCTCAATCTGGGTCGGCTTCTGGAATATACGGCTCCTGGGGAAGGAGCCTGGAAAGATATTCCCCTTTCGCTCGTCGTCGAAGCCCTACCGGCCATGCAGCCACGGTACTATTCCATCTCGTCATCCTCTGTCGTGCATGCTCGCCAGATTGCCATCACAGCCGTTGTCTCCGACAAGAAGATGCAAGGCGAGGCGATCATTCCCGGTCTATGCACCAACCACCTCCTTGGCCTCCAGCGGTCCTTCTTGGGCGAACCTGGCTCGATGCAAACGACAATCAACGCGCACGTCCGCAAATCCACCTTCAAGATGCCCGCAAGCATGGCTCAACCCATCATAATGGTCGCCGCCGGTACGGGCGTTGCGCCCTTCCGCGCATTTTTACAAGAACGTGAACGCCTCTCGAAGATGGGTCGAGAGATCGGCCGCACAATCCTGTTCTTCGGCTGTCGAAATGAAAAGCAAGACTTTCTCTACGCCAATGAACTTCGTGAATGGGCTAGCATTCCGGAGATGAGTCTCAGCGTCATCACGGCTTTTTCACGACCCGACGATGGCGAGAAGGTTTATGTTCAGGATAGAGTGAAGGAATGTGCTGATGAGGTTTGCGATCTGATCACGGATAAGGAGGCATCGTTTTATATTTGTGACTCGGCGGCCATGGCAAGGGATGTTTCGAAGGTTGTGGGTGAGCAGGTTCAGCAGAGGCTGGGTTTGGATGAGATGCGGTTGAGGGAGTTCATGGATAAGCAGAAGAGAATTAGGAGGTGGCAGCAGGATGTTTGGGGGTGATGGTGCTGCTGAGCATGATTGTTAGTTTTAGATGGCAGATAGGAAGCTACGCACAAGGCTCAGCCTTGCGTGCACATCTCCAGTCTCTCGCACCTTGACTACTTGACTTGGGCATGATTGGCCGTCATTTCAAGGCATCTTTCTGCCCGGAGCAACAATCTAACATTCCTTCGGGAACTATTGCCTCTCGGCCTCGCGATCGGCATCACTTCCCTGCTCGACCCAAGCCAGCAACCATACCCGCGCTTTTAGAAGCCGCGCCCGACCGAGATCTTCCACGTCGCACGCTCGCTCCCACCTGCGCAACCCACCATCTCCCAATCCATTCCTCCCATCGAAAACGCACTGCCACGCGCGAAACCCAACCCCATGGGGTTCTGCAGAATGGGCTAGAATGTCCGCCTCCTTTACGCCATGAGACCCGGCAAGGGCTGCGCCAGCTGCCGCGACCGACATCTGAAGTGCGTCACGGAGTCGGGCAATACATCGTGCACGCGGTGCCTGGAAGCCGAACGGCAGTGTACTTTCGGGCCTAAGTATCTGTTCCGGCAGGTCTCGCATGTTGATGGACCCGGGCAGGGAGTGAAAGGTAGGCAGGAGTTGAGTTATGGGAGGGATCAGGTTTGGGTTTCGACGAGGAAGCATTGTAAGTCGTTGGTGGAGTTTCAATTGTTGGTTGTATGTTATCTGATGTGAGTGTAGTCAGTTTTATACTCGAGGATGGCGCAGGGCTGGAGTATGGCGTTCCCGACGATGAGGAGCCGGTCAAGAAGGTTGTAGAACCACAACAGGCTGTGCCTGAGGAAGTACCAAGACGAGGAGCACCGATATCTGGACTACTTTCGCCAATCGTGCCGTCTGAGGTTCCGAGAAGCAGTGGAGCGGCAACAATTGAGAGCCTTCTGCGATCTGATACATTGTCGGGGGCTCAGAATGTGCTGAACTCGACACAACATCGAGTCGCAAGACCTCAAACTGCCAGCCACGGGCCTGTCCATGACTTCTCTTCTCCTGCTTCCATCGAAGAGCTGACAAAACGGCATGAAGACGGTCTAAACGCTACCTCCCCATCATTTTGTACTCCATTCCCAGTCGGAAGCACCGATGGACAATCTCCAACACAGAGTCTGCCTACGCCGAGCGCGATACCGAAGCCCAACCTCTCACGTAGGGAGGCTTACCTTGTCCAACACTTCATCAACAAAATAGGACCTTGGATGGACGTCTGCGACTTGTATAGTCACTTCACCCATGAGCTTCCAAGGAGAGCCATGCACAAGCCATTGGTGCTCTTTTCTCTGTTGGCGATCTCATCTCGACACCTAGCAATTCTGACTCAACAACCGGAGCCTGCGGAAGCCTCGTTTTATCATGGCCAATGCCTTCGTCTGGTAATCGAGCAGCTGGCACAGCCAGGTTCGATCCACGACGACAACTTGCTCGCCACCGTTGTCTGTCTGCGCATATACGAAGAGATCGAGCACAAAACGGATAATCATCTCCATCTAGCCGGTACGAGTCGCCTTCTCAGAGCGATCCCAACATTTGCACATTCTGGAGGCTTAGGCGAAGCTGCTTGCTGGCAGTCTTTGCGTCAAGATATCTATATTTGCTTGACAAGAGGCCTACCGCCAAGTTTGGATCTCGAAAGCTTTGAGGCATCGTCCGTCTTCACCTTCCGCGACGATGCGGCGTGTGCGAACATCATTGTCCTCTGGTTCGCGAAGATTCTGCGACTTGCTTATTCCAATGACCATAAGGCATCGACAGATTGGAATCGGCTGGCACTCGACGTGGAAGCATGGAATGATCGTCGGCTGAGGTTGTTCCAGCCTATTTACTACGAAGACTTCGACACGACGGACGATCGGCCTTTTCCGGTCATTCACATGATTAGCCCGCCACAAGGTAATAAATTCCAGTCTACAGCCCATACGATTCTAACACACGCTAGTTACCGCTTTGCAGTACTACCATGCTTGTAAGGCATTTCTCCTTCTTCATAAGCCGCACGCAGAGGTGCTGTCTGGCTTTCAAGCTGCGAAACGCCGGCGAACAATGGAGGTAAGATGAACGGAGCACAGGTTGGTTTCATGACTCCTTCAGTTGCTAACAGCCTGCTAAGCGCGATGTGACTTCGCACCTGGTTGCTATCGTTGGGCTAGCGGAATCGAACCCCTTCGTAGAGAACGCCAACTTCACAGCACACCATCTTCTTCGAATAGGTGGCTACTGTATCACGAACCCAGTTCAACGTCAATGTGTTCTGGATTTCCTCGACCACGTCGAAAGAGTTATGGGATGGAGCACCTCGGCCACGATTGCCTTACTGAAAGACCAATGGAGTGACCTGGACTGTCCGAATGATTGAAAGTTCATCTATCTCGTCTACAACATCAAAGCTCAAATCGCTCACCATGGCGAGAGCTACCGTCGAACACCGGCCATGCAGCCATACAAGAACGCTCCACAAATCCATGTCAATATCAGATTTAGTTGGCCTCAATAAGGGCTTTCTTCCGGCGATGAATCTTCACGGGCAACTCGGTCAGGTGCAGGTTCTGCCACTCGTATCTACCAACCTCGAACTTCGGGTCAGCGAGCTCGAAGTCGTATCGGTGGAGCATGCTTGCAAGCAGAACTGTCTGTTCCAAGTATGCAATGTTGCGGCCAATGCAGCCACGAGCGCCAGCCGAGAAGGCGATGAAGTATGGACCAAGATCCTTGCCCGCTTCGCCCAGCCATCGCTCAGGATTGTATGTCTCTGGATCCGGGAAGATTGTCGGGTCTCTGTGGGCGATGAAAGAGCTTACGTTAACGGTCGTCCCACCCATTATGTACTCGCCGGCGATCTCTTGGCCCTCAGCTGGAGTCTCTCGCGTGAGACCGTGCGAGATTGGTGGGAACAAGCGAAGGCTTTCGTCCAGACATGCTCGCAGGTATGGGAGGTACTTGACTTTCTCGTATGGGGCAACTTCTTCGTCTTCTTCGAGCGTCTCATCAATCTCTTGACGAAGCTTTGCCATGCAGCGAGGATGCTTGAGCAGCTGGTACATGGCATTCGCCATGGAAATGGCGGTCGTGGTACTTCCGGCGTTCATCATAATGGTGACCTCCGCAACGACTTCGCCCCATTCCAAAGTGTGTGGCGAGCCATTCCGGTCCTCCATCAGGGCCTGGAAGAAATCGTCGAGTTTCTCGCCAGCTTGGTATCGCTTGAAGCGTTCCGCTGCAAGATAGCGAGGAATGCCATCCCAGTCGTTGTTCAGCTTCCACAGGCGATTGAAGTAAGGCGAGAGCTTGCTCAGCTTGGTCATGCGCTTATACCAGTCGTATGTGTAGCAGAAGATCGAAGTGGCTCGGGAGTTGGCGTACAGGCACTCTCGGTAGTTGCAGTCATAAGTGCTACCATCTGTCCTGGCGCCGACGGTGCGGTCACTGCCGTTGTCGAGGAAGTTCAAGCGGTGTGTCAGGCCGATATCTGCAATGGCGTCCAGAGTGAAGTAATTGGTCCATGGGCGGTAGTCAATAACGACATCTTGGCCAGTATCGGAACAGCGCTTGTCGAACTGCGCGATCATCCTCTCGACCTTGTCGGCAACCTTGAATTCCCATTCCTCAAGGTTCTTGAGAGCGTAGGCGGAGGACAAGACTTTCCTCTTGCGAGCATGCTCCTTCTTGTCGACAACGTCGGCCAAGTGGTAGTGCGTTCCCGATTGAACGACATATTGGCCATCTTTGGTACACTTTGTGGCATGGCCGTAGATATCCTTGATGGCTCGCATGTCGCTAAACGACAAAGTGTTCGGGCCAGTTCGAAAAATTGCGTCGCCTTGCTGATGCTTGGCGAGCATGTACTTCGATCGAAAGCCTGCGTACGAGACGAGCATGTAAGGTATGTTCGTCATGCCCGAGAAGAAAGTCATGTTGGGATACCGTCGAAGACCCTTTGGGTCGCGGTAGTATTCGACCGTCCATTTTCCAAGAGTTAAAAGGAGGCCGAAGGCGATGGCTACGAAGCCGAAGAGGAGGCCGTACATGGTGGATTTATCTCAAGTATGAGAATCCGTAGAGATGTAAGGGCGAAGGAGAGGTGTGGCGAGATGGTGAGAGTTCTCTTGCGAGCTCGAACTGCCATTATATGCTTTGAGGACATTCTCTTCACATGTCTTGATACATAGCCTGGCGGCCACACTTTCCTCACAGGAATTGTGGGCACGGATGGGGTCTCCCCAGATTCGCAGAGTAGGGTGGATCGCTTGATGCAGCGATGCTTTGCATGAGCTCGTGCTTGTCGTTCGGCGGGCTCGTAGGCAACTTAGTCCGAGCATGCTGCTCCTTCCTATTTGGGACGAGTCGGGGTTCATTGCCGCTTTTAAGCTAGCGCCCTGGCCCGGGCTATGAAACCTCGTCTTATCGGCAAACTCACCCTCTCCGCTGAACGCTACTATTTGCAGCCTCGTGTTGCGAAGCTTGCCCAAAACTTGTTTTCATTCAAACCTTTTCGCCCGAAGTGCCTCGCATTGCACCTGGAAAAGCTATGTTCGACGACCCTTCGCATAAAACCTCTTACTACTCCATACCTTCAGCACAACTCGACCTCTATGACTGTTTTCGACATGAGACTTCTCCGCATTTTGCCTCGTGCCATGTGCATGTCAAGATGCATACTCCGCGATTACTCCAGGTTCTGCTATGCAGACGGCCTCATACCCCGTGGAGAATTGACGCCATGCAGGGCGGTGGTAGAAGTTCGTACTCTCTAGACATGAATGCGATTCTCACGCACAGACCCATGACTTGGTCTGCGCTCAAGATATAAGATGACCACGCTTCCCCTGGACTCATGTTGCAAGGTCTTGACTGTACTGTCTTCATGCTTGTCTTCTTTTGCCACGGCGGCGAGGCTTTCCATCTTCCAAACAAACATCTACCCAATCCGTTATGAAGACCGCACACGAGATGGATCACAGTGAAGAGAAGGTGCAAGATGTAGTTCACAGCGAGACTGTGGCGCGAAGCCAGTCCAAGGAGTCCAGCGCCCTCGACTATGACGACGTTACTTATGGTCATAACGGCATCAAAGGCCTCCTTGCATCTCCATATGTCGTTGGAGCCGCGTTTCTGGCCTCTCTGGGCGGCTTCAGCTTCGGCTATGATCAAGGAGTCATCAGTCTGATCCTCACAATGGACCAGTTTCACAATCGCTTTCCAGAGACGAAACCGGGGCATCCTGGTCAAGGATTCTATACTGGCTTCATGACGGCTATGCTCGAACTTGGTGCTTTTCTGGGCTGTTTGGTGTACCCCTGGGTCGCGGATCGGTATTCTCGCAAGTGGGGACTGTCGATTGCTGTGGTGTGGTTCACTGTTGGTGCTGTTATCCAGACGGCTGCAGTTGACTATGGCATGCTGGTTGCCGGTCGGACTATTGGTGGAGTAGGAGTTGGGACTCTAGCTCTTGGAGCGGTACGTGTTTCTGGCGTCCAATATAGCCCTTTTTGCTAACGTATCTTACTCTCCAGCCTCTTTACATCTCCGAGGTGTCTCCACCCAACCTTCGTGGCTCACTACTCGTGCTCGAGACATTCTCCATTGTCATCGGTGCCATCATAGCCTACTGGATCACATACGGTACAGCAGAGATGGCCGGCGAGTGGTCTTTCCGCCTCCCCTTTCTTCTCCAAATTGCACCTGCGCTTTGCCTTGGCCTTGGGATTCACTTCTTCCCCTTCTCGCCTCGGTGGCTCTGCATGAGGGATAGAAGCGAAGATTCTCTGCAATCGCTCAGTCGGCTGCGCCGCCTACCGGTCGATGACCATCGGGTACAGCTGGAGTGGAGGGGGATCATCGCTGAAGTCAGAGTCCAGCGTGAGGTCTCTCGACGACATCACGGTGATAAGACGGGATTCAGACTGGAAATATCGGAATGGATTGCTCTGTTCAAGCCGAAGTATTGGAGGCGAACAATGATTGCGATGGCCATACCCTTCTTCCAGCAGTGAGTATTTCGAACTCCAGACAGGGGCAACTATCCCAGTGCTGACTTTTCGCAGATTTTCTGGAATCAACGCCTTTGTTAGTGCTCCAAGACAGGGTTTATACAAGCAGAGCGTGCTGCTGACTGGTCACAATTAGGTCTACTACGCCCCGACTCTATTTGCAGCCCTTGGTCAAGACAAGGATATGTCTTTGATCTTGTCCGGCATGATCAACATCTGTCAGCTTGTTGGTGCATGTGTTCCGACAATCTACTTGGACCAAATGGGCCGACGCAGACTTGCAATTGCTGGTGGTATCATGATGGGCATTCCACACGCCATTCTCGCAGGTCTCGTTGGCTCCTTTAATACTTCGTGGTATGAAAGATCATCAACACCTAGTCAAAGACATACATTGACTTTGTAACTATAGGCAATCACATCCAGGACCGGCGTGGTTCGCTGTTGCCCTTGTCTACATCTACGTCCTGATGTATGGCTTGACATATGGTCCACTGGGCTGGACATTACCGTCTGAGGTATATCCCAATACTGTTCGCGCCAAAGGCGTTGGTCTGGCGGTAGCCGTGAACTGGATCGCCAATTTCATCATCGGAGTTTCTGTCCCGCCAATGCTTCAAGGCATCGGATTCGGAACGTACGTACCTTCGTGCCCCTAACAATAGATGCCGTTGCTAATCGAAGTCAGCTACATCTTTTTCGCGTGCTTTTGTTTCCTCGCCGCCGTGTTTTCATGGTTCTTCGTTCCGGAAACGTCGAATTTGACTTTGGAGCAGATCGATGGCTTGTTCAAGGACAACTCAGGGGTCGAAGAGGCCGTCATTCGAGAGACCATTGCGAACGAAGTGATGCGATCTTGAGCCTGTTGCCTGGAGAAAGATCAGTGGGGTAGACGACGATGACAGAGAAGTTCCAATCATCACGACTTAAGCGAACACTTGCTCTTCGCACGATCTTCCAAGCCATCGATGAAGTCGCGCAGCGCTACTGTTTCCTGGCGCTGGCGGGATTGTGCCACACACAGTGCTGTTTTGCCGAACCTTCGGTACCTGTTTTCTCATCTACCGACCAGGGGAATATAATGGCTTCGTCATCGTCGTCTCTTGGATCTTGGGCCCAAGCAAACCAATGAACTGGCGCAGCGGACAAGAAGCACCGCGGTTAAGTACGCAAGGATCGATGCTGCGGGCTATTATGGCGATTTCACCACTAACCACTAGGCCGGTGACATTTACTTAGTCTACTTGTCATGGAATGCATGATCCAAGAGGGTGCTACCATTGGATCACTTCGTAAGCAGACCATCTAGGATACTGCAGTACTGTAAGCAACACGGACAGCCCACTACCGATGTATGGAGAAATCGGATCATGTTGGTGCAACTCTGAGGAGAGATATCTTCGGCCCCGACGTTCATGCATAAGGAACTAGAGCCTAGATGTGTTTCATGAAGTCTTGGCTCTGCACAGTATCAAGCTTGGTGCGAACGAGATCTCGTATTCGAGGTGGAAGAAAGCGAGTTTTCGCCTCCCTATTGAATCTGAGTATGCTATGCCATGCACTCGTATCTGCAGCTCGGGGTTGTCACTGTTTTGCTGGAGACGTTGGAGGAATTTGTCGTCTTCTACAAGGCTGTCTCCAAATTCCCCGGACCAACAAAACGCCAACCCAAAGCGCCGAAATCAGAGGACTCGTATATAGCGCACCACCGCCACACAACCGGCGCCATGGACATATTTGTAGCGTGCTAAACATGTGGCATCTACGTCTACCCCTGCTCTCAACCATGGGGAAGACCAGGGCATGGATCTCGGCGTTCCCGGTACCTGCTTTTTTTGCCGGCTTAATTACGCTTTTGTAGAAGATACTCGCTCGGCAGTAATAGCGATAGGCTGTCTCGTTAGACTTTGGAACGTGGTCGCACGTGGGACATGGAGCCAGAGCTGCAAGGCTGTGCCAGGCATGGACGGTATCGGTATCGATCTTTTCGACCATTACGGTGGATTCTTTGGAGAATGTTGTTTATGTAGAGACGCAACGACATCTTCGCCATGAGCAAGAATGCATCAGGTCACAGCCCTCTCCGTTCATATACTAACATCTTGGTATGGGTTTGGCAGGTCGACGTCGAGTTTGTACCGCGAGGCGCAGCTATGAGATATACCGAGCAGGACTCCAGTAGCCGCACTTGGCGGCAGTTCGTCGTCTTTGCGGGTAAGGATCGCATCTTGGAGACTACGACTGCAGAGATGAAGGATAGAAGTCGCCGGTATTATATAGGTCGAAGAGGATCTGTACATTCAACAACAGCATCACACAACCAACTCCAAGTCGCTCTCTACTTCACTGTATCATATACACTTCTTTGCTTGAATCTCCTCACAATGGCAGCACGAACTGCTCTCAGCCTTCTTGCCGTTCCACTTGCCTTCGTTTCGGCCTGCGCACCAGAACTCTACAAGCGCGATGGCGTTCATCCCATCCACAAGAGACAGCACATTCCAAATACTATCGCGGACACCAGGGGTTGGACCTTCGATCAATCCGAAGAATGGAACACTCTTCATGCTGGTAAGTTAGAGAGGAGTCTGCGACAGTAACGTCAACTGACCTTCTTATCAGACTGGGGCTACTGCATGAACGGAATCCAACAATCCCCCATCGCCTACGAATCCTGGATGGGATCGTCTCAAAAACACCAGCCAACATTCAACTACCCGAACTCTGTCTTCGGATCCCTCAACAACTGGGATTTCGGCCCCCAATTCACCTACGACGACTCCGGCGTCAAACCCACTCTGCATTTTGAGGAGAATGGCAAGAACGAGACCGTCTACTTCAAGAGCTGGCACACCCACGCTCCAGCCGAACACACCATCGACGGTTGGAGACCAAAGGCCGAGATGCACTTCGTGCACTACACCGCCGATGGCACGCCTCGCGCAGTCGTTGGGTTCTTGATCGATCGTACGCCTCAGAGCCAGGGTTCCGAGTTCTTCTCGCAGATGGCGGATTCGCCTGACTTCCGCTCCAACACCACAGTTGCAGATATCGAGATCAACTTGAACATTGCTATCAACGAGGTTCTGGGCTATACCGATTTCTTCACGTACCAGGGTAGCTTGACGACGCCGCCATGCAAGGAGGGCCTGAGGTGGTTCGTTGCGAAGCAGGTCATTTACATGAGCGACTTGCAGATGCAGACACTTCTCGACAGGAGCACTTTCTCGGCGAGACCCACTCAGCCTGTGTGGTTGCACAATGTCAACGCCTGAAAGGGCAGCAATGTGTTGATGGCGTTGGTGGGATAGGGGAAGAGAGCCTGAAGTTGAGGCAAAAACTTGCTTGACTGTACAAACTTGCATGCTGAATTTTCGCAGTATTTGTACAATATCCGTCTTTGAATGAAGCTCCCTTGACCAGACATTCTCTATGCTTGTTCAGAAACAGTCAGGACTGTATGATCGAGGCCACCTGGTCTTGCGGTTGTTGAGAGTCCAGCCATGGCCAACAGCTGAAAGTCGTAAGATTCTGTTATCCACATCGTCGTCAAGTTGTAGCGTACCAATTCCCTCAAACTTGTACCGCGACACAAGCAACACTGACATTGATGGTGCCCTGGATAAAACGGTCAGATCTGGGATAAAAACGTAAAATAAGGCTCAGGGCCTTACATCTTGACTGACACTGCAACACTGCCACACCAGACGTGATCAATAGAGATCGAGTTGCACACGACAATTTGTCGAAGTGGAGGCCAAGGTCTCCATAACTACATTGCAGTAAAGTAAGCCCGGCCATGTATATTGCATCGCAGCCAATAGAGTAGATCAGGGTGAAATATATATCACTCTCGTTCACCTAGCCGAGGCGAGAAGGCAGGCGAGCGAGAGTCCTCTGTCGTGGCCGCCTCGGATTTTTCTGCTTCGGTACGAGGTGCTCACCTGCACTATGGGGGTCCTTCATGCGGTACGCAGTCAGGGGTAGCCTGGCCCGTGCGAATTCGGCAGAAGATGATGTGAACTAAAGTGAAGTGAAACAGGTGCAAACTTCGTGCTTCAGGCGATATAGACCATATTTGAGACCTTTTGTACCGGTAGTGGATGTTTTTTCCCGTCGTTCTGTAGTAAACAATTTTTAAGGTCGTGAGAGAATGAATGTCGACCGCAGAGCAAACAATTCTCCCTCTTAGAATGGACATCTGTATGGCATTCAGCATCCGAACGAGATTTCCAGAGCACTTCGCTCGACCTACGGGGTTCTCACAATTGCAGAGCAACACAAGCGAGGTTGACGTTGATGTAGCCCTGTATGAACACGTCAATTGCCGATCCAAATCCACACTGGAAGGGTTATAGGGGCAGACCTACATCCTGGTTGACGTTGCAACATTGGTAGACTCCATCACCACAATTCTTCCCCACTGCAACAGTAGTCAGCGCATGCCATGATTTAGGACGTAGTCTTGGGGATACTGACAAACATTGAGCTTGCAAGCAGCACCCATGATGGGAGTCATATCGTTCTCTGAGGCGCAGCAAGCAAGTTCGTCTCCAGGTTGGCAGGGTGAGGCGTCACCAGACTGGCGCTTCAGACCTGGAACTGCCACCGTAGAGGCGGCGAGGGAAGCAATGAGGAGGGCGAGGTACTGCATGATCGTGTGATTGGTGATAGTGAGCGTAGCTTCGAAAGCGAGTGAATGTGAAGTAAAGTGGTCTTGGGCACTGATGATCTGTTGGAGTTGGACCTCACTCTCAGAACTTCTCGTTCGCTTTATACCACAAGTCCCAAGGATTTCCAAGGCGTGTAAGGTCTGAGAGATCGTGATCGTCTCGAACCTCCTCGGGCAAGAAGACCGCAACTCTCCATTTCTGGCAGCTGGAAGTCGGCTCTTTTGCTCAATTCGTGCTGTTCAACGGGGTTGGTGGAAGTTGTCTATCCTTCGAGTCTTGGAGATAGACTATCGAAAGCATGCTGTGCATGTCAGTATACGAGCCAAGGAAGGATATCGGGGAGGACAGACTTACATTATTCCTCTACGGGTATGCACCTGACTGATAACCTTCGGCCACGGTCTTGACCAAATGCAGCGCCGAGATGTGAGTAGCAAGATAGAAAAGGAATGTCAATGTGTGCAATGCATCAGTAGCGTCGCTCGGTCTTGACAAAGGATTCTCTTCAGCATGAAGGAGTCAGAACAGTTGTTGATGATCTAATGTTGTCCAGCTCTTCCCACGCGCTTGAAATCGTCCCGTCGACATGCCTTGATCTTTGGGTGCCAGCGTTGCCTAAGCCGGGTAAAATTTGATTTGAAGGAGCCATTAGGGGTGAAGGACAGAGAGCCGCGCCAACATGAGCGTTGCTCATGCTGGACACCGGGGGCGAAAGATTCTTACTTGGCGGCCAGCAGCCACCAGAAAGTTTGCAATCACCTAGCTGGATGCTTTCGCGAAGCTGGAAGAGGCTTGCAGTAACGTCGCAGTCAGCCTTTGGTGTTGTCACAAGGGCGCTCACAAGGTTGCAAGACCAAGTTGTTCCTTCAGATCATACGCGCACATCGATGCGAGTCTTCGACAGACCCAAGATAGAACTGCTGACTATCTGTCGCAGATACACACCATAACGAGCAGTCATGAGGTGAAGTCCAGTTTGACTTGGACGAAGCCTCGACGATCTTTCCGGACCGGTCCTGCCTACAGTGTCTCAGATGTTCAGCATTGTTGCATGGGTCCAACGTGGGAATACCGGGATGGGCAATGTAACCCAAGCCAAAAGCACTCAGTCTGCGGCAGGCTTTGCTCTACAAGAAGCAAGAAGCCCGTCTGCAGTCATCAAAGCTGTCTTGGCTTGAAACGTGTTGTGTGCCGCTGCGGTTCCGACCGTCTAGGCATTCGCGAATGATAGGCTCACAACTTCACGAGGTCAGAATACTCGATAGCCAGGTCTGGGTCCTCTTGGGTAGTACTCTTGGGAACTTGAAGTTCATGCGGGATGCATCTTGATAAAAGCAGTCAAGCAGGTCGAAACGACGTTGTCGGCACGTGGACCTGGAGCAAGTCTTGTAATAGGGGCCAAGACTCTGAAGTATACATTAGCAAAGAGTGTAAAGCAAGCTTGAAGGATGGGCAGCAGCGATCTACTGCATTGCAAGATGCCGAAAGTGAAGGGCAGTAAGCCGATTGGGCATATGAGAGCTTCGAGGTGTATGCGGCCTGTGTACCTCTATCCCGTCGGCCTAGCAGTTCATGCACAGAAGCTGCATTCCACCGACTGGAAGGGCATAAAGAAGCGAGGGCATTCATGCCACTTCATGCGTTTCTTCCTGTGGGAGTGGTGGCGGTCTTGAGCCGTAGAGTATCTGAGTGATCTCCAAGATCTTGCCGCGGCCCATCAGCACAGCCAAACGCAGCAACATTCTGCGACTAGGCTAGTGATCAGCACGTGCGAGCTGGTCCAACGATCATGTGAAGGCCTGCTTTGAAGTGAAGGTGTAAGCAAGAGGTAAGTGAATGTCCGCGAGCTCGGCCGATCTCGAGCGGCTATCGCGGAAATGAAGGGGAGCGGAATGGGTTCCGTCCAATCAGCGACACGAGAAAGTACGAACAACAACGTGCAACAATGTGAGTAATAACACGCGTTCGCTTTCAAACGAACGCTCAAGCAGAAAACTCAAGATAAAATGCTATAAAGTCATGTGATCTAATGCCCTAAAAGTGCCTTGCGCTCGCTGGGTGTGCGCGATTATCGAAAGCCATTGGCGTATGAGGCACGGAGCCGGGCCCGGTTCGAACTTTCTTTGCATACCTCAACGTCATGAGAAAAACGCCCTTAATTGCTTTATCATCTGCCGGTAAGAGAACGGACCATTTTTTGGACGCCTAGTTTGTGAGTAGTTACAGGCCATTTCCTCAGAAGACATACCGTTCCTTCTCGCTCTCACATTTCCTTATGGATTTGTTGATCTTCGCTGAGTGATTGCTTTGCGGATCGATTGCGGCTTTGGCGGTTCGTCAAATCCAGCCACGAGGAAAGTTGATCAATCAGCTGTGAAGCAAGGGGATTAGCTTGTTCAAAAGAAGTAATCGACTGAGGTCTATCTTTGGGCGTCTGGTATAGGAAGACACAGAGATTCTAAGTACAACCCATCTCAAAACAAGAGCAGCAGACGGTTCCAGGCCAAACATCTGGAATTTTCTTCGACATATCCCTGCAAACAAGTCAAACGATCAACACGATCAACGTCGAGCCACGGAGAGCATACCAAGCCCAGCAACTCCGACCTTAACGCATACCCTTGTCCAGCCTTGCGAGAAGCAACAGCCTGATCAGAAGGCTTTTGTGGGCTTTGGCAAGACGACAATCGAGAGACCACCCAAGTAGGACGTTCAAAGACCACGACCCCCCCCCCCCCCCCCCCCCCCCCCCCCCCAAACATTGGTGCCAATCACCCCCACGACATTGGTGCCGACCTGACGCCCATACCTCACAAAACAACCTACTTCCCTCACCGAACATGGACCCCGAAAAAGACCTCGAAAAATCCGACTCCGAATCCCTCCTCCCACCCCTCGACACCGCCTCCCCAACAACGCACCCCAAGGAAGAAATCGAAACCCCAACCCGCTCCTCCTCCCCCGCCCCCGACCTCGACCCCACCGAGCGCGAAGCCCAACGCACCGCCCTAACAAAATCCATCTCCCTCGAAAAACGCGTCTCCCTCCCCCGCGAGATCCTCGTCGTCGGCCTAATCTCCCTCGCGCAGTTCACGACGCAGGTCGGGCTGGGGCAGACACTCTCGATCCTGCACATCATCGGGGAGGATTTCGGGATCGAGGACCCGGGCGTGTTGAGTTGGTTGATCGCGGGGTATTCGTTGACGGTGGGGACGTTTATCCTGTTCACGGGGCGGTTGGGAGATCTGTTCGGGTGGAAGAGGATGTTTGTGGTTGGGTTTGTGTGGTTCGCGGTGTGGTCGATGGTTTGTGGGTTGGCGGCTTATTCAAATCATGTGCTGTTTGTTTTTGCGAGGGTTTTTCAGGGGATTGGGCCGGCGATTTGTCTTCCTAATGGCCTTGCGTTGCTTGGGGGCCTCTATCAGCCTGGTCCGAGGAAGAATATGGCGTTTGCCATCTTTGGGGCGTGTGCACCGGGCGGGAGTATTGCAGGTTCAGCCTTCGCGGGAATCTTTGCCCAGCTGGCTTGGTGGCCTTGTAAGTCATCCATCAGTCGAGAGCATCTGATCAACCAGCTAACACTTCCAGGGACATTCTGGTCTTTCGCCATAACCCTCCTAGGAATCGCGATAGTCTCCTACCTCACCATCCCGGACCCACAAGACACCAAACCGGGAATCAAAGGCAAACCCCTCAAAGAATCCCTCTGGGTAATGGACGTCCCCGGCGCAGCAATCGGCATCACGGCCCTCGTCCTCTTCAACTTCGCCTGGAACCAAGCGCCCATAGTCGGCTGGTCCCAAGCCTACGTAATCGTCACCCTAATCCTCGGCGTCCTCCTGGTCCCCCTATTCTTCTACATCGAACTGCGCATCTCGCCCACCCCGATCCTCCCCATCGACGTCTTCACCGCCAGCAACGCCTTCGTCCTCGCCTGCATCGCCTGCGGCTGGGCCAACTTCGGCATCTGGGTCTACTACTTCTGGCAAATCCTCGAGCAACTCCGCGGCGCCACGCCGCTGCTCGCCTCTGCCTACCTCTCACCCCTCACCCTCGCCGGCATCGTCGCCGCGGTCTCCACGGGCCTCCTCCTGCACAAACTGAAACCCGCTTGGGTCATGATAGGCGCCATGGCCGCCTTCCTCACAGCCTCCATTTTGGTGGCAACCCTCCCGCCTTTTCAAATCTACTGGGCACAGATCTTCGTGTGCACCGTCATCGCGCCTTTCGGAATGGATATGTCGTTCCCGTCGGCGACGATTGTGATTTCGGATTCGGTGAAGAAGGAGCATCAGGGCGTGGCGGCGAGTTTGGTGAATACGATTGTGAATTATAGCATCAGTTTAGGATTGGGGTTTGCGGGGACGATTGAGGTGCATGTGAATAATGGTGGGAGGACGTTTGGGGATACGTTGCATGGTTACAGGAGTGCCCTTTACATGGGGATCGGATTAAGTGGACTTGGTTTGCTTTTAGCGATGGTGTTTTTGGGGAAGAGTTATTTGGATGAGCATAGAGAGAAGAAACGACAGGAACGGGAAAGGGGGGCTGATATCAAAGCGTGATAGAGGGTATATCAACAGTACTGAGATGATGTCTGCACGTTGCTGGTTCCTTTCTCGGATAGAGCTTCGGAACAAAGGACCGTCGTCAGAAAGTTGCGAGGACATTTTAGATTGCACTCGTCTACAGGTTGTTGTCTTTCTTGAACTTGTCCCATGCCTCGTTGAGCGTACTGAAGACGGCCGCGCTGACCATCTGCTGCTCAGTCGTAGCGTCTTGAGGAATCTATACAACCGGATCCGTCAGCCTCACGTTACAATTTGCACGAATCAATAAAGCGAACTCACCTTATCAGGATGCACCTTGGCAATGGCCTTCATGTAAATGATCTTGACCTTGTTGGCCATGACCAGATCGCTCATACCGACCTTCTTCCAGCCAGCACCTTCCCAGAGCACATTGTCCAGACTCTGCAGAAGTGCACGTAGATTGTCTGTCTTGCCTCCTCGCCATGCGGCAAGACGAGCATCAACCTGATCAGCCAATGCGAACTTCTCGTCATCGGCCTTTTCTGCTGCGGCGTTTGCGGCGCGGAGCTTCTTGACAGCCTCGCCGGAGGAGGCACTCGTGAGAGTTGGGCGCTGCATGCTATTGCCAAGGCCTTTTGCCGGCGGTGCCTTGGTCGGTGCTGAGGCTGGCTTCTTAGCAGGTGCCGCTTTTGCAACAGGCTTGGGAGCAGCAGCCCTCTCGCATCTGTCACGTCCTCTCAGACTGACAGCACCACCAACACCAGCCTCGACCGCAGTTTTCCAAGCGTTAGCAGCATCAGTCCACTTCTCCATGTGCTCGAGTGCTTCCGCCTTCCGCATCAGAGCTTTGCCATAGAACTCGCGCATATCTTTTGCCCCTTCCCCACCGCCAACGTCGATGCTTTCATTCACGCCCTGGCTAACACCGATGATGGCAAGTGCTTGGTCGGCATCGGATACTGCAGACTTTGCGTCACCAGTCTTGATACCAGTAAGTGCACGGTTCGTGTACACGATGATGGCGACTGGGTGTGTCGAAGGCAGAGGCGAGAGAGCGGCCGTGTAAGATTCATGAGCTGATGCATAGTCACCACGCTTGAAAGCCTCGCCGCCAGCTTTACGATGTGTGGCAGATGTCGAAAGGGCGGAGGGTGAGACGCTTGGCGCGTTTCGTGGAGGCGCTTTGGGCCTTGAAGGAGCAGGTGACGGTCGTGATGCTGGTGCTGATTGAGCAGTTCGAGTTGGAGCTGCTTCTGGCTTCGGAGGAGCCGAACTGAACAGATCTACCTCAGGTTCTGGTGGAGCTTCGGGCTTAGGCGTGGGCGTGGCCTTTTTCCTTCGAGCAGGGCTAACATAAGCTTGAGCACTCTGGTCTTCAACATCCTGTCGGCTGAGTTTGGTTGTTGGTCGTTTGTCTTGGAAGGTAGGCGCTTGCTGCATAAATTTCGGTTGAGTCGTTGGTCGATGGGGCAGAGGCTCAGCAGGCGCGTGATCCCTGGTTGCTGCAGCAGGGGTTCGTTCTGCTGCGACAGGTCTCGATGGCTTCTGCGGACGTTCTCGCGGCGCATCCAGCAATGCAGCTTCGTTGGTGACATCGACGTCTGGTCGTGCTGCCGCACGAGGTCTGTCATCCTGCCGCCTCTGACTATTTGATCGACTGTTGTCAACACTGGCTTCTTGCATCCATTTCGGCTGGCTCGGGCCTCGTTCTTGCTGGAATTCAGCCATTGTCTTGGCCATCTGCTTTTGGCTGGCTTTCCACAGCGAGGTAGCGCCTTTCAAGAACTTAGTCCCGTATTCTTGTGCCACCTGAGCTGCGTCCTTGTCGCCTCCAGCTGGCGACTGACTATCTGTTCGGCGCGGCGCTGAACTTGATCGTCCTTCTTGTCGCATCCATGCAGGCATGCTATCCTGATATCCTCGTGGCCTGCGTTGCGGGCTTCGATTGTGTCCTGTTGGACTTCGACGCCTCTCCGTAGGCTGCTCGCCTTTGGCCTTTTGTTTAGACTCTTCATGTGCTTGCTGCAAAAGCCAGCCTACGGCCCTCTGCACGTCGCCATTGGATTCTGCTAGAGCGATCTTGGCATTATCCATCGGGAAGCCCATGTCCATCAACTCTGCCAGAGCCCGATCGTCTGGAGCGTCAGCAGGCGACGGTTCTCCTCCACCGGGCACAAATTCGCTTCCAGGTTCAGGCGCAGGTGTAAGCTTTGGAGGCCGACGTTCAGAAACAGGCTTCCCTAGATCTCCGAGTATATCATCCTCATCATTCGCTTGAGATGCCGGTTGTCTTGCAGCATGTCCGTTACTCTGCTTTGGCAAAGAGCCTAGTCCAAATGGATCGTCGTCGTCGTCGTCTTCCAAAGCACTGGCCTTCCCGTTCACTGGCGTAGGAGCTTGCTGCTGCGCAGGTGTACTTGTCCCACTGATAGCACCTGAAGCAGGTGGGGGAAAGTGACTCGCCCGATCCACAGGTGCAGTCCTATTGAAAGCGGCCAGTATATCATCTTCCGACTCTCCCTGCCCAGCTTGTGAGATCGCTGGGGAAGGTCCTCGAACTTCCGGTGTCCCTCTTCCACTTCCCAAGGTATCCCACATAGCCGCCTGCTGCTCCTGTTGACGCCTCTTCTCCTCCATCAACTGTCTCTGCTTCTCCTGAATCGAGACATTGCTGCTCGCCGCCTTTTGGGACTTTAGGGACAAGAGGTTCCCGAACTGATCGCCAGAGCTTGAAGCCGGCTTAGAGGAGCCATTGAGGGTACTCGACGGCCGGCTGATATTCAATGGAGATGCTGTTCCGGATTGTGGCAACGAAGGGCTGGCTCGGAAGCTGCTGTAGTTGGAGGCGAAGGTTGTCGGGTTTAAGGGAGGGTTGTTGCTGGAAGAGGAAGCTGGCTTGGATGGCTTTTGCCAGTCCTCTCCCAGTAGATCGTCCATGGTCGTATTCAAGTGTCGTACTCTAATCGGTCAGGTGTCATTGAAGAGGTCTGTACATGATCTATGGCGAACAGATTGTTTGGCGCGTGATGGTTGAACAGTTGACGTTGCTGCTGGCTGATCTTGGCATCACGGGCTGAGCCGAACTTGACTTCGGAAGAGACAAAAGAGGTCAAAATAGACAAATCGATAGGTACCTATGATAATGTTGTGTATAACAGGTAGGTGATGGCTACTATGAGCATTCCATTCTATCACTGGTGTCTGGTTCTAATCATGGCATACAGGTGTTACTGAAAAGGCTACCCTGTACAGTAAAGGCAACGCCGGGTCTCGAAAAGGTATCAAAGTCACATGCCAGCCCGCAAAGAAGAAAGACTACTATAGCAGATCCCGCTGGATGAACTGATCTCTCAGCGTCTTGCCCAAGCTGGCTGGGCTCTTCTCAACAACAACGCCTGCACCCTCGAGCGCCGAGATCTTGCTCTCAGCGCCACCCTTTCCACCGCTCACAATGGCACCAGCGTGTCCCATTCTCCGGCCGGGAGGCGCAGAGATACCTGCAATAAAGCTGACAACTGGCTTGCCCTTGCCGTCCTTGCCGCTGGTGTTGTACTCTTTCAAGAAGTCCGCAGCATCTTCCTCTGCCGAACCACCAATCTCTCCAATCATGATGATACCATCGGTGTCCTCGTCAGCGAGGAAGACACGGAGACAGTCGATGAAGTTGGTGCCAGAGAATGGGTCACCACCAATACCAATGACGAGGGATTGGCCCAGACCGGCTTGGGTAGTTTGGTTGACGGCTTCGTAGGTGAGAGTTCCGGATCGAGAGACGATACCGATGCGACCGCGCTTGTGGATGAAGCCTGGCATGATACCCATCTTGCATTGGCCCTAGGGGTAGCAACAAATGTCAGTCGGGCATTCTCCGCGGGTGTGAACAGGGGGTATGCTGTAGCAAGTGCAGAGGATACAGGATCTTTCAGAGCGTGTATGCATAATCAATCCCATCAAAAGACGGGTCAGACTCTTCCTATCATATTTGTATAATCACATCGTCTCATCATTGTAGTGCAAAGTAGAAAAAAGCAAGGTTGTGCAAAGGTTGATGGTAGGAATTTTACTCACGGGGGCGATGATTCCAGGGCAGTTTGGTCCAACCAGTCTCGTCTTGTCTTGTGTCTTGAGCATATCCGTTATGCGCACCATGTCGTGTTGTGGGATACCCTCAGTGATGCAGACGGCCAGCGGAATCTCGGCCTTCAAAGCCTCCTCGATACCTGCAGCAGCAAGTGGAGGTGGCACGAAGAGGACACTGGCATCTGCGCCTGTTGCTTTCCTGCCCTCCTCGACATTTGCAAAGACTGGCTTGCCCAGATGTTCGCTGCCGGCCTTCTTCGGGTTTGTTCCGCCAACGACATTGGTGCCGTACTCAATGGCTTGCTGGGCGTGGAAGGTGCCCTGCTTGCCAGTGAAGCCCTGGAAGAGGACCTTGGTGTCTTTCGTCACGCGCAGATTCAGGCCGGTCTTTGCGTAGCCCGTAGGCTGTCCGGGTGCTTCGCTGGGAGAGATGGTGGCATAGGTCGCTGGACCCACGGAGCGGGTGAGGGAGGGTTGGGCGCTGCGCAGGGCGCGGGTCAGAGGTTGGCGGAGAGACTGCATTGTGTCCGCCGCACCTTAGACAACACGCAGGCCAATGGTGAGCGTGGTGGTGAAGGGGGTGTGGGTGGTGGTGGTGATAGCTTCACGACGTCTGGCAAAACCAAAAGCTTGCCGCAGCTCTCCTCGGATAGCATCGAAGGGCTTTCCGATCCAGCCCGAGCCAGACACTACCGCACCTGCTGGCACGTGTCAGCCAATCAATTTTAATCAATTTTACTGACACTCACCACATCAATCGAACCTCTACACATCTCGCCTTCTCTCACACAGACCGCCAACATGGCGACGATGACGGAGACGCAGACCGAGACGGTCAAGAAGAAACGCCTCGGCGCCGCCAAAACCGCAAAACTCGCCCCCGAAAACGAGCGATACGTTCGAGCATGTGCCGATGTAGCGAACCACCTCGTCGAAGACTACGAAAAGTCGCAGCAGCCTGGCGCAGTCCGAAAAGACATCAATCTGAACTCTTTGCGCAGTCAGTTCGCCAAGAAGCACTTCTTGTCTCGCCAGCCGCCTCTCACGGACATCATTGCGGCGGTGCCGGAGCAATATAAGAGATATATCCTGCCCAAGTTGATAGCCAAGCCTATCCGAAGTGCGAGTGGTATTGCGGTGGTGGCAGTCATGTGCAAGCCTCATAGATGCCCACATATTGCCTATACGGGCAACATCTGCGTGTATTGCCCGGGAGGACCAGACTCGGACTTTGAGTACAGCACACAGTCATACACCGGCTACGAGCCTACCAGTATGCGTGCTATAAGAGCGCGATATGATCCGTTCGAGCAGGCTCGCGGACGTGTTGACCAGATCAGGAATCTGGGCCACAGTGTCGACAAGGTCGAGTACATCATCATGGGCGGCACATTCATGAGCTTGAGCCCGAAGTACAGGGAAGAGTTCATTTCGCAACTGCACAACGCCCTGTCCGGCTACCAGACGAACAACGTCGACGACGCCGTGACTGCAGGTGAGCAAAGTACAACAAAATGCATTGGCATTACCATCGAGACTCGTCCAGACTACTGTCTCCCTCCTCATCTTTCCGACATGCTGCGTTATGGATGCACCAGACTGGAAGTCGGCGTGCAGAGCCTGTACGAAGATGTTGCTCGCGACACAAATCGCGGCCACACTGTCAAAGCAGTCTGCGAGACGTTCTGTCAAGCCAAAGATGCAGGCTTCAAAGTCGTCTCACACATGATGCCTGATCTGCCTAACGTTGGTCTCGAACGAGACCTTTTTCAATTCCAAGAATACTTCTCTAACCCAGCCTTCCGCACCGATGGACTCAAAATCTACCCGACTCTCGTTATTCGTGGAACAGGTCTCTACGAGTTGTGGCGAACAGGACGATACAAGAACTACACCCCAAATGTCCTCATCGACATCGTGGCACGCATTCTCGCCCTAATCCCACCTTGGACCCGCATCTACCGCGTGCAGCGAGACATTCCTATGCCCCTTGTCACATCTGGCGTGGAGAATGGCAACTTGCGTGAGCTCGCACTCGCCCGTATGAAGGACTTTGGCACGACTTGCCGTGACGTCCGCACAAGAGAAGTCGGCGTCAACGAAGTCAAGCACAAACTACGGCCCAACCAAGTCGAGCTTGTTCGGAGAGACTACACTGCCAACGGTGGCTGGGAAACTTTCCTGGCCTACGAAGACCCCAAGCAGGACATCCTCATTGCCCTGTTGCGACTGCGAAAGTGTTCAGAAAAGTACACTTACCGGGATGAGCTTGTCTCACAGCCAAGTAGTCTGGTCCGAGAGCTTCACGTCTATGGATCCGCGGTTCCGATTCATGAGAGAGTCAAGGGGAAGAGCCAGCACCAAGGCTACGGCACTTTGCTCATGGAGGAAGCAGCAAGAATCGCGCGCGATGAGCATGGTTCGAAGAAGTTGTCTGTGATCTCTGGTGTCGGTGTGCGAGGGTACTACAAGAGGCTAGGTTATTGGCTTGATGGTCCGTACATGAGCAAGTGGTTGGAGCGGGACGGCGACGAGAGCGACGATGACTGAAGAGTTTGACGAGAATCGAGATCAAGTCTTTGTCTGATCTGATATGCAAGTCGATGGGACCTACCAGAAAGTTCATGGACTGCTGCCACAGTATGCAGCCTCGTGGAGGCAGAGAGAGAGCGAAGCTGTCCATGTAAATGCGCCCGGTTCGCATATGACCAGGCCCGAAAGCCAGGCTCCGAAGGCAATGGCCGGTCCGAACAGCATCACCACACGGGTCCAGGGTACGGCTATTGGATACATATCAAATATTCACGGAGGATGTCGGATTGGATGACAGTCCGTTTGAAAGGCCCTTCGGCGACAGACAACGGGAGACCGAGGACCCTGAACAAGGGGGGAATAGATAGAGACAGCCGATCGAAGGAAGCTACGATACCAGAATCACGATCAAAGACCGTTCCAATGCTGCAGTTCCATGAAGACCACGTCGGGGTCGAGAGCATGGGCAAACAATGAAGGAATCTGCTACACCCTACATAGGGTCAGGTATTGTACTCAGGTACTTCCACTTTTCGGCTCCGAACAACGCCATCAATACATTGACCTTGTTTTGGTCAGGGTCACGGACGAACTCAACCGACACAGTACACTTCGTGACCAGAATATGCGTGACTAACACTCAGCCTGTTGGATATCAAATACATTCGTCGTGGTGCATTGACATAGCTGAAGGTTGAGGTCAATGGTATAAAGCACCCACGGTCTCAATCAAGACTTTCTTGAGCTCCACAGACCACAAACGCACAGCAGCAACATAGCATCAAAATCACCACGCAGATTCAGCATGACATCCGCAACACTCGACAACCCCGGCAAAGCCGTCCTCTCACCCTACAAACTCGCCCACGTCGTCCTCCGCACCAACAACTTCGACGCCATGCCCTCCTTCTACAAAACCTTCCTCGGCGGGCACGCCATCTTCGAGAACGAAATGCTCTCCTTCCAAACCTACGACGAAGAAGACCACCGCATCGGCATCATGGCCATGCCCGGCGTCGGGCCCAAGAACCCCGCGACCTCGGGTCTCGAACACATCTCTTTTTGCTACCGCAGCCTCACCGAGCTCGCCACGTCCTACCTGCAACGCAAGGCGAACGGCATCGAACCGTTCTGGTGCGTCAACCACGGGCCGTCGACGAGCGTGTACTACAAGGATCCTGATGGCAATGTGCTGGAGACGGAGGTGGAGAATTTCGAGAGCGTGGAGCAGAGTATTGCGTTTGTAGGTAGTGAGGCGTACCAGATCAATCCTATTGGGGTGGACTTTGACATGGAGGAGTTGATTGCGAAGCTCAAGAGGGGCGACGATGAGACGGAGCTGAAGAAGAGGCCTGCCAGTGGACCGAGAGGGCCTGACAGTGTGCCGCAGTGAGACGGGGCGACTTGTATGTCGCATATTCACGGTCGAATTGTTTCTGCCGCTGGTAGCCATTCGGACAGACAGTCAGCTTTGCGAAGAACAACATCATAGCTCGGAATGCGAGCTACAATCTTCGTCCGTATCACATGTATTTACGGTTGTAACTCCATTCGGGACCGAAAGAGCGTCGAGTCAGCATTTCCTTTCTGGGAAGTCTCTCAAGATTGATATATTGATAATGCCAACGAGCCGTTTAACGATTCAATCAACTCTCGACATCAGCTGACAGACTGCGACAATGGCCTCATTCGCCCTAGCCACCATCCAAGACGGAAAAGACTTCCAAGCCGCCCTGGTCATCGAAGAGAACCTCTACCCTCTCTCCTCCATCTCTTCTCCCCTCCAGAACAAATCCGTCAAACAGCTTCTCGAAGACTGGTCCACAAAACTCCCTCTCCTCCGCGACCTCACCACGCAAATAACCACCCAAACCCTCCCCCTCACCCCGACCCCCCTCCAAAGTGCCCCCCTCACAACCCCAATCCACCACCCCTCCAAACTCCTCGCCGTCGGCGCAAACTACACCTCGCACCTGCAAGAAATGGGCCTCCCCGCCGAAAAATGGGACCCCATGCCCTTCTTCAGCTGTCCCCCCACCACAGCCATCGTAGGACCCGGCAAAACAGTCCCGTATCCGCACGGAACGAAACAATTCGACTGGGAGTGCGAGTTGACCGTCGTGCTGGGAAAACCTCTCCGAAACGCAAGCGTCGCAGAGGCGAAAGACGCGATCGCGGGATATACGATTGGACTGGATCTCAGTTGTCGGGATCTGATCACGAGTGGACCGAAGGGGTTGATGGATATCATGCGCGGCAAAGCGCAGGACGGGATGAAACCCGTCGGGCCTTACTTCGTGCCCAAGGAGGCGGTTTCGGGCGACGTGGGGGATATGGCTGTGGAGTTGAGGGTTAATGGGGAGGTGATGATTCAGGGGAGTACGAGGGAGATGTTGTGGAAGCCCGAGGAGTGTCTGGTGGAGATTAGTAGGGTTGTGACGTTGGAGCCGGGGGATTTAGTTATGACGGGGACGCCGGCGGGGAGCGCGAAGAGTCATGGGGGACGGTGGTTGGGGGTTGGGGATCGGATTGAGGCGAGGATTGGGGAGTTGGGGGTTTTGGAGGTGGAGGTTGTTTGAGTAGTGGAAGAAATGAGATCTACCAGTCTGTCGCCTTCCCCATTTCCCTAGAGTCTATCACGGCCCGCCGTTCTCGATACGACCGCCCGACAGATCCGCGTTTTCGTCGCCTGCGCCTGCTGCTCTTGATTCGAGAACGACTTCCCTGCTCTTGGGGATCCACTCTCGTTCATACGCTCTCAGGATATCATCGACACTCGTGTCCTGTTTGAGTCCATCGAGAAGAGACTTCCCGAGCAGGCAAGCCCCTGAGATACCCGTATTGGCGCCCATGCCCCGGAATGGAAGCTAGAGATAGTTAGCCATTCTTCATCCCATCAGCACTTTTGATGTAAACTCACCATCGAATGCATCGCATCCCCAAGCAACGTCACCCTCCCCCTCGGCAACTCATCTTTCTCCAGTACAGTCTCCAAAAGCCTGAAAGGCCGATACATACCCTCCGGCCCAGTCCTCTTCACCGTCTCCCTCATGAAGTCCGGCCAATGCGCCGTCCTCTCCTTCGCTTTCTCGAACAGCTCCTCTGGGCTCGCCATTCTCGCCCACATATGCTCCTTCTCATACTCAGCCACTTTGTACGCCAGGACCCAGCAGAAGAGGTCCGTCCCGTCTTTGTTGTGGTCCAGAACGAGACAATTGGCCTTCTGGTCTTTATCCGCGACGAGGAGGCCGCTGTTGCTTTCGCCGAGGAGTTTGGCACTGAGGTCTATGTCCACCGTCACGCTGCCCAGGATAGAAGTATACCTGCTCGGAGCAGCCTTGAAACCGTTCAGCAGTTGCTGTCTCACTTTCGAACTCGATCCATCCGACCCAACAAGCACCGTCCCTTTCGTGCTCGTCCCATCGGTAAAAAATACATCCAACGACCCATCTCCGCTCTCTTCATACTTTTGGAATGTTTTACCAAACTGGACCTTTACATTCTGCATGAAAATCTTCCGGAAATGGTCCCGATTCGCATGGATCATGTTATCGGGATGACCTCTAGGTGCGTTCTCAGTGACACCAAGGGACTCGTGAGTTACGGCGTTGACAACCCAAAAACCATCCGGTTTGCTTGAGTGGTAATTCGGGCTGGCCTGGGCCGGGTCTTGAATGTCGGGTGGGAGCAGTGGGTAGAGTGATTGAAGACATCTGGGAGGTAGTTTGTAAGTATGGCTGTCAGGTTGTTCTTCCAATGAATTCTTACTTGTCCAGACTGATGGCCCAGCCTTGCCAGTGCGTCCCATCATCGCGGTCGTAGACTTCATAGGGAACGCCACCCTGCCGCAGGATCTGTGCGAGGACGAGGCCAGAAACACCGGCACCAATGATGATGACCTTCTCGTTCGAGGCCATGGTCTGCAAACAGGGTAAGATATTTTTCGATACGAGGTTGTCGTTGCCGGACGATCAGCGGAAATGTTTCACAGAACAGCTTTCGGACAGATATGAGCTCCACATCGACCAGCGACAACAAAAACATGCCCCGGCCCCCAAAGCTCTCCTTCAGCCGCACAGTCAACCCTGGCGGTCCGAACGAGTCTACATATCAAGCCACCCATCCATCCAATGACAAGGCAGCTACCCATTGTGGCAGGATCTCAGCTCGAGAAAACCTCGCACTCACCCGCTTCTTCGCACTCGTTCACTTCGCTGCCTTGGTTTGGCCTGTTGTTGGTCCAACGCGGGATTCGGAGCGGAAAGCCCGTCAGTTGCTGGTGTATCCGGACAGGTATCCCACGCTGGGAGGCTTCGTGTGTCTTCTCCGGTCAGTCGGATGGGGCATTTTCCGAGGACAGAAAACGAGCGTGAGAGATATCGTGGTTTGGGTCGTCTTTGAGACGACCTCGAGCCTCATGCGCGGGATCCTTCTCTTCCAGCTCCGGGATAGAACTAGGGCCTAGACGAACTGCTGCTTCTGCAAGCCGAAGCCGAAGGCGTGGGGCCAAAGAGGCAGGTCCTTTGCAGAGTAAAATACTGATCTGGTTCTCTTCTCCAAGAGATCTTGACTGGCAGCTCCTTCGCTAAGAAGCCGGTCGTTGGTAATCCTTTGAAGGATCACAGCCTGCATCAAGCTCGGCAGGTCTCAGCTGGATGAATGTGCCGACCGCTTTCCCAAGACATCGTGTTTGGGGGCTCAGCTGAGATCGTAAGCGCCAGCAGGAGTGTAGGAAAAGATCTCACAACAGACCTTTTCTCAACAACTTCTCACTCAAAATGTCCGCAACTCAGCTTGACACATCCAGCAATATGGCCATCGACCCGCCATCAACGGCCGTGACCACGCTCCAGCTGGAAGCACACCTCGAAACCTTGTCGGAAACCATCGTCCACGAGTTCAACAAGCGGCCGCTATCCCTGTCATCGCCGACTTGGAGACACATGTTCTCTGGCTTCACGGCCAGCTTCGATTGTCCTTTGGCTCCCGCACACAACCTCAGCTTGGAACAATGGATCAAATCGGTGCAGAACGTCATAGACGCCAACCCTGACTACCGAGTGGAAGTGAGCAGCAAGACTCCATATGTATATCCTCGCTCGAACCAGGCGGAGGTATTTGTTGTCTTCAGGATGTCTGGATTTGCACAGACCGACACGGTGATGCAGGTCATGGGGACTTTCGAGTTCATCTATATGGATCTTCGGTGGCAGTGTCGGTCGTATTCGGGTCTTGGAGAGATGCTGATTCCAGTGGGCGACATGGAGATGGATACGAAAGCGCAGGTCGAAATGGCCGCAACATCTTGAATACGCACAGATGCTGCAGCCGGATTGTCCGCCAGATCTGTCAACCGGCAGTCAAGAAGTCTCCCACGACTTTGAGAACTCGCTCCCTCAAGCCACCTGCTTCCAAGTGACACATGTGTCCTCCATTGGAAAAAGTGATCCAACGGACCTTTGGAATGTTCTCGAAAAAGGGGGCCGTGCAGAGATCATGGGAGGTGTCGTACTTGCCGTGATATTGGGCAACCGAGGAATGACTGTCCATGGAACGAGGGTGCCTATGCAGGCTATCGTCGAAGGACCGTACCTGAGATACATGTTAGTGAAGTTGATGAAAATTCAAGAACATCGTTCAGAGGAGAAGTCACTCACATCGTCCCGTACACGGTTTTATCTTCCGCCAGATTGTTCAGCGTCTTTACCAGATCTTCCGGGAACGGTTCAGTCCGACAGACATGTCTCTGGAGGAACAGCTTCATGCCCTCGCGATACGCCTTGCCGCTGAAGTCTAACCTTTGCTCGGCGTCGTTAAGTGCCTCGCGAGCGCCTTCGGGAAGACCTTGGCGAAGAAGTCGGATACTCTTGATAGACAACTCAATACTCGCCATAGCACCAGCAAGGACCAAACGACGCAGAGCCTTGGGCTGAGTCGAGGCAAAAGCAGATCCTAGACACCCTCCCCAACTTTGGCCTAGAAGATGGAAGCCCGGTCCTGCATCGTCCTGCAGCTTAAAGAAGTCCAACAGGTTTTGGAGCTCGGCAACGAAAAGCCCTTCTTGCCAGAAACTGCTATCGTCCGCTTTGTGTTGGAGATGAGTGGATCTGCCGCAGCCGATCTGGTCGTACAGGATAACAGGTATGCCATATTGCGGCCAGAGATCGGCGAAAGGGAGGCAGTAGTCGTGACCGCCGCCGGGTCCGCCATGAAGGATAACGATTGGTGGTTTACCGCACGAGATATCTCCAAAGACTTTGTAGAATGTGGTGCATGGCGAATCGATCGATGGTACTTTGAACGGGATTGTGCCCTCCTGCGTCAAACTCAACGCCATGTTCGCTGGACGAGTTCGAAGACGCCTGCAATCCGGAGGAGGCTTGAGTAGACCCACAATCGCGGTCTCTGTTCTCTTACCTTTTTGTAGTGTTTCAGAATAACAGTTGGCGTAAAGCGCCTTCACTCAGCTTCTCGCAAGAATTACGAAGTCGAAACGTCCGCCCCAAGGGGTAATTCCAGCGAGCCCAAAGCGGCTTCCGCAGTGAAATGTCCTCTACAGCGGTATTGAAGTTCCAAGACACAAGTGAACTTGGATGTTCGCATTGTGTCCGTCGGCCCCGGTCCGATCTATCATTTGGTGCTCGGTGTTCAAATGGGCGGCTCGCGCGAAGAGCCTTTTGCGGTCCGGACATCCAACTTCGTCCTCGTAGATCGGAACATATCCGCATTCGAGCGACAGCATTGCCGTTAGGACCAGCCTCTCGCTCGACAGTTCTCAAACAGCAACTAGACGATCTTGAATTCCATCTCCTCAAGCTCCAAGTCAGGACAAGTCTTGATCAGCTCTTCCTCCATGATGCCAAAAACATACAAAAAACTTTGGAACGTGTAGGTATCTTCTGCCTGACGACGCAACAGCATGGGATGCCGGCTGCCATATGGCAATATCACCACGTCGTGCTCTTCGGCTGTGACAGGGCCACAACAGAGAAATCCGCACTTGGTCACGAGCAGACCTGCTTGTCCACGGGCGAAGGTAAGGTACTCATCCCAGTCGAGCAGACTTTCATATATATCATACGATTCGCAGAGCATGGTTTCCATGTAGGTCGAAAGGACTGCTTCCGCGATGAAGTAGGGCATTAGACTCGTTGAAGGTCTTTGGAATGCCTGGACTCGGGAGAACATTTCCGTGCCCACTTGAGTGGAAGAGGCTTCGCGTCCTGATCGGGTGCTCGCTGAGAGGTGGTCGTAAGGACTCTGATTCCGAAGCGTGTCTCTGAGATGCTTCTGACGGCCCCTGTGGCGTATGGACGAATGCCATACACGTCGGAGCCTCTGAGTCAGGACTTTCCGTAAGGACTTGGTAAATAAGTCATGTTCTCCCAGTGAGATAACACCAACAACGAGGTCGAATAACAGGCCGGTAACTGAAAGGCTGTTATCCATGGGTTCGTATTGAGCCTCCAATAACGTACAAGGCTACTTGTGTAGCCATGGCCTTGGCTCGTTGGCAAACGTTTCTGCTAGTTTAGATGATATCTGGACATAACCAAAGGAACTTCGATCAATCGGCAGAGAGAAGTCTATCACCCACGTGGGTAGGTGCGATAACCTCCCGCGAATGAGATAAGACGTAATATTCCGTACCTCATGTTCGCTACCAGGAAAGCTTGAGTGGCGATGGTGAAAGTCTCACGAGTGTCTTTGGCATAATCCACTGTTACGACGTCGCGCTCTGCTTGCGACAAAAGGCCCAAGAGACTGTACAACTTGTCCCTAGGGTCAGAACACTCGGTTTGCAACAGGGTCCAATCAAGCGAAAGGATGGTGGTTTGTCCTCGATGCGAAAGCTTCCGTAGATCGGCGAGTCTTCGTCCCATCGTAAGAACCGAAAAGAGGGCACGTATAGTCTCAGGGTGCGATGTTTTTATTAGCTGATTCCAGCAACTGTCTCCGAATACCGCCCAGTCCAGTTTGTGAGGCCCAAAGTACATTGCAGGTTCTGTTCGTGCTGAGACAAATTCTTGCACAACCCATGAACGACTCCACCAAGATCCGAGCTTATGTAGTGAAGGGTGCTCTATTAAATATCTCATCTCATCCGCATAGGGAGTCTTCGCTAAATCCTCCACGAACGATTTCGACAGCTTGAACGTTGGACCACCCGGCTCTCCCAACCAGACAATGACTTTCGCGGCCTCGTTGAATATGATCCACATGATAGCAACTTGTTGGTTGCGCTCAGAGACATTGCGCTGGTTGATGCAGATCTGATCCGCCCATAACCGACGAACTGAATCCTGACTTCTCAATCTTTTGAAGGCTGCCCGTAAGTTCCTCGTCACTAAAAATGACCCATGGCCATCCAGTTGGATGGCCACAACATCTTTAGGAGAGCCCCAGGCATAGGAAACGGCTTCGTACGCCAGCTCTGACTGATTGACCTGAAAATCGTATTCCCGGAACGGCGGTTCGGAGAAGTTCAAGGCATGCTTCAGGAGCTTGCAATGAATTTCATCGTCGAAGCGCCCAGGCAGGAGGTCCAGGAGGCGTATCTCTTTGCTTGGTTCAATATCGACGGGTGGGTAGTCATCTGGCCTGGCTTCGATCTATCCCACATCCATCTTGAGCGGCGTGACAATGATGCTCTGAAAGACCCTATGACAGGCTTGGTTCGCGAAGACGGCGGATCAGCCTATTCAGGGCGGATTACAACTATGTGCAAGTTGTGAAGTTCGAAGAGCTTTCAGCTCACTGAACAGGGGACCCGCTTGGTATGCTGTGTAACCAGCGGAAATGCATCTTGGCCTGAGTCGTGGACATATTGGCGCTTCGCGGGTCTTTCTTCTTATCTTGAAGATACGATGAATTGAGAGCGCCGTGTGTACCAAGCTGCACAAGTAACGGAAGTTAGTTGTGCCAGGACGATGGCCTGGAAAACATTCCATTGAAGTTGTTGGAGAGAAGTTGCTAGAGACGAGGTGACGTCCCGTCGCCTTGAACTCCCACCCGGCTCGTTCCGAAGCCCCTTTTCCTTCCCAACATCAATTTCTTACTCTTCAACATCTCATCAACAAACTCATCCAAACAAGAACGATCACCCGCATGGACACCACGTGCCGCATCACCGCCGGCCTGCATGTCATATATATGCACGCAAGTCCCGAATAGATGGGATGCTGACGTCTCGAAACAACTTCAAAGCCACAAGACGACCACTGCTCACCTCATTAGGCGAGCAGCGCCCCATAGAATACGGGACATGTCACGCCATACAACAAGAATTGATTTGTCGCTCGTGCCTGATCTCTGCTAGGGTGATGGATGACTTAAAGGTAGGCTGAAGTGAAAGATGCTCGCCTTTCAACATATCTCGTTTCTTGCAAAATTGCAGCAATGGCTTCTCTGCCTAGAGGAATGGAACATATCGACCGCCGTGAATTGTACACATCCCTACCGGCGAGAACACATTACCTCCATCAGTTTCTCGAATTCGGAGCCGGTATGTCGAAATCCCACCGGCCCTCGCCCTCGAAATCTAACAAGCTCTACAGAAGATGTAGACGCCCTAATTGACGGCCAGAAATACATCAAGATGGTCATTCCAGCCGTCGTCAACCTCGTCTACAAGAAGCTGCTCAAACACGATATCACCGCGAGAGTCTTCTCCAACCGCGACAGCCGGAACGAAGAGAACCCCGATCGCTTCGTCGAAGAAGATGGGAACGTCATTCAGAATCGGAAGATCTTTTTGAGATGGTACCTCACGAAACTTAACGGCGATCCTACGAAGATGGAGTACTGGGAGTATCTCGATAAAGTTGGGTAGGCTGTCGCATCGCTTTCGAGTCGTTTAAGGGAATCATCCTCACTGACCACATGCCAGTCTGATGCACATCGGCCTCGGCCGTCGCAATCCTCTCCACGTCGACTACATCTTCCTCGGGGCCTGTCTAGGCTACATCCAAGACGCGCTAATGGAGGCAATCCTCTCGCATCCCAAGCTTCATTTGCAGCGCAAAATCGCCATCGTCAAAGCCATTGGCAAAGTCGTCTGGATTCAAAACGACCTTCTCGCAAAATGGCATGTCCGAGATGGGGACGAGTACATTGAAGAGGACCATGACCAAGCTCAAGAGGAGCCAGAAGGATACCTCCATGGCAAGAAGATCTTGGGGGATGCGAGCTCCGGCAGTGGTGACGAGGCTTCTCTAAGGTCGAGTGGGAGTGGCAAGACGAGTCTGGGCCGAAGTGAGAAAGACGTTGAAGAGTCGATGCCGATGCGATGTCCGTTCAGCGGGCTTGAAATGGGTGATCAACGAGCGGAGATGACAAGGCCGGCATTGAAAGGCATGTTGGATGAGGCAAGGCAAAGTCCAGCAAGAACGCCTCCAAGCGGGGCGCCCAAACTGCACTTGATCGACGGCAAAGTCGTGGGCAAAGACAAGTTGGATATCGACTTATTTGGAAAGACTTGAATGCGTGAACTCAGCGCCGTGAAGGTAACGTACTATTTACAAGGCAATCAGGGCCGCCAGATTCACGATCACATAGACTACAGCGAAACGAACGACATCTCTTGGACGAATTGGAAACCAGCGCTTTGCTCGTGTTGCAAAGTGCGCTACGCACTATTGCCAGTATATATCCTGGTCCTTGTCAGAACATGGCCAGTAAAAGCATCAGCTTCGGCATGGACACGAACTTGCTGTGCACAGCCTCTACTTACGACCTTCCATTGTTAAAGCATGCTAAGATCGAATCGACATTCCTTCTAATCCTACCACTTCCAAACCTCTACACACACAAGTACAACATGCTCTTCTTCACAATCATTGCCACAGCCCTTGCTACAGCCGCCGCCGCAAACCCCTTGGACCAGCCCCTCTCAGGACAAGCTTTACAACGACGCCTGCCACAAAATGAAGGCCAGCGAACTCCTCCATCAAAGTACTACGGCATCTCACTCAACATCAACATGAAGCCCATCGGCGAACAGCCAGAATACGGTCGAGCACCTGTCGAGCTGAACATGCTCGCTCAGTATACCATCAAAGCCTCCGAGATCATCTTCGACCAAGGCGTTCACGTTAATCTTGAACTCAGCACGGTCTTGTGCCAGGCTTACTCGGACGTCGATGGAGTTGTGCCACTTGGGAAACCGTTCTCCGCCTCGGAATCATTGTATCTGGCACAGGAGCCAGTGCAGCTTGGTTCTGTGTTGTGCTACGTTAGCGGTGATACGTAGTTATAAGTCGGTTGAATTGGGACGGATGTGTCGATACTTGGCTGGGTACTAATCGACGTTGAAACATGCAGATATCCGCTGCTCGTGTGACAAAAAGGAATCGCTGCGTGTGTTAGGTCATATCGACCTGTTTGAAGACGGCCACGCTCTTCTAATTCGGAAGAGCTCTTCACCGAGGTGCGAAGACCGGAATGAAAAAGACTGTTTCTTGCTCAATTTACGAGTGCATCAAATCACATGCAATACTTATTAAAAAAGAATTCTCATACGTCGGTCAAACGTGAACAGGTCGTCTGTGACCATCCTGTGCCTGAGAAATCCCATGACTTTCGCACCGGCCATCTCCGCCACCGCACCTTCCCCATCCACCCTTCACCAAGAACCACCCAAGCATGCATCCACCCTAGGCAACATCACCCGACGCCTCCCACGCATCAAAAACCTTCCCTCACATCAACACTTCATGCTCTCCTCCCTCCACCACATCGCCTCCCTCTACCACTCCTTCGAACACCTCCGCCACACCTACTTCTCCGCGCACGACGAAATGGCCACCTCGTCCTTCAACCGCGCCGTCGAAACCGTCGAGTTCCTGCGCCTCAAACTCCCGCCGCACCTCAGCAAGCCGCGCGTGGCGATTGTTTGTGGGAGCGGTTTGGGTGGTTTGGCGGATACGGTCAATCGCGGTGGTGAGGGTGATGTGGTTGAGACGTGGGAGTATAAGGATGTGCCGAATTTTCCTGTTTCGACTGGTATGTTCTTGTGACGATGAGCTACTTGATCAACATGAAGAAATAATTGCTAAACATATTTCACAGTCGCCGGCCATGAAGGTAAACTCATCTTCGGCACAATGGGTGCAGAGCGAGTACCAGTGGTACTGTTGAAAGGACGTGCGCAGTCAGTAGCGACCCCTCTAGATAGACGCGGAATGCAAAGGCTCATTTTCTTCTTCATTGCAGTTTCTATGAAGGTCACGCTATGGAGACCGTCACTTTCGCCACTCGCGTCTGCAAGCTTCTCGACGTGCAAACCATGATCCTTACCAATGCAGCCGGAGGCCTCAATCAAGAGTACAGCGTTGGCGACGTGGTCTGCCTCAACGACCATGTCAATCTGGCCGGGCTTGTTGGTTTCCACCCCTTGAGAGGACCGAACGAAGAGGACTTCGGCGTACGCTTCCCTCCGCTATCAGACGCTTACGACATGTCTCTCCGACAGCTTGCCCACAAGTCCTGGAAGCAGCTGCGGGAGCAATTTCCTAACCAACGACGGATGCACGAGGGCGTCTATGCTTTCGTCGCAGGCCCCACTTACGAGACTCGAGCTGAGTGTCGTATGCTGCGGAATCTGGGAGCGGACGTCGTTGGCATGTCGACCGTGCCGGAGATCATCGTGGCCAGACACTCTGGTATGCGCGTTCTGGCATTCAGTCTGGTGACCAACATCTCCGTCCTCGACGCAACTGTGCGTGCCGACGATCCGGAGGTCAAAGGCATGACTGGCGAGGAGCTCGAGCAGTACATGAGCCGTGGACGTGCAAACCACGAGGAGGTGCTGGAGGCCGGGCGATTGGCGGCGCTGGACATGCAAGGTCTGGTCCTTCGCATTGTGTCTCAGCTATAACGTCGTTGCCCATGGATCGTAGCATAAATCATAACAGCATATCGGTATGGTGCATGGCTGGTGTCCGGTAGATAGGCATGCTCAACCCTTCGAAGCCTTCTTGACCCCGCCCTTTCTCTTATCCATGAGAGCTTTATAGAAAGCCTTCTTGCCACTGGTCTTCTTGTTTTGAAGATCACCGTACTTCTTCTTGAAGCGGCCAGTCTCTTTCTCTCCAGCCAGAACCTCCTCCACGAACGTCTGCTTCCGCTTCTTGTTCTCGATACGGCCGCTGAAAAACTCTGTGGCACCCTCGACGATGGTTCCGACCTGACTATACTCTGGTGCCTGCATCTTACCACCATCTTTCCTGTAGTGGCGGTGCGGGTCTAGGACGTTACGCATCTTGAGGAGTAGCAAGTCACGTTTGAGCTCTGGCGTGAGATTGGTCTTGGGCAGGTCGAACCACTGAGTGCCGGCCGTGGCCTTCTTCTTCTGTAGACTTGTCAGTGGGTGAACAAATGTCGAAACCGTGTTGACAAGCTTGAGGTCTGGGTGAAGTCTCAGAGTAACTATGAATAAGATAAAACTTTCAGGTGTGCAGAAGAGCTAACCAAAACGGCGCCCGGACTCTGCTCAAGAAGAATTTGGGATAAATTTCCTCATTGGATGTAGTCAGAATGAGAAGGTATCTTGTACGCACATCTGCTGCGGCTTTCTTCGCCGTGACCGGGTCTTCGACTTTTCTGGTGCCGTTTGCTTGCTTTCGATGCTTCTCTTCCAGCAATCGTGAAGCATCTACAGTCGCAACATCGCCCTTCGTCTCCACATACGGCTTCTCCAGCAGCCCAGCATCTAGCTTAGGAAATTTGAATTCCTGGGTGTGGGATTTGGTGAGCTGCTGCTGCTTTGCCTTCTCTTGCAGGCGGGCTGTGGCGCGGGCGAGGAGCTGTTCGATTTGCTCGTCGGTGAGCTCTTCGTCGGCAGTCGTCGGCGCAGTGTGGAACGAATCCACGGAAGAGGCGGCCATCTCAGATTGCTACATCGGAGGTGGGTGAAGAAGGAAAGACGACGGTCTGAAGTGCCTACCAGAATTTTGACGTCGGCTGCTCCAGCTTAGCGCCGGCTTTACCCGCTCGCTGGAAACGGTCATTGCGACCTTCAATCTGGTCTTCCTAAGCGTCTGTCTTCGACATTCACTTCCTCTTGTAACCAACCTGTATATAACCCTTCGAAGCGCTGCCGAGTGCAGTGCGTCTCCCTGAAAGCCGCCATGCCTCCAAACTTCAATTCAAACGTCTCCTACGCGAAATACACGCTTCCATACCCGGTCTACGCCGCCGAGTTCGATCCCTACAACCGTGGATATCTAATAGTCGGCGGAGGTGGAGGTGAAGGGCGGAGCGGTATACCGAATCAGATCGTAAGAGACTTGGGCAACAGAGGCGGTGATCGTGGGGCTAAACAATAGGCAGTCCGTCCTCGATGTAAACAACCGAGCAACGATTGAGCCTGCAGTCGACATTGATCTTTTCCGAGAAGAGGACTCTGTATCGTCACTTGCCAGCCTCGCGACCAAGGATGGTCTGATCACATTCGCGGGAATCAACTCCTCACAGACTCAGCAAGACGCGGGAAAGAACGAGCACTTCCGATCGTTTAGTATTCGATATCCATCTCGCAAGAGGCAGAGGACCGACGACTCAAATGACAGCGAGGATAATGGGGAGATTCGGCCACTGGGGAAGAGGGCAATCCTGAAGCCGTCCAAAGCCCCTAAGAAGGAGACATACCAGCGCCTGCTACGGCTCTCGCCAGTGCAAAAGCGCGACCAACCTGGGAAACGAATTGGTGCAATCGCGTCAGGGTTGGCTCAGGACAATGAATTGATTGTTTTCAACGCAACGGTCGCACTGCCGGACGAGAAGGACATTATCGCCAGGATCAGTCTTCCCGAGAAACAGGAAGCTGCGGACCTGGACATTTCATTGACACCAGAAGGGGAATTCAGCGTGGCATACTGCGACGACCACAACATATACGAACAGACGTTTCGATACGACTTCGATAAGAAGAAAGCGGAGAAGCGGCCCAATGGCCCACGGCGAGTTCATCAAATGCCAGTTCCCGAGGGCTTCCAGGATCCCAAAAGCAGGCCGAAGTTCAGGTGCTTGCGGTTCTTGAACTCTCAGAATGTTGTCGCTCTGGTCAACAAGCCCAACAAGAAAGGCGCACAGTTGCGTGTGTACCATCTCTACCCTACTGGCCCGGCTCTAGAGATGTCGGAGATGAACCTACCCTCGCACATCAAGCAAGCCACAAGTATTGACGTATGCGCGCTGGATGCCGATAAGAACGGGAATCAGCAATTTGTCCTTGCCGTGGCTGGCCAAGACATCAGCATCGAGGTGTACACCGTCAACTATCAAGCGGCCACCGACACATTCTCGTCATTCAAATCGTACATTAACATGCGCGATGTGCACAAGCAACAAATGACGAAGATTGTCTTTGCCCCATTCCACTCGCCGCCTCGCGCACCTAATCCAGGAGAGCAAGTTGCGGTTGGTAAGAACGGCGAGCCATTGCCCAAGCCTGCATTGATGCATCCTGGTCCGCAATATGTGCGCCTCGCATCCGTCAGTTACGGCAATACTGTGGTCATTGACACCTTCCCTCTCATACCGCTGGATCCAAAGGACAAAGACTCGCGCTATGTGCTTAGCCATCCTGGAGACGAGGCTTTCTGGCGATGGGCATACATCATCGTCATATCATTCTGTGTCCTCATTACAGCATTCTTGTTCCAATCATTCACGGGCGGTTTCTCCGGCAGTGTCGGTCCCTTCAAATACCTGCCGGAGAACGTACGCGAGTTTCTGGATATGCCAGCAGGTGCGGCCTACAGTCGCGGCGGCTATGCGAAGGTTTCTGAAGACATCGCTGCACCGGTCAGCACAGCGGGCAGCTTGCGGTCTGCCATCGAAGAGCACCATGGCACGCCTGAAGATGCTCAGACTACGGCCGTGGTGGTGCGCGACGTGCCCGAAGGCGATGGCATTGACGTCCATGTCCATCCAGACAAGGAGAAGTACCTGGAGAAAGATGTTCACGCAAAGCACTGGCATGAACTGGAAGAACACCAAAAATCCTACTTCAAAGAGAAGCTCATCAAAGCCGGTCAATGGTCGGAAGCCGAAGGTGAAACCGTGCTGAAGGGTGTGTTGTGGTCACTGTTCGGGCAGGTCGTGCACGGCGAGCTTTGATGCAACATTGCGAGACATGAAGGCCTGTGGCATTCCCTCTCGAACAACGACCGAGGTCAAAACCGCACCTGAAACGCTCGTGACGTGGTGGAAATGACATCCTCCTGCGAAAGTTCATCATCATCAACATCCCTACGATTGTCAACACCCTCCAATGTACACTCCCAATCGACAGAACCACCACCAAACAAAAAATGTGAAGGACATGACTTTTTCCACCCCCATTTCTTACCTCATTCCTCTCCCATCGATGCCCATGACACCCCTCAAATATAGCCCAACGTCCATCAACACAGACACAGACGTCATCTGATCAACCCCGTCAATGTCATCAACATGCGCGTCTTGACTCGCGAACACCACCTCCTCCATCGACGTCCTGAATCGAGACTCTTCCTTCTCCCGATGCCCAGAACTTGCTGACATGCTCGCAGCCGTTTGCAGCAGGAATGTGGTGTGGTTGGATTGACGCGGCGCTAATGCGTGTCAATGACTTGTGCAGCTTGCTTGCTTGCTTCCTCCCGTTCCGCTTGAGAGGGTTTAAGGTTTGGATGTTTGTAGGTTTTTACTTTATTGGTGTTGGGTGGTGGGAGGGTTGGGTGGTGGGATGGTCCTGGTAGAGGGGAAGAGGATATGGGGTTCGTGGTTGGAGGCTGGGGATGTCGGTTTGCTTGGGTTCTTGGGCTGTTGGTGATGTTGGTGATGTTGCTTGGGAGTTGGACGTTGGGCTGTAGCGGCTTCACGGAACGACAAAGCTCATAGCTAGAAGTATTCATGGATAACATCACCACGAAGACCTTGCTACGTGAGGAGTATGCCCGTTAGGCAACGAACGCGATTGGCAAGTGCCCAGGCTCGCACGCCTTCATTGTTGGGAGTACTTGCGAGGGTGTCAGCATGGTGAGAATGGTGGTCATTGGTTCGGGTGAGAGAAGATTTCATTTGCTTGACTTTATAGGTCGTGCACGTCTACAAGTGCAGTGGTCAGTGTGCTGCTATAGCTTTGGCACGGGACGACGGTTGGAGATCTCAACGGGGAAGGTAGGAACGTCTACGTTTTGATGGCGTTCAGATGTGGCGTTGGTGAATGACTGGGAGTTTGGAAAGTGTTTTAGGCGCTTTCAAAGTCTAGTCGGGCTTGCTTGTCAGTGAGTCTTGTTGGTGGGTAGGGATGGCTGGTTGGAGACATGTCAAGCGGCAGTTCAAAACAGGAAGGTACGAGGTACCTTGCAGTCACATGCTGGTCTGCCGGGACTCGTTGAAGGTCTGGGTTGTTGATGTATTTTCTTGTTGTTGTTGTCGTTGAACGTTGAGGTTTGGAAAAAGGCGTCGATGGTCGCGTGAGCGAGTTCCATTTTCTCAATGACATCTGGTGGAGCCATGAACATCCGATTCCGAGTCCAGATCGAGTGGTGAGACAGTGGTATTGTGGGCACCTGTCGCCAGTCGGTCTTTTTTTCCATAGGGCTAGATCGCAAGATGGGATCTGTCATTTACGCTGTGTATGCTTTCAGCCCATCTGCTTGTAATGAGACGTTTTATTGCAACGACTCAGTTTATTGACTGCAAACTTGGTCAATTGACCAAGAGCTTGGTCAAGAAAATGACACTGCCAACGGGACGGCATACATTGCCTTCGTGCGAGAAAGTCTGGTATCCATTACCGGGAAGTTGTTGCTGAGCTCCACAGTAAGCTTGCGAGGCAAGTGCAGGGTTGTCGATGTTGAGGTTTCCACCCAGAGAAGTGTTTACCAGAGAAGATTAATGGCGATGACGAGGCTCGGAGATTGAGTAGAAGCAACGTGTTCGAGTAAAGACTGAGGGAGGGTTGCACGCGAGAAAGGCTGTGCAAGCGTTAATGGTTTCTTGCTGCAGGTACCATCGCTTCAGTGGTGTTGAGCGAGCACACCGTCATCAATGCGGCAAGACGTGCAACCCGACTGACAGCCAGGATCGGCTTGTGTACGGACCCGGTTGGGTGAAGTGATCGTATCCATCGGCATGCCGGAAGCGAGAATTGCATGAGGCCAACTTCCCTGTTGTCGACGCAGAGGGGCTTGGCGGTCAAGGGTGGTTCCCACGGTCAGGTAGGAAGGACAACATGAAAGTCCAGAGGAGCATCACATCTCAACTGCATAGCGGGACCTACAATTGACGGTTTGATCGACGCTCTCAAACAGTAGGCTGGCGAGGCGCCAATCAATGTTGCATGTGAAAGCGCGGCGCCATACTGCGTCGACGCTGAACGTCCAGTCTCGCGGGCATGGCGGCGTGCGACACACCCTGCGCAGCATCAACCTATATCAGTGTCGAGGACGTAGCAGTGGTCGCACGACAGTCGGTTTCCTGGCAAGCGCAGCGGTTTCCTTGGTCCGCGCGAAATGGCGCGAGGCAGGGCAGATGGCGGGAGTGGCATCAATCGGGTAGGGCGAGAGGTATTGACATGCGGTGTCATGGACGGTCGAAAAGGCAGACGGCTGGATTAGGAAGGGATTGGAAAGATGTTGAGTCTGCTCGCACCTGGATATCCTCGTGGGCTTCACGCACCGGCGTCTCGCGTGCGGCTGTCACAAACGACAGGCCAGGCGCTTCTTCGTGGAGAATTCGGCGGCTTTGTGTCTGGCGCGTCTCCTCGCACAGGTGGAGGCGTCTGCTTGGACGGCGATTTGAGCAGTGCCATTGTCGCTGAAGGGCCGGTTTGGCGGGCGTCTTGGCCTAGGCAGGGCAGCGTCCGAGGTGAGGATGGGCTTGGGCGCGGTGGGATCCATGCAGTGCCATGTCCTGGTCTGCTTTTCTCGCGCCGCCGCGTAACGTGGGCCCCGGCGTGGTCTTGCACGAGAAGGTGTCATCTGTGTTGCCCGACGTCCTGGTTGATCCAGACCGAGCGAGCGAGCGTTGAAGCCGCCGCCCGCCGTGCCCCAAGCCTCCACGCGTTTGAGACTTTGAGTCTCTGTCTCTGCGACAACACCGACTTTCCAGCTCTGCCTGTCTGCATATGTATCGCATTTTGCAGCGCCCACTTGGGGTGCATGTGGCGCGGCAGCGACCGAGCAATGACCCGCCGGCCAGTTTCAATGCGCGGGCTAAGAGGTCGCTTATGCGGCGGAGGAGGAGCAGTGGCAGAGCAGTCCCAGTCGAGCAGGCCAGTTCGTGACCAGGGCTCGACCAGGGTGCTCCATGCCTCACACGCCAATGTTCCCTGCTGCTCCTGCTGCACGCACCAGCAGCCGCACCGTCGCAGCCTCGAGTCCTGCTGCTTCTCCGCCGCGACTTGCCGCCAGTGCGCCAGCCGAAATCACCAGCCCCGATGACCGAGGAGCGACGGCCAGCAGCAGCAGCGGTGTTCTATGGCGGCTGCAGCACGAGAACCGCGGCCAGCGCACAATGCCTGCGCTGAGATGAGGCAGACGAGGGCGCTCGCGATGCCCACGACTGCCGGACAGCCGTTGCGCGACACTGACACAGCCACTGCCCATGACACTCTCCGACACTCGCCCAATGGAGTCGGGAGACGAGCCGATGTCGACATGGTTGCTCGTCCAAACGGGCCTGACACCCACCAGCGTCTCCGCACCAGCCCGTTCCTGCGCAAGAGACAGGCATCTTCGCAGTTGGGCAGCGAATAATGCCCCCAGGCCCTGTTGCACCCGCGCCCTCGAGTAGGGTCGTACAGTTTTATCTGCGCGACGTCGCTGCTCCAATTAGCTGCCCGTCCATCGTGCGCCTCCAACACCACCTCTTCATAACCGTCTCGTGCCTCAATCGCTCCTGCACCCTCGTTGTCTTGTTGATCCATCGCCAGCGCTGCCCGTCGACGTCAAAAGCAGATCTCCCGCCGCACCTCAGCCCTCCGTCTGCACCTCGCAACCTACACATGCGGAGCCCCGTTGTACCTAACGCCATGCGATGATCTGTTATACCACTGCCCGATGACGATGGCTCCCGACCCTTCTGACACGAGGCATGTCGAAGCTGACGATGCTCCCACGTTGACGCCCTCCATGGACCGCCTCCAACTTGAAACCACAGGACTTACTCCGGCCCGGCCATGGACTGACGCCGAAACCTCGAGCCAGACCTCACGTTCTCCCGAGTCGACGCGACGAAAGCGACTCTCTTTCTTTGGACGTTCGAATTCAGATGCCTCCAGAATCCCGCCTCTTACGCTGCACGCAACCATGGGCACATCTCAGAGCAACGCGGGCGTTGATCCATTGAACCCACCTCCGCATTTGCAACGACCAGGGACGGCTCAGAGTGAATCGAAACGACGAACGACCGACCCATTGGAAAGCATTCGCAACTCTCTGTTTGGAGGTCGAAAGCATGCAGCTGTGGACGGCCTAAATCCACCTCGTCCCAGCTCACGACAATCTCAAAAGTCCAAGAAATCTCGCAAAAGCCAATCAGTCGACCATTCCCTCCTTCCATTCACTCAACAAGGTGCATCGTTCAAGACGCCCGCCAAAGAAGGTCAGTTTAATTCGGCCAAAGAATGTACGTGACATTGGTCGGTTGTTGCGGGGACGAAGCTAATGTCCAGTACAGACTATCGACACCACAAGAAATCGAGCATATCGCCTCCTTTCAACTTTCAACACATCACCCATACTGCAAGAAAGCACCTGCCAAGGCTCGAAACCGTAGACGAGAAGGATCTTTCCGCAAGGTTCTGGGCGTTGAACGCATACCAAAAGCCAAAGCAGCATCTTACTGGGATCAAGGCTGAAGATTTGGGGAAACGTCGGGAAAGAAGCGTGTCACCTGGTGGTCGCCCGGTATCTTCACGACGTACCACGGAAGCATCTGGTCCGTCACCGACCGCCGCGTCGCACACGCTTACTTGCAGCGTGGACGAAACCGTTTTCGATGAAACACAGGAGACGAAGTTCAACCCAGACGACGCTTATCGATCCCTGGAGGACGTACACAATGCACCACCAACACACCCACCCCCAAGACGGCCATCGCCGAAGCATTATTCGTCAATGAGCGCTCTGAGCTCGCCCCCAGCGAGTTCCGACCATCGCCATGTGAGAGCGCAAGGGTCCTTCGATGAGACCAGGTTGTCCCGCAGTCCTCCGCGCCCGGGACCACAAAGGGCACGAACAAGTCTACCAGTTCAATCGATGGGGGACAAGAAGCTGCTGGGACAGAGCTTCCACGAAAAGCAGCCACTTCCCTCCATACCTCAAGAGGAATCGTCCCGCAAAGACTCCAAGATCTCGCTGGGAAGCGGCTCAAGCCGAGCATACAGCCTGTTTCCTGCTCCACCGGGTCAAAAGATCGAATACCCATCATCCGTCAAGTCGAAACGACCTTCGATGTCAGCTGCTACCGTAGCCACGCTGAGTTCGCAGAAGACGGACGTTCTGAATGAGAGCACCTGGGAAGACGACATCGACTTTGCTTATGAACAAGAAGCTGAGGCCATGTGTGACTTTGACTGGGAGAATGCTTCGTGCTCTCCACTACCGGAAGAGAACGAGCCCGACAGCGCAGCACCTTCGGGCCATCCATCACCTGTGGAGAGCAGCGGCGCATCAAGCCCCAGTGGCGGCGTTCGACTCTCCACCTCCACATTTCAACCCTCTGCATTCACGTCCGACTCGTCGATTGCCAACCGAGCACGGTCGAGCAGTGCAGCGACATCCATCTTCTCGTCGACTGAAAACGTCAATCAGCAACACAAACGCGGCTCGTCTGTGGGCCACAAAGGTTTTGCAGCTGCCAGAAAGACGTCAACTGACGTTCTTTCGAAAAGCTCACCTTCCCTTACTCTGGAATACGTACCTGAGGTAGTGAGCACTGCGACTCCCCCGCCCACGTTCAGCCTGACCGAGGCCGACATCGAGACCACCAAGAAGTCTCCCACGAGCACCTCATACTTCCCTGCCATGGACCCGTTCGTCCCAGGATATCTCAGCGATCCAGAGTCGGCAGGCACCGACGGCTCAAGGCATCGTAAATCAAGCTCCTATAGCTCGTATCAGAGCAGCGAGCGATCCCTGCTCTTGGGCAGCGACACCACGAGGTGGTCGTCCGCATCGACAAGTTCGATACCCGATTTGTTGCACAGCAAACGCAAGAGTCGATCGAGCGTCCCCAAACATAGAACCTCCAGACCTCTCGAATCTGTACCACATAGCCCCAGTCTCGACGCTGAGGCACACGATGAAGACAACCTCGCCGTCCCGGCGCGAAACCCGCTATGGGACAAGTCGCAGCATGACTCGCTGATGATGCGCCGCCCCGACACGCCTGGCGATCGTCAGGTACTGTACTCCGCAGGTCGCACAGTACAGCGCGGTCGTTCTGCCACGCCGTCACGCACCGCGATTCGCCCCATTACGGACAGCGATGAAGCGGGCTGGATATGAAGTGATGTAAAAATTGATGGATTTATGAAGAAACTTTGGTCTTATTCGTTGTCGATGTCTCTCCTTGTACACGCCCAATTTCCTACTTGTTGTTATTGCAGCGGCGGCGCCTTCTGCGATGGACTGGACTGTCTGCTTCGGGTCGTTCTCTGGAAGGGTGGCAAGATACCCAACTGGCTGGCATGCCAATTCTCTTGTGGTTTGGAAAATGTGTGTCGATGTGTAGGACATTATGTAGACTGTATCATCAGATAGTGGGAACGTCAAAAGTTGGTCACCTGCCTAAGAAAATGTTTGTCCTTTGTCTCCTGGCGATGGATGGTGCGAGAAAGGGGGAGAGCATAGGGCTGGGCCACGTGATGTGGAGTCAGGATGATCCCTGAACGGTTGCTAGGCGGAAGTCGAATGTTGATTGGAAGGAAGCAACACCAAGCGCCTTCTCCTCCTTGCACCTCTCCTCCAACAATTACCCCCCAACGCACATATTCCTCTCCCATCCATTTACAAAGCACACCGCCGTCGCGAAACAACAGGATCACGCGAGAGTCTTGGATTAGTTTTTGGAATCGGGCACAGAAATATCATGCGCAGCGGGACGGAGCAATATGGCGGTGCTTGAGCAGTCTTGGTGAGGATCAAAGCACAATTTCGAGGGGAGCGACGATCAGCTGATGCGAGTGTGTGGTGTAGGATCAAAGTGCAAGAGAAGACTTTTGGAAAATGGTATGTCTTGCGCAGTAAACATGAGAATACAAACATCACGGCTGACAAGCCTCGCTCACCAGGCTCAACAACAAACTCAAAGTACGAAACGTCCAGGTCAATGACCTCGTTCACGACCTCTCCGACGGCATCGCCCTGATACACCTCCTCGAGATCCTCTCCAACGAGTCCCTTGGCCGATACGCCGCTCGACCGAAATTGCGGGTGCAGCGCTTCGAGAATGTCAATATTGCGCTGGACTTTATCAAGTCGCGAAAGATCCAGCTGACAAATATCGGTGCTGAGGATGTTGTGGATGGCAATCGAAAGATTATTTTGGGGCTGATATGGACATTGATTCTGAGGTTTACCATCAGTGATATCAATGATCAGGGATTGAGTGCGAGAGAGGGGTTGTTGCTGTGGTGTCAGAGGAAGACGGCCTGCTATGAAGATGTGGAGGTCCGGGACTTCTCTGGAAGCTGGAATGATGGATTAGCTTTCTGCGCCCTGCTGGATATCCACCGGCCGGATCTGATTGATTACGATCAATTGGACAAGTCAGACCATAAAGGCAACATGCAGCTCGCCTTTGATATCGCGAGTAAGGAGATCGGTATCCCGGACCTGCTGGATGTGGAAGATGTCTGCGATGTTGCTAAGCCGGATGAGCGATCCCTCATGACCTACATCGCATACTGGTTCCATGCCTTTTCGCAGATGGAGAAGGTGGAGAATGCTGGAAGGAGAGTAGAGAAGTTTGTGTCCAACATGCAAGGCGCCTGGGAGATGCAGAACAACTACGAGAGGAGAATGCGAGCGCTGCTTCAGTCGATTGCACAGCAGGGAAATGACTGGGAGAAGTCTGAGTTTGATGGCACTTACACCGACGCGAAAGAACAAAGCAAGAAGTTCGTTGGGTACAAGCGGAAAGAAAAGCGAGACTGGGTTGCAGAGAAGAGCGATTTGGCTGGTTTGCTGGGCAATATCAAGACCAAGCTCAGCACATACAGACTACGGCCATACCAACCCCCGGCCGACTTGAGCTTGGAAGCATTGGACGATGCCTGGAATGGACTAATGGAAGCAGAACGAACCCGAAGCCAGGTCATCAACAACACGATCCGCGATATCAAGAATAATTTACGGCGATCATTCGCCCACAAAGCTAATGACTTTGAGATGGCGCTCAAGACTATTAGCTTGAGCATATCCGGTCTGGAAGGCGATGTCGAGGATCAGCTCGAGCACACCAGCCAAATATCGCGGAACCTCCCTCCACTTGATCAGTATCTCGAAATCATCGACGGCCTGGACAAGCAATGCCAAGAAGCCAATATCGAGGAGAACGACTTCACGACGTACACATACGATGAACTGGCATATGAGCTGTCTCTTGTTCGGTCTTCGGTACAGAAGAAGCTCGCCTTCCTCGAAAATCAAATGGTTGCCCGTAACATGACTAACCTCACGCCAATACAACTGGAGGAGTTTGAGTCTGTCTTCCGGCACTTCGATCGCGACCTTTCCAATTCTCTACAGGAGCTCGAGTTCTCAGCAGCACTAGCATCACTGGGTCTGGTCTACGACGAACAAGAAATGCACGAACGATTCCTCGAAGTGGCCGGCCGGAACGGCAGCGTGTCGTTCGAGCAATTCATCCGATTCATGGTGGACGTCACAGAAGATCAAAACACCGCCGAGCAAGTATTTGAGAGTTTCCGTGAGGTCGCAGACGGAAAGCCGTACGTTACAGAACTGGACTTGACACACTCCTTGATCCCCGATGAAGTCGTCGAGCAGCTGGTCCAAACCATGCCGGCGCATAAGGGCCCGGACTTGCAAGAGGACCGAGACTTGCCCAAATACGACTACGTGACTTTCATGGAGCGATACATGGGCGATAAAAATAAAGGCGCGAATGGGACAGGCAGACATGATGCGTCATGATTGTAGAAGATTGGTTGACTGGGTACATTGCGAAGGAGTTGTTGTCGGGTTGGATGGATCCATTGATTGGACACGGTTGCTGGGCGTGGGTGTGTGTGTGTGCATCTGTTGTTGGATAGGGGAGAGCTTTCTTGAGATACCAGCGGGTTTGTTGTTTTGCGGTGTTATAGTGCGGCGCGGTGTTGTTATTATTAATCGATTATGAGAGTAGTTGTATAATGCTAATGTCATCGTTGTTTGACATATCCAGTAAACACCATCCTTTTCATGTGAAGTCGGTCCTGGCATTCGAAAGGGCGACGTCACTTCCCTGGCATCATCACATGTGCAGTGATCCATGCTCTTGACCACACTTCATCTCGGGTCTCCCACACTTCATTCAGAGATATAACCCGGCAACAAGTAATGGCAATCGCTTTCCTCGCCTGAGGGGCTGAATTGAGCAGCATCTATAACGGTAGGTAGGAAAGGAGGTCGGAGCGATGGAAGCCCCGCCGGCATCGTCTCAGTAGAGAGCGCGAGTGGACGGGCAGGAGGATCAACAACCACCGGAGCTCTATCAAGAGCTTGTGTGCTGCTCATGACGATAGCTGTTCTTGCTGTTGACAGGTGAGCTTCGTTCCAATCTAAAGGTGTTCAAGATGTCCTCCTACGACGAAAAGTCGCGAAAGGCGGATAACATCGACCGAGGCAGTACGTATACTCAAAACCACAGCGTTCCCTATTCCGTACTCGCTAACCTCCCACCCTTCGCCCTCAGACAAAGGCGTCGACTACACCGGCACAGCGATCTTCTTCGGCGGCCGCCTCCTCGATCCCTTCGTGCAATATGGCCTCCTCAAGCACGACTGGGGCCGTCCTCTCATCGAACGTCTCCGCGGCAAGACGCTCCCCCAAGGGCCGCCCTTAATCACCAAATCCCCCCTCGACCGCCTCGGGCTCTCGCCTTACCGAACGATCCTATGGGCGATGTCGGTCGGGAGCATGGTGAAGCAGAATTATCACTTGACGGCGATAATGCAAGAGAAGATGAGCCCCGCAGGCGGCATCATGGTCAGCGTGGGCAACATGCTGGGCAGTACAATCAACTCGCTGCTGTTCGTCTGCGCGCAGACGTCCGCGAGTGCGAACGGCGAACACTTCCCGCAGACGCCGCTCATTGTCGGTTCAGCACTGTATACAGCCGGCATCGTGATCGAGTGGTTATCGGAGCAGCAGAGACACGCGTTCAAGAAGGATCCGGCGAACAAAGGGAAGCTGTACACGGGAGGGCTTTTCAGTCTGTCGAGGCATATCAATTATTTGGGATATGCGCTTTGGAGGACCGGGTATGGGCTTGCGGCTGGGGGGTGGGTTTGGGCGGGGACGCTGTTTGCGTTGACGACGTGGCAGTTTACGCAGATGGTTATTCCGGTTCATCAGCATTATATGGAGGAGAGGGTGAGTCTTTTGGGGGTCGATTTCTGTGAGATGGTTGCTAATGTGTGTGATAGTACGGTGAGCAGTTCGAGGAGTACAAGAAGGCGACGCCTTATAAGTACATCCCTTGGGTCTACTAGACAAGCGTTTGATGGTCCTACTGTGACGAGATTTACGACATCGATGTGAATGCCGATGAAGATGCGATACCCTGATCGTCCTTCACGATCGCAAGGCTTTGGCAAGTTTGCTTCCAGACAAGCTGTATTATTACCTACAGGCGTACGTATGAAGGAACCCTCAACTTCCCCCTCAATCACCATTCAATATGTCCTCCAAACTCTCCTTCGGAGTCGACATCAGCTTCGAAGATGTTTGGTCCTTCACTCGAAGACTGTATTCAATGCTCCCTCGCCGCCAGCGTCGACACCCATTCAAGAACTCTTATACGCTCCGCACGATCCTCTTCTTCTCGTACCTCCTCGCAAGCATGAAGTTGCGCCTCTCCCAAAAACCACAGACCCCCCACAAGATCCCACCGAGAGCATCTCAACTGTCCGCTTCCAAAGGGAACCCTACCAGAACGAGCCCGGCCGCCGCCGGAAAATGTTTCGCTCCCTTGCCCACCTCGTCGAGGACGACGAGCGCTTGAACGTCCAAGGCGTCACGGATATCGCGAAGAAAATGACCGCCGTCGCGACCTTCATCACGAACGAGTACTGCACCGGCCTGCAAGCCCTCAGCCTGCCCACGCAAAAACTCTTCCACGACCTTGTCGATCGCCTGCTCAACTATGGCTGGCCGTTGGTTTCCCCCGGTTCGTCGCACAAACTGGATCTCCCTGGGGAGAAGAATGTGCTGGAGCCGAAGGATGCTTTCAGGGCGATGGAGAAGTTGGCGGGGTTTTTTGATCGTCGGGCGAGGTCGTTTCGCGAGGTTAGGCTGGATGTGCTGAGGGAGGTTAGGCTGTCGAGGGATTTGAGGTTTGCGGCGAGGTATACGGAGGCTTTGGTGGCGGGTTTGGATGGGGTTGGGGAGGTTGAAGCCGTCGGGGAAGGTGGACACTCTGAGCAGGCTGAAGACTCTGAGCAGGTCGAACGCACGAGTGAAGAGACTGCGACGGAGGATTCGAATGACAAGCCGTTGGAATCTCAGGAGGTCCCAGAGGGAGAGACCGAAGAACGCCCTTCAACAACACATCATCATGCCGGCGAGCACACAGCTCCAGCTTCAGAGACAGAGCTTCGACCGGTGTCGAAAGGCCTCTCCTTCAAGGGACCCTATGTGGTTGAGAACGTGGCGTGGCAGCCAGCACTCGCTAGTGTCCAGGAAGATGAGCTCTCGACAGTCTCTTCGTCGCTGGAATCGAGGGCTCAGGCCGCGACAAAAGACGACGTGGAAGCACATAAAGCACCAGCCTTGGGAGACTGCCCTGATGCAGTCGAAGTCCCGCGAGAGCTGAAAGGACGCCGCCTCACAAGCCGCTGCTGGTTCGAAACCAACCCCAAATTCGCAGACCTTATCGGCGAAATCAAGCAGTGGAAAGACGACGCCCCAAACTACGACTTCACGACAATCCGCGGACGCGGCGACCTCGAGAACCTCGTGCACCATTTCTGCGACGCCACGCCCCTGGGGATCTCTGCTTTGTTCATCATCAAGTGCGAGCACCCCTTGGATCCGGCGATTGTGGGCCATTTGGATATGGATATTTTGAGGTTTGTGAGGTTGCTGCTTTGGGATTGGACGAATGGGCGTGCGGAGAGGAGGGCGGAGCGGGAGAGTCTTGAGGTTGTGAGGAGGGAGATTCGGGTTAGGAAGGGGGAGATTGCTGGGGAGGAGGCGCGGGCGGGTGATCTTCAGCCTCGGGGTGATTTGGGTGGGGAGGTCCTGTTTGACTACGATGAGGCCGATGGCAGATCTGAGGCTCCGGCGGATATTGAGGAGGAGCAGGAACCAGCTCCTCTTCGGCCTCAGATTGACCTGGGAGGTGAACAGCCTGTCAAAGAGGCTTCACCAAGCAATCATGAACCCGAATCCTCTTTTGAGGCTCCAGCAAACATCGAGGACGAGCAGCAACCAGTCGACCTGCAGGCATATGCCACGAACGAGGATTCGACAGAGGAAGGTCTGGATCTTTCCGCCGCCTGGCTCAACGAAAGCGACTATGCCCCTGATCAGGATTGTTCATCTATCAGAGAGGCAACCGTGCAGCCTATGATTCCCGTCACGCTGCCGACTGAATGTGCAGTCCGTATTCCGGAGTCATTCAAGACTGTGAAACCGACCACCAGCCGTGAGAGCGACGACTTCACTACACTGCTTCGACGATCGACACTCGCAGCGCTCGGGGTCTCAACGGGCTCCACACAGCCTCTGGCAACGGTGTCTCCCAAAATCGTATCCTTGGTAGAGACCGAGCGCAACGCCAGGCTCGAGTGGGAGAATGCCATCTTGAGGGAGCAGATATCAGAACTGCAGCAGCAACTCGAATCCCTGAGACCACTCGATGCCCCCGAGAAAGGCTGCCGAACCGATGACTGCCATGCCCACCCGTTACAGCACCTCGTAGGCCAGCGGGAACGCAACGAAAGCCCTTCGATGGACGCTGAAGTCGACAGCAACAGCGATGATCGTCTGGACTCCGACGAGGATCTGAAGCGCTACAGCCGCAACGACTTCATGTCCATGCTCGAGTTTCTGAACAGCGAGCCTCCGCCCAGCCCATCCCGCAGAGCAAGCAGGAGTTCCGGTGACGGATCGACGAGCCGGTGGGCGCACTCCTTCAGCGATATGATGAGTAAGATCAAGAGGCCTGGCCGAGCTTCGAGGAACCACTCGACTGTGTATGAAGGCGAGTATGGCGCGCCAGATGCGTATGTGCCTACCCGGGCCTTGAAGTCTTCGAGAGGTAGGAGCCGAATCCAGCCTCCTGGAAGGGAGGCCAATGGCGGTGGAGACCCGCTGAACTCGGAACATGTCTCGCAGCAGCCTGGGTCGTCGATGAAGACAGTTTGAGAGGTTGGCTTTTGGTATGTGTTTGAGAAGGGAATGAATGTGCTTCAATTGCTGATTTTTGCCCAAAGACTTAAAGTTCGTGTAGCGAGCTTGTTCTTTACCTGTTCATGACACTTGTACTCGGACTTTTAGTATATGGCTTTAGCCCTTAGCTCTACTTCCATGGCAGAGGAAATTCGAATACACGAGGCCGTCGTCGAGACGCACTGTTCGCTCCGCAGCCCGGCCCCATCCAAGCGCAAGTTTAACTCCACGCTAGCAGCACCGCAGCTGCCCTTCCTCCTATTTCTCCAAACCCTACTCAACCCTGTTGGTTTCATAACTCACCATCAATCCATGCCTTCCAATATTTATGTCCTTCACGGCTCGCCGACAGCATCATCCCGCGGAGGTAAGCCCGGCTTCACAGGCCCAACAAGGAGACGTTGCTGAAGAATGTGGCCATTGTCTTGGCCCGGGGATAATTGCTGGGCGAGAAGTGGCGATCAAGTTCTTACAGCCTCCTTGCGATCCGGGACCATGTACGTCAAGACGGCACCAAATCGAAGCATGCAAGCTGGCGGAGAGAAAATCGTTCAACTTACACCAGCATGTCGGATACCCTGGGCGAGTTTATGCTTACTGTACCCGGGCAGTGCTTATCATACCTAGCTTCCAACCCCATGACAACGTCTCCCCGGCACCTGGTACGGCGATTGACCCTTTTCCCGGCAACAGAAGGAGCCGTCCACCGCGCAGCGTTATAGTTGTGGGGAGGTATTCTCCGTCTTGGCTTAGACTGCCGCAGCCTGAGGATTCGTCTGTACATCATTCTGGAATCTTGAACTGCCGTGTGGATGTAAGCGACCTGCTGATGAAAAGGTTGAACACGACGAGGTCAGTCATCGTATTTGCCTAAATTCCTCTGATCTTCCAGGAGGCAGCTCACCACGACTCGACCCCATGAACGTGGATCTTCCGGGCCATATGAATTGTTGGTTGGACACTTGAAAACGTTGATACATCCCTCGTTTGGTAGAATTACAGGCATATGGGCTTGGAGGATAACCGATTTTGGCAACTGTGCCACATTTTCAACACGTGCTTCAGCAATTTGCCCCGGTCAGAGCGATCGTGCTTCGGATGCCAATGCCGTGTTGGGTTGCCATCAAACTTCTGCGTGCGGCACGGTTCTTGGTGTTCTACCTCTCCTTCAGTCTGTCTCTCCTCCCGAGTCCGAAAACGAAGGCCGGACTTTCGGTTTTTCGGGTTGACATGAACCCATTCGGCCTACCTTATTACGAGTCCAGTCAAGCAGGCAGAGTGCCACTGTCCGAGTCTTGTTCCAGACTACAGCGCAAGACCTTGAGGAGCTCATCGCTTTCGGTAGCCTAAATGCTCAGAACGTCAGGCCATACGTCAGGCCATGCGATGCAAACAGGGGTTGCGGTAAGTGAGCGGCAAGGCACTTTTAGGCAGGCTATGCTCTTTCCATATGTGGTCTACGAAAGAGATGGACGAGAGGGACGATATTTCGAGCTCTGGCTACTGGTTAGGCAAAGATTTCGCGCATGGTGATGCGGACGACGACCATTGTGTCCAGACCGGGCTTAGATTCTCCTCCAGAAAGCATTGAACGAAAGACTCAAGACCAATTCCCTACATTCCATGCCGCTTGTGGCATGCGACTGTACAGCCCTCGGCCACTGTTCCTGGACTACAACAACGATCTAACCCCTGTATCCCCGTTACGGATACTGAAGCTATAACTAGGAATCGCTTAAAAACGTAGTAGATTTTACTTAGGTGTACTAAGCTAAGAAACCTACTAGAAGATATAATAGATATTAAATATAGTAGAAGTAACTAAAGTAATAAATAATAGTAGAAACTAATTTAAATATAATTATATTAATTAGTTAAATAAAGTAGAAGAACTAAAAAGAAATAATAGTATTATAAATAAATTATATTAAGTATTTTTTAATTTAACTAGTTATAATATTATTCTAAATATATTTTAGTTAAAGAAGTATAACTCTATTATTAATTAATAAATAGAAGTATTTAAAGTAAAGAAATATAATTATATAATTAATATTTACTTTATATAGAGGTAGTATTCTTTAATAGATAAAGTAAAATAGCTAAATAAATTATAGCTTATATTAAAATAAATTAAAGAACTAGATTTACTTTAAATAGATATTACTAGTTTAGTAGATTAATTAGTTATAAGTATAAATAGAAATAATATACTATTTAGAACTATTTAGTAGAAAACTATTAGTCTTTCTTAAAATAGATATTTATAAATATAGAGCTACTATAACATACCGCTCCTTTATACTAATCTATTTTATATAAGTAGATATCTAGTAATAAATATAATAAAGGATAAATTTAGCTATACTTAGTAGTATTCTATTTCTTAACTTATTACTAGATTATCTCAATTTATAGTTAATAAGCGTCCTAAACTATATTCGATAGAAAGTTAGGACTTATCTAGTTCGATCGTACTCTAAGTTAATCCTAGTAATACGCACTGCCTTTAATTATAAAACGAGGCTTGTCTAACGTTCTAGAACTTCTAGTAGGGCTTATAATTAATAAAGTAATAGTTCTCTACTTTAAGAAACTTCGGAGTTAGTATATAGTATAATATAATAAAGAAGTAACTAAGAACTTACTATATCTCTATCCCCTCCTATAAGTATAAGTTACGAATACGATAGATTAAAGCTTCTATATCGGCTTATATTATTAGTATATAACGGCAAAGTTTATAAATTAAAGCGCTAATTATATTACTTAAGTAGATAGTCGACTATTACTAAGCTAGAGATAATAGGAGGAGGCTATAGTAGTCCTCTAGTAGCTATAAACTAGCCTAGCTCTATATAAAGCTAGTAACTATATAAGAACGCCTACTATAGAATATTAGTTTTAGTTTTAGAACGTTTTATAATATAGGAGGTCGAAGAAGAACTCTAGTATATACTAGACGTTAGTATAGACGAAGTTAGGACTAGATAAGTAGTATATTTAATAAAGTTAAGAAACGACGTAGTTAGAGTATCGCTTTCGTTAGCCTAGCTACTATTAAAAATAATTTTATAGATCTCTTCTTTATACGCAGCTAGTTTAGGATATTATAAGGTTATATTACTTATAATATTATAGAACTATTAGTTAGATTAATCTAGATATAGGACCTACTTATATAAGTAGAGTTAGTAGTCGAACTTAAGTAAAGCTATAAATTTAGTATTATTAAAAGCCGAATCCTAGTTAAAAATACGCTTTAACTACTTAACATATATCTAATTATCTCTAAGTAGAATTATATTAGCTATAATAATAATCTTTTATATAGAGCTTATATATACTAGAGGCTATTTTAGCGTATTATATCCTACTACTCTAAATATAGGTTAGTTTACTATTAAAGAAGTAGAATAAAATAACGTACCTTAATAGTCTACTTTTAGGACGGTTATAGTACTAGAGGCTATAGTACTCTATATAAGAAATTAACTAGTTAGTCTATACTAGCCTAAATATTAGGATCGGTTCGTTAATCCTAGAATCTTACTTAGTATAGGTACTAAGCTTAAGTCCTTAGTTAGAGCTCGTTAAAAGGAGAGAATTAATAGACTACTAAGATAATTTTAAAGTAGAGGTTCGGATATAATTATAAACTAAATAGTAAGATTAAATAGTAAGTTAAATACTATTATAATATATTATAGTTCTATTCTATAGGAGTTATTTTTCTTAAGTAGTAGGCTACTAAGTATCGTTTCCCGTTATACTCCTATATAAAGTATACTCCTATATAAAGTATACTCCTATATAAAGTATACTCCTATATAAAGTATACTCCTATAGCTATATCTAATATGTCTATCTCGAGGAAAACTAGTAGTTTTCTATCGAATAGTTTTAGCGTAGGTATAGAGACGTATATATCGACTATTTTCTAAAATACTCTCTAGTATTATTATTCCTACTTCTACTTAGTATCTTTCTTAGTAAAGTCTAATAGTATCGAAAATATTACTAAATAGTTCTAGA